CGTTTCCCAGAGCACAAAGTATACCTCAATTTCCGTGTTGCTTTAGTTACCTAAAGTCGAAAAGTGAATGTGTTCAGCTCAAAAAGAATTCAAAAAGATTTCCCATAATTGCCTCAAAAAATCCTCTTGGCTTTAAGAAGTTTCTTGAAAGAAATTAAGGTAAAAAGTTATAGAATCCAGTTAAAATAAATTTAACTAAAGGTTCACTTCAAATTTTTCTATAAGAATCAGTATTTTCAATCTTTTTGCAAGCTAAAAGTCAAAAAAAAGGAATTTCCTTTGTTATTTTGCTAAAATTAAGCTCACTTAAAAACTGGATTCGATAACTTTTTACCTTATTCATTTCTTTCAAGAAACTTCTTAAAGCCAAGAGGATTTTTTGAGGCAATTATGGGAAATCTTTATGAATTCTTTTTGAGCTGAACACATTCACTTTTCGACTTTAGGTAACTAAAGCAACACGGAAATTGAGGTATACTTTGTGCTCGGGGAAACGCGCCTCTGATGCCTGACGCTTGATGCCCGTTGATGCTTGATGCCCGTGAAAAACAAAGCCAATTTGCAGCCAAAAAGCAAAGCCAAACAGCAACGTTGTTTTCGCAAACATTCCCAATTCAAATATACTCGTAAATCGTAAATTTTCGATGAATTTCGGAGATTTGCCGACAAACCCAATCTCTCACCAATTCTCAAGTGATTTTAGCAAAAGTTTTTCAAAAATTTCAAAGATTTCAAAGGATTTTCACTTAGATTGTACCGGTAAAGAGTCAAAAGGAGAAACTCTCAAAAAATGTTTGTAAATGTTTGTTTGTGTTTGCGAGAGAAAAGAAAAGAAAAAAAGGCGTTTAGAAAAGCTGTCTCCCCTTTCTGTTTGTCGATTCAGAGTAACACAGACTTTATCCATAATTAAATTTCTATTTCTAAACAATTAGAACCAAAAATGACTCCAAATTCACAATTACACAAGTCGATTTGTCCATTTGATCCACACGATATCCCCCTTTACATATTAAATGACTATCTTTAAAGAATTAGAACCAAAAATGACTCCAAAATCACAATTACACAAGTCCATTTGTCCATTTGATCCACACGATATCCCCCTTTACATATTAAATTTCTATTTCTAAACAATTAGAACCAAAAATAACTCCAAATTCACAATTACACAAGTCGATTTGTCCATTTGATCCACATGATATCCCTCTTTTCATATCCAAATCATATTCCTAATGACAGCTGACTCTCTAGGAGTTCATTAAAATGTGCATATTCGAGCCAATTTACGTCCACTCTTTAAACCAAGCAACCAAGCAAAAAAAATCGATTCGATCTCATCAGCTTTTCGAAAAGCAAATGATCAATCAATTAGTAATCAATAGATTTTGACTTGATCTGGTACAATAAAGTGATATGGATGGAGAAGAAGAGATGAAGAAGAGATGAAGAAGAAGAGAAGGAGAAGAGAAGAAGAGGAGAAGAAGAGAAGAAGAGAAGAAGAAGAGAAGAAGAAGAGAAGAAGAAGAGATGAATTTGATAGAATTTGACTACATTCATCTATGAAGAATCTTTGGTTTTAGTAGAGTAGAGTTTAAACATCTTGTGGTACTGGGGAAACTCTCCGATTTCTCTGGTCTTCTCCGGTATCCGCTTCAACGCCGATTTGTGCCACCTGGACTTGACTCAACTCTCGACAATCAATCTTCACTCAAATTGAGTCACGAATCTGAGTGTGGCATTTAGTAGGGGATGAATAGCAATGACATTTGCAATGGTGAATGAATAGCAATGACATTTGCAGAAAATAAGAGTAAATTGGTAGTGATTTGTTTCTTTTATTCACAAGAAACAATAGCTGAAACAGTCTTTGGTAGCTTTGGTAACAAAAAGTACATTTTTCGCACTTTTTTCATTTCGTACATTCGCATCAGGTACATTTGTAAATCTTTGAACTCTCAAAATTCAAGCTATTCAAGAATGGTTTTGGTAGAAGCAAGGGTATTGTCAGAGATACTTGTAGAAGCTATATGTTCATCGAAAAGATTGATTTGATATCCATTTGTACATCTTGTGCATCATTAAACATATCTCGAAAAATATTCCCCTGTGAAAATCATTTGGAATTTTGCCAATAAATCCGTAAGAGATGATTTGCAATAAAATGTGATCAATGAAAGGATTCGCTTTGGTCAATTCAGGTCTTACAATGACAATGACAGGATTCGATTTGCTCAATTCAGGTCTTACAATGACAATGACAGGATTCGATTTGCTCAATTCAGGTCTTACAATGACAATGAAAGGATTCGCTTTGGTCAATTCAGGTCTTACAATGACAATGACAGGATTCGATTTGCTCAATTCAGGTCTTACAATGACAATGAAAGGATTCGCTTTGGTCAATTCAGGTCTTACAATGACAATGACAGGATTCGATTTGCTCAATTCAAGCCTTGCTTTCCCTGGCGCTGACCATGCTTTCAAGCTTTTCTTTGATCATTTTCGTACTGAAGAATTGAATTAAAGAATAGAATTGAATAGAAGATTCATCTCCAATAGATTCATCTCCAATTTTCCTTGTCCCTTTTGCTATTTTCGCGTTGGATTCGATCGAAATCATCCCTATTTTCTTTTCCTTTCTTTCATTTCCCATCTTTTTCCTCCTTCTCTTTTTGAGGCACACACATGCGCACATTGTAATGAATGTGCGAGGCAAGCAAACACAGAAAAGACATTAAAATTGGTGAAAAGTGAAAAAGATCGATTTATCTTTAATCGCTTTTGAAGTCTTGTGAAAAGAAATACTTAGTAAGCTGAGAAATCAGAAAATCAGAAAGAAAATCAGTTTATTTCGTGAAAATCTGGAACCACATCCTTTCTGGTGCACTGTAAACGAGTCTTTTCAAGGAAAAGTACGTCAGAAGGGGGTGTTTAAAGATCACAAAGTACAGCTTTTTCTTAAACTTTAAAGCTTTAGTACAGCTTTAAGCTTTAAAGCTTTAGTACAGCTTTAAATTCCCTCTTCCCTGTGATAGCCTAGTGCTTAGGGATCTGTTAATCCCATAAAACACAATTTGCAAAAGTGTTAAGGGGAAAATGTGTGAACAGGCGAGAACTACGTTCCATTTCCCCTTGTCTCTCTTTTTCCTTTGACCCAACATAAACATTTGTTTACTCAGGGTTATGACCGAATTCCCCAAGCACTAGGCTATCGTCCATGTGTTGGTCATTCAAAATCGATCCTCAAAATGGCTCATGTTTCAATAGGTTTTGTGGGAATTTCGTAAATTTTCCGAATTATTTTAATAATAAATATTTAAGCACAAGGAAAACCTTTTTCTTTTCTACGCTTTCTAAAGTAAAGCTTTCTTTGTCGTGTTTCCGTTTTCCCCAAACACAAAGCAAACTTTCTTTAGCTTAGCTTTAGATCACCATAGCCTTATCTTAGCTTTAGCTTTAGCATTCACCTTAGCCTTATCTTAGCTTTAGCTTTCAGATCACCATAGCCTTATCTTAGCTTTAGCTTTAGATCACCATAGCCTTATCTTAGCTTTAGCTTTAGCTTTAGATCGCCATAGCCTTATATTAGCTTTAGCTTTCAGATCACCTTAGCCTTATCTTTCACACACCGCATAAGCCGAATTTGAATACGTAAATTGCTTAGATAATAAAATGATCATCAAAGAAAGATTGTGTTTCTACGTTTTGTGAACACAAAATACAGAATAGAAGTTTCAAAAAGTTTCAAAAAGTTTCAAAAACATTCGCAAAGTGTTTACGAGATAATCTCAAATTTCTCCTCTTTTCCTTTTCTCTAGTCGATCATGATTTTGGCTACCTGTGAATAGAGTGTTTATTGATTCACTCCCTGTCTCTGTCTGTCCCCATTCTATCCAACCCTTATATGAGGCAATAGGCATTGAGGGGGAAAAGGTCATCCCCATCCACGCGGGGGTAAGTAATTAGAAAGGTGAAATGGGCGGTGATGAATCGAGGACGAGCAAAGGATTGATTTAAACGCTGGAGCAATTTCATGGGATTTGTTTTAAGAACCAAAACAAGTAAACCGATCTTGTCTGACTGGATTTTTCTATTCGGCAAGCCTGGCAATGTTTTTTCCTAACTTAGAAAGTTGAAAAGTCGGCTCTTTTTCAGTTTCCCGAGTCGTTTGAATGAGCTGAAAGCTTATTGATCAAAAGATTCAATTGATTAAAAGATATTCAATTGATCAAAATTGCCTTCCTTTTAGTTCCTGCGGTCTCAATCTTTTCAAGAGTCCATCTAGTTTTCCCATAAACTCTTATCAGTCACTCTTACCCTAAAGAAGTCTAATATATAAACGTGTTGCTTGCTTGTTATCGGTCGTGTGTGTGTCGAATAGAAAAAGAAAAGAGAAAACAGAGCTCTCATCATTAAAAGGAACGAATTGTTTGGGGAAAAAAAGGGGAAAAAAATTTCAGCAGTTTATCGATTTGGCTCGATTGACAAAATGAATATTGATAAAAATAGCTATTATTGAAAAAAGAGTCAGATTTCAGTCAGATTTCAGTCAGATATTCATTTAACTATTCTAAATTTATTCATAAACATGTTGTGAAAGCGATCAGTGAAAAGGGGTTGTGATGCTAATCTCTTTTAAAGTTTTAAAGACAAAGCCTGGGTAAGATTGATTCAATGTTAAAGTCTAAAGTCTAAAGGCCAAATTTCGTCACTAGAACAGTCAGATGAAGCTTTTAGCCAACAACTATTTGAACAACCAACAACAGAATAGCCAACAACTATTTGAAAGGTTTGGAAAATGATTTTTTAAAAGAAAAAAATGGATTGAAAAGTAAGAGACAGTTTAGAAATGTGTTTGGAACCGATTTCCCATTTAAAATTCAAAACAAAAGCAAAAATTTAGAAAAGAATAGATAAAAATTGAAGATTTCAACAATATGTTAACAATTTTATAATAAAAATTTCGAAAAAACAAAAAAACAAAAAAAAAAAAGACTTACGTGTAAAGGCAACGGCAAAAAAGCCTCTTCATCGCTCATTTCTTCAATAAAAGATATTCAGCTGGATAGCTGAATAGCTGGAGGGTGGGCAGTTAGAATATAAAACTTTTCAGTTTTTTTTTTTTCAGATTTTCGTGATTCAAAGCGATTTCAAAGGAAAAATCGTCGCATCACTCTCGTTTTTTTTTTTTTTTAAACGCTCGTCGCTCGAAAAGGTAACTGAAACATTGGAAATGTAAGAATTAAACAAAAAAATATTGATAAAATGACTTGAAAAACAAAATATTTAAACAACAAAAAACAAAAAATAAAAATCGATTTTAAAAAAACCGGGTTTCAAGGGCAAATATGTACCCAAAAATGCGCACAAAGGTTATGAAATACGACTAATTACTTTCTAATTTTCTTTTTAATTTCCTTTTATTCTCTTTTTTGTTTGTTTTCGATATACTTTCCAAAGTTTGATACTGCTTTTAATCGAAAAATCATTATTTTTCTTTAGAAAACGTTTCAAAAGTGATTTTTGATTAGTCTAAACAAGTTTGTTACTAGTTTTAATCGGAAATCACTATTTTTCTTTAGAAAATGATTCAAAAGTGACTTTTGATCAATCTAAACAAGTTTGTTACTAGTTTTAATAAAAAAAAATCACTAGTTTTCTGTAGAAAACTATTCAAAAATCGTTTCTGATCAGTCTAAACAAGTTTGTTACTAGTTTTAATCGGAAATCACTATTTTTCTTTAGAAAATGATTCAAAAGTGACTTTTGATCAATCTAAACAAGTTTGTTACTAGTTTTAATAAAAAAAAATCACTAGTTTTCTGTAGAAAACTATTCAAAAATCGTTTCTGATCAGTCTAAACAAGTTTGTTACTAGTTTTAATCAAAAAAATCACTAGTTTTCTGTAGAAAACTATTCAAAAATCGTTTCTGATTAGTCTAAACGAGTACTTTGCGCTCTTTTTCTCTCCGATTAAACGCATCGTTTCTGGGTGCACTTTTTTATCTCTCAAAAGCCTAGATTCAATCTAAAGGCATTGCGTTTCTGTTAACCCTAATCAATTTCAAGTCAAGTTTTTCATTTAAAACAAGTTTAAAGGCTAAAGAATTTCAAGAGATTTTGGTTTTTGATTAAAAATTATCAAAAGATTTGAATTTTTAGCTCAGAAATTATTTCGTAATCTTTATCAGAATAGTTAGATCAAAAATTTGATAATTATTTCGAATCTCTTCAAAAACTATATGCAAATTTTGGGTAATCAGAAACAGGAAATCATGAAGCGGGAAAAAATCAAAGGAAAAGGAAGAATCGAAGCGATCGGATGGGGGAGAAAAAAGAGGTGGCTCTTCAGACCGGTGACACACACATGAGAGGTAGAAGAAGGGAATAAAGCCAAGGGGAAGGGAAGCTGCAGGAAGAGAAAGGACCGGTAGAGGGAAGGGGAAAGGGGAAAGCTGAGGAAAGGAGAAAGCTCAGAGAAATAAAGGAATAGATATTGGGGGAAAGGTGCACAGAAATTTCGATGAAACAGGCTACGAGAGAGATTAGACATTATAGGGACAGGCTACGGGGAAAACCTGTAGAAGGGAGAAACCTTTGAGAAGATGTTGGGAAAGGAGAGGAGCAGGCGACGAGAATGTTAGACAATGAACAGCGAGTGCAGTAGAGAGATACGCAGACTCCACCCCTTTCCATTCCTTTCCTTTCCAGAGAGAAACACCTAGCGCGCGCTGCTTTCATTCCGCTGAACCGCTGGGTGCTTTTCGCCCGTTGAATTGCGAGAAGCTATCCTTAGAATGCTGTTCTTGTTAGTCAATGGAGATTTGCTAATCTATGATGCTAACTATAGAAATAAATTGATAATAAATCTAGATGAGAGTGAGAAAATGATCAAAAAAAAGATCAATTTCACCATTTCAATAGTTTTTTTTTGTTTTTCAAATGAAAAAAGACCCAGGTTATAAGAAAAGGAGTACTAATAAGCTCTCATCAAAAAAAAAATCGGTTCATTGAACGGGTAAAAGTGAGCACATTGAAGTACGGATGATGCGTGAGATTGGTGAAAAGGGTGAAAAGTTGTCCAAAAGCTTTTCATATCAAATTCACATGTCCAGCTGTAGATAGGCATGTGAATCAAAAACTATCAAAATTCTGATAGTTTTTGCTGTTAAAAGTCAAGTTCAAAATAGAAAAAAAACACAATCAATGCCGCCGCATTGAAAAGAGACAGAAATTAGGCCAGGGAAATCGGTGAAATGAAAAAAAAGTCGCCGAATGAGCCTGAGAAAGTCTTTTTTTTTGTCCCAAAAAGGAGCGTTACAAGGAAATCGCACTTTTCTGTTTGTTTACAGTGTTCAGTGATTAAAGTAGAATAACGCATGATGGATTTTTGTCTTTACCTTTTTTTAAAAGTACTGTAGCTTGTTACATTATGTTAGGAGAAGAGAATAAGTCTGAAAAAGCTTCACGAATTGTTTAAAAACAATGTACTCTTAACTCAACAAGAAAATATAACAACAAAAAAACCCGGTTAAAAAATCACAAATTTAAAAATTGAGGCACAATTTGTAACAAGAAAAAAGAAAACAAAATAAAATCTCAAAATCTTAAACTGTGCTTAAAAAGCTAAACTTTCTGTATGATCGCAATCCAATTTCCCTGTTCGCAGATGATCTTCTCAATCGTGCACATTTCCGTTTCGAGGCACAACTCGGCGAGTTCGTTTTCCCGAAACACGTGATAGAATCTGAAGAAAATGGGTTTGGGTTTGGCTTAGATTTGCTTTTGATTTGCTAAAAGGTGCGCTCCGGGGAAATCCACCGTAATCCCAATATCTTTTGATTAAACCAAAAATTTACGTATTGTACTTTGAAACATAAACACAAACCAACCTTAGAAACGCCTTTCCTTTATTTTCATCCGTGGTACTTCCACCCTCGACTTGCCAAGGAACGAGAAGATCTTGTTGTTCAAAGCATTTCCCATCGTGTACCTAAAGTAAAATTTTAAAAAGAAAACGTCAAATTTTTAAAATGAATCTAACTCACTCGCAATCTCTCTCCTCCTTTGCTCTGTTCATTCATTTCGGTGTCGTCTTTGTTCTCACGCATTTTCGAGTACTGAGCGCCTAAACTTTTTTCATTATAGATCTTTTAAGCCTTTCCAGTTTAAAATCTGCTCTATAACAACTCATTGATTACATAGCTGAAACAGGGACACCAACCGGTTTGATCCATGCTCCAAACAGTGATACAGGCTCGCCCACCCGGGCGCAGCAGTCGCAACAACTCGCAAACCATCTCCAGTCTTCGTGAATGAGACGAGAGATGATGTAACACCTAAAAAATAAGCCATACCATTTAAACAGAAGAATCAGGTGCTTTGCATTTTATTCATTGAACAACTCACCGCTATGCAAAGCACAGCATCGGCGATTGGGCGAAATGGTTGTGCTCGTCCGTCGGCTCGCGCTACTTGACAATCCTTTCTTGCGGCGATTTGACAAAGGTTCATGCTCAAATCGGAGCCAAACTAAAGAAATTTGTTTCCAACTTTACAAAACATTTGCTTTCACCTTTACTAGTCGATCTTTTGCAATCAAGTACTTCCCATTACCACAGCCGACATCATAAACGAGTGAATAGTCGGGCAACGAGTCGAGAAATCTAAGAAAAAAAAAGCTTAATTTTAAATTTCCCCAAAAACACTTACCCCTGTACAGCTTTCCATTGTGAGTGTCGTGTTTCATCAAAATGTGGCGCGATTTCCTCGTAGACATTCGACACGTAATTCTGTTCGATGAACCGTGCCGATGAGTCGTTTTGTGGGATGCTCATCTCACCTAAGCTTTATGTTAGAAATTGGAAAAAAAAACCCTTATTTCTAAGCTCAGTAAAACGAACCATCTCGATCCCAATCGCAGAACTCTTTCCACGCACATTCACATGGCTTGTGTCGAATCTTGCGCATTGTTATCGAGACTCGTTTCCTTCGCGAGAATACCCGTCCATTCAGTGGATTCACATCGTATTTTCGATTCACAATACTAAATTTTATCAATATACAAATTTTGGTCATAAACACACCCATGTTTCCATCGATATCGGCTCTCTCCTTGAATGAGACTTAACGATCGTCTTGGTAACAAAACACCGGCGGTTCGGGCTGAATTGGCGCCATCTAAAAAATAGACAGTTGAAAGGCACCAATGCACTTTTTAGCTGTGTTTAATTAAAGTTTAAGTTTACTGAATGTTTGCTTGTGTTACCTTTAAATTCCATCACAACATCGCTGAGCAGACTGAGTGAAATCACCGGATCCTCGAAAGCCGAATGAGTGTCGTAGTGAGGGGGAATGCCTTGGCCCGGCTCGTAGATGTTGATTGTTATCTGGAAATTAAAAATATTCAAATGAAAGCTTATTTTATCATCTATACTGCCAGCTAAACATAGAAAGTTAGCCAAATGCTCATAAGCTTTCAACCTGATCAGGCTCAATCGTAACTCCATATCGTTGCACGGCTTTGATTAAATCATCGATTTCTTTTGGAATTGGCTCACATTTCTGAAAAGAGAAGAAATGAGAAACTTTTTAGAAAATACCTTGAACGATGTGTTGCTCGAATAGTCAAATTCATGCCCGAAGTGGAGAACGCTTCTGTGCTTAAGCACTTCACCTAAAATAAAGCTGAAATTTCTAGATTTTAAATAAAAGATTACATTGCGCGTGTTGAAGGATGAAATTCAAAAGCTTTTCCTCTTCGATTTCAGTGACGAAATCTTCGACGACGACCAAATCGTTGGGACGCAGTAAAGATGAAGAGGGACGAGCGGCGGGAACTCAAAAAACAGAAACCAATAATCAGATTGAATTGAATGCAATGTATATTTTTGCAAAACTAAATTCTACTCTTAAATCTTACGTTAATTAAAGTCAAAAAGCTGAACACTTACGATTTTCTACGTAGGCACACAAAAAGGGAAGATGCGAGCTGCGAAGTGCTGGATGAATGTATCCATGTAACTCATCGTACGCTTGCTTGGCCTAAAATTGGTAAATTTTAGTCTGATAATAACTGCCCAATTTTGATGATATTGGCAAACAAAAATCAAATTAAACCACCTTTTCTAGTGTCGAAAACTCGACAAACGAGTAAGCTCTTTTGTTCGGGAAAACAGTGATTTGCGCCTCCGCATCGTAGCCAACAAAAATCTCCTCGAGTTCTTCCAGCGAGACACCGCAAAGCACGCTGCTATTCGCCACAAAGAGCTTCTAAATTTAAAAAAACTTTATTGTGCTTTTCTGTTCCTCAAGGTATATTACAGTAACGTTGTAAAAAGTTCAAATTCATGAACCTTATCGAAAAAAAGGCCAACAAACCGTACCGCTGTGGGCGTATCGGAGACGATCACATCGGCGTCGTGTCGCTTCAGCTGTTGAACACTCTTCTGCAGCTTTCTCCGCAATTTGTCGCCGCTGAACGTGGTGCCCAATTGGCGCGGCTTGTTCTCGTTGAAGTCTAAAGTTTAATTAGTTTAAAAGGTTTTAGCTTTACAATAGTGTTCCTTTTAAAAATTCTAACCAGTAAGGTCATTGACTCAAGTAGCTTTTGTAACAGCTCAAAGAGAGATTTTACTGAAATTTTCTCGAAATAGAGTCAAGTTTAGTGACCATTTTAACGTGCATCTTCGCCTTGCCGATAAGTATTTGAATACGTAAAAAGAACTCACACATGCAATCCAAGTGAAAGTTTAGCGTTCAAAACGATCCAGTACCGCTTGGAGGTTCTAAAATACAATTTTCATTACAAATTATTAAAGATACAAGAAGATTTCAAGAAATCAGAGTCATTTTTGCAAACCGAAAACGATTTAAGCGTAACTTTCAAGTGTCTATAGAAATGTGGGGTAATTTTTGGGAGAAAAAGGGGAGATACCAAGCGTAATCGTTTCACGAAAGTGTTACTGTACAACGGAAAGCTGATGGGCCTAGAAAGTTAGCTGAAACATAAAAAGACATTGGGAAATTTAAAAAGTGAAAAGCAGAACATTTTTAAAACAAAAGCATAATAATTTATATCAACATTTCAGCTTTATCCTTTGATTAAAGATATTGAGGCAAAGAAGCTAAATTTACATTTATCATTAGGATAAAACTCAGCAATTCTTTTAGATCATTTTATTTCTTCGACTACTGATAAAATGGGATGTTGCCGGCCATTTTGGAGCTTTTTCACGAAATCGGAGCTTCGAGAGAGCCAAAAAAGCCAAAACAGAGATCCGCGAGCCGAAGATTCAACGCGAATTTGAGTGTTTAGCTGTAATTTTAAAGTTAACTTAGAAATTGTTTAGTTCATAATTTGGTGAAATTTTGGCGAAAAGCACTTTAGCTTATTTTGCTGTCATTCATCTGTTTCATTTTTTAGCGGACAAGCTGAAGAATTTGTATGATCGACGGCACTATCACGTGGAAAACGAGACGATCGGAGGTAAGAGGCTTTTGTTTTTGAATTGAGTTCTTATACTTCTAGATTTTACATTGTTATGAGTCAAATTTCAGCTAAAACTTACACGCAAAACTAAGAAACTTCATTAAAATTGATGCTTTTTACAGTTTCTGTATGTTTTATTTTTCAGAGCGAGCATGGGAAGCAACGCGAATTCTTTTCCTCCTTCTCGTCATCGTCATCACTACGATCTTCACGCTCGAGTTCTACTTTTACAAGACGAAGCGTTTCCTCGTCGCCGAGACCGTTGATGACTATTACAATCATGAGGTGAGTTTTGCTTATTGCAGGGTTTAGCACTAACTTAAGGATTAGATATAGTAAAATTTATTTATTAGCAGCAACAGCAACAACAGCAACAACAGCAACAGCAGTAACAGCAACAACAACAACAGCAACAGCAACAACACCAACAGCAGCAACAACTCACCGTCCCATTCATCAACCATTGATCGGCACTCATGCAAACGAACGGCTGATAGGAATCGGATAAGCTCGCATAATTATTTGGACGTTGAAGCCAATCTAAAAACGGCTAACTGCCAACTTTGATCGCATTCTGATTGTTTAGGTGATTCCGCGCCGATCGATCATCGCGATTTCCCGAATCTCAATTTGATCAGCCCGTTCTCGTTGACAAGTTTTACGTGGGTTCAACTTTCTCATGCATAAATGATCTTTTATTTTAGACTTCAACATTTGGGACTAGTGCATTCGATCGCTTTATACAATGGTGACCCGTATGAAGATTTGAGATGAGTCGGTGAACAACTTTTGTTATTTTTTGACGACTTTAGCAACGAGAAAGTTAACGAGGCCGACGCAAAGCACTACCCGAATTGTCACATCTTATTTAAAGGAAATTTTACACAGGTTATTTATTGATTTGAGATAAATAATGGGTTTTTGCTCTTTTCAGACATTCAAAGATATCTCGATTCTCAACGTCAAGATGATCACCGATCAAGAATTAGTCAAGATGATCACCGGAAATTCATTGAGCGTGTCATCCTGATTGGGGTATGTTTTTTAAAGGAAGCACTTTTATGTCGATGAATTATTGGTGAATTTAGGCAAAGAGCAAGGAAGAGCTGGCGGCAATGCGATGCCCACCATCGGTTCTCGTCTTTCAATATCATCACGGAGTGTCCGATTTTGCGAGAGCAAGTAAATATTACCCAGTTAACTACAATAAAATAGGAGTCTAAACTTTTAAACCTCAACAATTCTAAGCTATTCATTTTAGTATCGTTATGGGAAGAGGCAGCACGCAGCACAGAGGCGATCGATCCTATTCTCCGGATGTGGTGGATCGGGAAAAGTTCGTGGTTTTTTAAAAAAATATACTTTAAGTCAAACTTTTGACTAATGTTGACTAATGACTATTGACTAAATTTCATTTTTAAGGTGCGTAATCTTTTGAACTTTAGACATTTCAATATTTCGAGCCCGAAGCACAAAGACAGATGCACGGTGATTCGACAAACCGATGATGTTGATCCGGGTATAGCTTTTCGCACTTAATTTTACCTAGCTTCCAACTTTAACATAATTTAGTGCTTTGTTTAAGATTTTGCCTTAGACCTTGACAATTAATTTTTTAAAATCACGATTGGATTGAACAAGCTTGCTGTAGAGGTATTTCAAGAACAAGCTGCAAGAACAGGCTGCAAGAACAAGCTTGCTGTAGAGGTATTTTATTAAAAAATTTCAATCTTTTCGTTCAGGTTGCTTATTGAAATTTGTGAATGACGACAATGAAATTCCGGCATTTAAAAGAAAACGATGTATTTAATGAAGAGAGTTTTTCAAATACAGTTGTACATGATTAAGTCTAGTTTATTTGTTTACGATATTCAATTTCCTTGTGCGTTCTCATTTCTTTTGTAGGTGATAAAGTGACGAATAAATGATTCAAAGGATCATTAGAAAGAGGAATTTGTTCGGATGTTGATTACCGTTGATTTTTCTAGTTATTCCAATTTTTTTCCAAAAACTATCTGAGAATTTTTGTAGATTTTTGTGCTCTCACCGAATACTAAGATGCTGTTGATGCGGAAAAGAGCACGGGACGAGATTCCCATATCACCCCGACATCAGACATCCTCTTCTCCTTGCCCGATTGAAAGGCCATCCATATTCGGCGTTTGAATACATTGGGATTAGGTTGATATTTCTTTTAACTTCTTGATAAATCCTGTACTTTCAACGATACAATATTCTATTTGGTATGCTTTAGACTATGGTACTTTTGCTCGGCCACGAGACGAGACCAAGACTTTTGCTCCTCACTTGACGTTCGATACTCCGTTCTAAAGTGTGCCCTCTTTCGCCAAAACTAGGGAAACTGTACTTTTTATCTAATTCTGTGCAGGTTCACCAAAGATAGAATTATGATAGTTTTGGGGAAAGGGTTTTAGAAAACGCGTCCTACCTGGACTTTTCCTGTACAATCGATCGCAATCTCATCAGTATTCTGACTAGTCACACACATCGATTCGTCCATCCATTCCCACCTTTTCCCTTTTTCTCCGCTCCAATCGCTTTCCCCTTCTTTTCCCTATATCCTTTTTTGTCGATCAACGACGACGATGAGCTCTTCCCCCCAGCGCAGCCATAATATTATCATTCATTATGATTTTTTTGGCATTGCTTTTGAAGAGAAAAAAAATCTGTACACAATAGCCTATAAAGTTTGCATTGTACTAACGTTTTATTATCTGAATTTTATAAACTTTCTGCACCGCTGTACGTAAAATGATAGCTACAGTACCCCTTGGTTACTGTAACCATCTGGGAATACCACTGTTTTTAATTAACAGCTATTTCTAAGTCAATGACCCCAATTTTGATCAAATTCGATGAGGAAAATAATACAAAAATTAGGCTAATCGAATAAAAACTGATGGATTACGATAGTTTTTATAAAATTAGTGTTTTTTAGAAAATTATTTGCTGTTGCCCTTAGCTTTTTTTTTGATTTCCCTTCTCTTTTTTGACTACCAGTTTCCCCAGTTTATCGGCTAAACGTTGAATATTCAATTTTTGGCCAATGCAAAAACCCAAATGTCTTATCGATAAGACAGAAATTTCCCTGTTTTTCTCCCCAAACTCATTAGTATTCGACATTTTCACCGTACCACTCTCCACCCGACTTGCCCTCTCTTCCCCATCCGAATTCTCCACAATTGTCGAACGTGCCACACAACGATGAGATTATTATTCCCAGTCATTGTTTAGCACCTTCACAATCAAGAATTTATTCCGTGACGGTGGTAAAGTCATGATCAAATCGAGAACTATTCTATTTGAATTGTTACAGAAAAGTCATACCGTAGTCGACTATGTTTTCCTAAAGTAATCATCAAATTCCCAATTGTAAATCATTATTATGAAGAGTACGGTAAATAAATTATAATTTTATTATTCTTTTTACTGATTTTAGGACTTTCTTCCTGTTCATTCTAGCATTTTATGGAAATTTTGTAATTTTGTAATTTTGTCAGCTGTTAAACCCCTTCCCTTCAATTCCTTGGTGGTGCTAATGGGCAATGGATTACTGCTTTTGTGATAGAAATGTCGAACAATAGCGTAATCATTTCCCAAAAGAACCCCCTGAGCGAGATATTCATTTCCAATTGTGCTTTGTTTCTTTTCAGTGTTTAATGTATGTGTCAAGAAGCATGCGTCTGCGGGAAAAGCCAAGAACAGCAAAGAACACCAGGGTATGTTCCTCTTCAACTCAACTATTTAAGAGCAAAACTTTAAAATCATACTTGTAAATTGCTTTGTTGAAATAGAATAGTCGATTTGAAATGGCAAGAAGTGAAAATGACTTGAAATTGGCCTCACTTTTCTTTTTCAAAAATAAAACAAATCATTTCTTTGTGCCATTTCTCATTTCTCTTAAATATTCGATATGTTTTCTAAATTGAGAAATCGAATTTTTGAACTTTTCTATAGTTTATATTATTGGTTCTTTGATCGTTTCATCATCTATCCAATTATGAAAATCGTTTCCTCGGTGATGCGCATCACTTTCATGAACTTGGGATACGCTTTGAGTGATGGGGAAACGAAAATCGCGTGATTTTAAGATTTATTACTGTAATAGGGTTAAATTTAAAGGATAAACCATAAGAAATAGTAGCTACTTGTTAGAAATTCAAAAGAGAAACGTAGAAAACGTAGAACTTTTCTAAAAAGTTAATTTCTTTTAGTGATTTCACTCTGAAACACATTGATGAGTCTCATGCTGACTACAATCACATTCTTCTCTATGAAAAGTGCCTATCTTTTCATCCAAAATATCCAAAATTTAAAGGTAGACTTTATTAAAAACTTTATTTGAATGTTCCAATCAAAAAAATGATTCAGATCTCTCGTTACTAGAGGTCGGCTGTGGACAAGGCGGTGGACTAGCTTGGTTGAAGAGGTGAAACTTCAAAAAAAACTTCAAATTCGAGTTCAACCTTGTTCAGAACTCGTCCCGAGCTCCAAGCACTTCGTGGTATTGATCCAGTTGTCGTGGACTCGATTGGTGGTAAATTATTTATAATAGAGTCGATAAATGCTTTGAAAATAGGAATCATTCGTCATTCTAGGAATCATTCGTAAAGGTTCGGCCGACTCGATTCCCCTACAGTCAGCCTCGATCGATGTGGTGATCAATGTTGAGAGCAGTCATTTGTACAAACAACCAGAAAAGTTTCTCATTTCACTTTTTATTATGGGGAATTTTGTTTAAGATTCTTCCAAGAAGTCTATCGAGTACTCAAACCGGGTGGCCATCTTTGTTGGATCGATTTAAGACATGACTATCAGGTGGATAAATGAATAAATGAATAAACGAATAAATGAATAAACGAATAAATGAATAAATGAATAAATGAATAAACGAATAAATGAATAAATGAATAAGCGAATAAACGAATAAGCGAATAAACGAATAACTAGATTAGAATGATTCCTTCAAAGTAATGTCTAACCGAAAATTTAGCTTGATGAGCCCTATAAACAAGCGGAAGCAGCCGGTTTTGATTTGACGCAATCGGGTGAGTGTCTTCTTGTTTAATCTTTTATCTTTTATTGAAATACGAATTGATAGGAAAAGCTTTGAACATTCTAAATATGTAAAGAATTTCAAACATTTACAATTTTCAGAAGATGTCACCGATCAGGTGGTCGAGGGAATTCGAAAAACCTCAGCGAAATATGATGCAATGTTGACCAAGGTGCAATAAATCTATGCAGATTTTTAGGACTCAGAATAGTGGATTATCGTATTTTCTCTAATAGTAGTGCACCCAAAGCTTCTCCTAAATTCCTCGAAATCTCGAGAACCGCTTATCAAAACCTATCGATGTGAGGTCGGAAAATGTAGCTGACGATGAGATCTAGTGGGGGATTTGAGTGTTGGACTTCTGGGGAAACTTGGAAAGCCGTAAATTAGTCATCAACTCGGCTCGTCGGGTTGCACTACTATTAGAGAAAATACGGTTCCAATACGGCTCCAATACGGTTCCAATACGTTTCCAATACGGTTCCAATACGGTTCCAATACGTTTCCAATACGGTTCCAATACGGTTCCAATACGGTTCCTTTTAAGAATCCAATACGGTTCCAATACGGTTCCAATACGGTTCCAATACGGTTCCAATACGTTTCCAATACGGTTCCTTTTAAGGATCCAATACGGTTCCAATACGGTTCCAATACGGTTCCTTTTAAGGTTCCAATACGGCTTCAATATGGTTCCAATACGGTTCCTTTTAAGGTTCCAATACGGTTCCTTTTAAGGTTCCAATACGGTTCCTTTTAAGGTTCCAATACGGTTCCTATTTTGATCCAATACGGTTCCAATACGGTTCCAATACGGTTCCAATACGTTTCCTATTTTGATCTAATACGGTTCCCATACTACAAGCAGAACTTATCAAATAGTTTCCAAACGTTTCAAAATCATTAGATAATAGTTAATGCAAAAGATTTCCCAATATTTTATCGACTTTTCAGGCTCCTTGGATGGCCCGGTTATTCGCCGGTTCGTTGCGGGAGACCTATTGTGCACCAGGAACTCACTCTTTCAATCGACTCTTCACTCGGCAAAAACTTTACCATTGTGCTGCGTGGAGGAAAAATTGAGAATTCAATTGGATAAACATAACATTGAATAACATAAAACATTGAAAGATTTATTGAAAGAAGCACAAATATTACATTTTAACAGAGATTTTTTAATGAAAATAACTAACAGAATTATTGAAGTAATAATCATGGAATACGATTATTTAAAAAAAAAAAGTAAAACCTATTGAAAGTTAGGAAAACAAAACAAGAAAAACAGATATAATATTCAATTTTTAACCTCATACAAGTCATTTGCAAAAGTCTTTTCACATTCAATTTTCTTTGATAAATTTCATGGCGCTCTTTAAGCGATCAATAGTTTAGAGTTACATAAATATATATGTTGTGTCCTATTTAGATTTCCGTTCGATTTAGATTGAACTTATCGCGGACGTCCGATTTAGATTACAGTCTATATCGGACGTCCGATTTGGATTCAATCTAAATCTTATATAGATTGAACAATAATATAAACATGCTTAATATATGTTCTTAAGCGTTTTCTGTAGTTTTCTGCATTTTTCATTATATTTTTTCATTTTTCATTGCATTATATACAATTTATTTACACAAACGTTATCCCTATACAACGCTTATTCATCGAGAAAAAAATATATAATTGTCAAAACACCCCTGAAAATTGTGATGCAAAGGGAGTGGGACAAATGCGACCTTTCTTGTGCGCACCCGGACATTTGCGCGCCTTTTTTTCCGCACTTAGCCCATTAGCGCACTTTTTTTCGCGTTTTAAAAAAGCTCTAAAAGCTAATATTAACCAATTTCTATTTCAAAAGTTGTTTTTCTAGGTAATTTTAGGGCGTAGAATCGAAATTTTGGCATATCAGAGCTTGTGGAACCAAATTGAAAGACCAATTTGAAAGACAAAACGGCTAGATCAAATTACAGAAAATTGTCGATTTTTCTCTTTGTATAACTCCGTCCGTTCGCTTCCACAAGCTCTGATATGTCAAAATTTCGATTCTACGCCCTAAAATTACCTAGAAAAACAACTTTTGGAATAGAAATTGGTTAATATTAGCTTTTAGAGCTTTTTTAAAACGCGAAAAAAGGTGCGCTAATGAGCTGAGTGCGGAAAAAAAGGTGCGCAAATGTCCGGGTGTGCCCAAAAAAGGTCGCATTTGTCCCACTCATTTGACCCAAAATTTAACCGCTTTTCAAAAGGTTTTTATTTAATTTAATGGCATAAGCTATTCTAGAAAGTGCTTTGAAAGTATGGAATACCCAAGAATCCTTGTTAAACCGTTAAACAAAATTTGCTCAAGCTCAACTTATAACAACCCTTGTTAACAACTCAACTCCGAATTCGCTACCTTTTTCAAAAATGCGAAAAGCTTCTCCAAAAAGCGCATCACTTTGCAAAATATCGAGGCTGGCTAATAAAGTTTGTTAAGCTTTTGTTGAAGTCCGCTGAATCTCATTTTTCGCTTGTTTTCTAGCTTAAGTGTTGGGCTTAGACTGGTCAAAGTCTAATAAATTCATTAACTCCAGTAATGTTGTCGATACTATGCTCGAGCTTAAAAGCCAATAAAACCTTCTCTTCTCTCACCTTCTCTACTTCTTTCACAACTTCATCATCGCTGGCCATTCCCTCGATCCGATCGTTCCAAACAACACAAAGAAAGTCACCTGAAAATGAAAAGTTTAGCAAAGGTTAACGAATTTCAATATGAAAAGCAGAGAAAAACGGTTTAACAAGGATTCTTGGGTATTCCATACTTTCAAAGCACTTTCTAGAATAGCTTATGCCATTAAATTAAATAAAAACCTTTTGAAAAGCGGTTAAATTTTGGGTCAAATGAGTGGGACAAATGCGACCTTTTTTTGGCACACCCGGACATTTGCGCACCTTTTTTTCCGCACGCAGCTCATTAGCGCACCTTTTTTCGCGTTTTAAAAAAGCTCTAAAAGCTAATATTAACCAATTTCTATTCCAAAAGTTGTTTTTCTAGGTAATTTGAGGGCGTAGAATCGAAATTTTGGCATATCAGAGCTTGTCGAAACAAACGGACGGAGTTATACAAAGAGAAAAATCGGCAATTTTCTGTAATTTGATCTAGCCGTTTTGTCTTTGGTTCCACAAGCTCTGATATGCCAAAATTTCGATTCTACGCCCTCAAATTACCTAGAAAAACAACTTTTGGAATAGAAATTGGTTAATATTAGCTTTTAGAGCTTTTTTAAAACGCGAAAAAAGGTGCGCTAATGGGCTAAGTGCGGAAAAAAAAGGCGCGCAAATGTCCGGGTGCGCAAAAAAAAGGTCGCATTTGTCCCACTCCTGATGCAAAAGTCTTTTCACACTTCAGTCTTTAAGCTTTAATCAATATTTAGTCGCTGCTCCTTTTGCCAAAAGTACTTCTTTAATACGAGTAGGCATCGATGCAATTAATTCATCAAGAATTCCAGGTCCAATCGTCCTCCAAATTTTTCTGGTGTAATAATGTATTATTTTCCTCATCGAGTTTGCTCAAAATTGGGGTCATTGACTTCGAACATCGTTCTCGGAAGCAAACCGCAGCTTCTTTTGCAAGGACCAAATAGAATTTTCGCCATTAAAAGTCAATTATTTTTTATATTCGAAAATTTCTCTTGCAGTTTAAGTAAAACAAGCAAAAATTGGAAACGGTCTACTGCTTCAAGTTTTAAACTATAACTTTGGAAATTTGAGACTTTTTAAACTATAACTTTGGAAATTGAGACGTTGTAAACTATAACTTTGAAAATTGAGACTTTTTAAACTATAACTTTGGAAATTGAGACGTTTTAAACTGTAACTTTGGAAATTGAGACTTTCTAAACTATAACTTTGGCAATTTGACACGTTTTAAACTATAACTTTGGAAATTGAGACTTTTTAAACTATACCTTTGGAAATTGAGACGTTTTAAACTGTAACTTTGGAAATTGAGACTTTCTAAACTGTAACTTTGGAAATTGAGACTTTCTAAACTATAACTTTGGCAATTTGACACGTTGTAAACTATGACTTTGGAAATTGACACGTTTTAAAAGGCCGTAACTAACAAAAGCACATTTAGAAGAAGTTTTTTTGAGCACTATGCAAAGATTGTAAAATCATTTTAGCATTTGAAATCGAAATGCCGTTTTTGTTTCGGTTTTCTTTGAGTAAAATGAGCGTCTCTGGCATTCTGATAAGCTGTCAAAGTGTTTACATACAATGTTTTTTGCGTGATAATAAGAAGCTTCAATTTATTTAAGGTTCTATAAATCTCCGGCTATCAATTTTGTTCAATTCTTGACGATATTCGCTCGTTTCATCGTCTCGGTGTCTCTGGTGATCGCTTTGGCGTCATCGAAAAGAGTTGGCGCCTGAAATTGGAAAAAAATTGAAATTGGAAAGCTCTTTGAACTTTAAAAGTCTTCTTTGAATACTCTAGTGTGAGATTTGATTGATAGACTTGTTTAACGCATTTGCGACGAGGATTTCTTATGAATTATTGCATAAACATTGATCAAAATCAGAAATTGATCGACTTTCAAAGATCAAAATCGACTTATTCACCTAGTATTTGGTTTTAAAATGACCAAAATCGACTTATTCACCTAGTATTTAGTTTTAAAATGATCAAAATCGATTTATTCACCTAGTATTTAGTTTTAAAATGATCAAAATCGACTTATTCACCTAGTATTTGGTTTTAAAATGATCAAAATCGATTTATTCACCTAGTATTTAGTTTTAAAATGACCAAAATCGATTTATTTACCTAGTATTTAGTTTTAAAATGACCAAAATCGACTTATTTATCTAGTATTTGGTCTTAAAATGATCAAAATCGACTTATTCACCTAGTATTTGGTCTTAAAATGATCAAAATCGATTTATTAAAATTCTTTCTTCGATTTCGAAAGTCTAAAATGTAAAAGAAATGAAAGAAATGACAAAAACGTTTGTTGGAAATGTGTTAAATTTTGAAATTTAAATTTAAATTCAATTTAAAACCTGAAACAAAATGTATAGAGTGCCAACAAAGCACGCTGTCGCGAATATCAACAAAAACAAACGATCCAACACCATTGCCACATATTTCCAATCTTCCTCGATCTGCAATTCTTGTTGATAAGTTTTATTAGGAAAAGTTTTCTCAAAAGAACTAGCTCGTAAGCTTTATCGAAAAGCGACAACTTGCTGCTTTAAAAAAACGCTTATAAAAAAACTTTTGTGCATTGGTAAACGCAAAAAAATACGATTTTCTATGATTTGCCCATACAACTGCCATACAACTAAACCATTTAAAACTCATTTAAAACCATTTTCTTATCATTCTCTTACATTTCCTTTCACTGGAACTCCATCGGTCATTTTTTAAAACCATTCTCTTACATTTCCTTTTACTGGAACTTCATTGGCCATCATTCTTACTATTCTCTTACATTTCCTTTTACTGGAGCTCCATTGGCCATTATTCTTACTATTTTCTTACATTTCCTTTCACTAAAATTCCAATGGCCACTTTTCTTACCATTCTCTTACATTTCCTTTCACTAAAACTCCAATGGCCACTTTTCTTACCATTCTCTTAAATTTCCTTTCACTAAAACTCCAATGGCCACTTTTCTTACCATTCTCTTACATTTCCTTTTACTAAAACTCCATTGACCATTTTTCTCACCATTCTCTTACATCTCCTTTCCCCATCCCCCTTCCTCACCTTGTCATTTCGATCTTTTTTCTTCAATAACTCGGCAATAAAGCAAATATTGTCGAAAGATCTGACTATCTGAAATAAAACTTTTACGTATTTGTTTACAAATTTCAGTCTAGAAATCCATAAATTATGAATTCGTTGACCGCAAAAAAAAAACTTTACTAAACTTTTTTTTGGCTTTTTCGTTAAATATTGGAGAATTTCTCAAGAAAACGAATGCAATAAAAGAATTTTTAAAAATTACAAATAAAAATTAGCAGAATTTGTGAAAAAAAGAGACCTGTGGCGAAAAGTAGAGCTTCTGAATGCGCTCATCAATTGCCGAATTTCCTAGCGCTCGTCCGAATCCAACCTAATTTGAATTTGTTCAAACAAGCTCAACAAATTCTGTTAAAAGTAACCCCTAAAGGATGTTTTTGCTGGGGTAATTCTATGCAATTCTATGCCTTAATTACAAAAATCCACATCTTAAAGCCGGATTTTGAGTTTTAAGAGCAAAAAAAATAGGAAAATAAAAATTTTTTTTTTTTTAAATTCATGTGGTCCCCCACATGGTGATTAAAAAAAAATTTTTTTTTTTTTTAAAATTTGATTTAAAACAGTTTATTATTGTATTTTATTGAGTAAAAAGTAAAAAAAAAAGGATTTGAGAAAGTTTAGAGACAAGTAGACACTTGAAACATCATTTCATTTGTGAGGGAAAACCCCCATCAAGTCACTATCAAACAAACATTTCATTTGTGAGGGAAAACCCCCATCAAGTCACTATCAAAATCAGCTCGCAACTCGAGTTTTAGTTGAGGAAACTAGTTTTGAAAGTAGATTTTGAAGCTAGTTTTGAAGCTCGATTTTGAAATTTGAAACTAGACTTTGAAATACCAATTTTCTAACTCAGCAAATAGAAAAATTCTATAAAAAACTGAATTTAGGGGGTTTTTTTGGGGGAAAATTGATCTAGTGGAAATAAAGTATACTTTAATCCAAGTTTTTTCGCAAATTTGGCTTCTTAACTTAATAATAGTTGAATAAAATATTGAATAAAAGCTTTTCGCACTAGACATTCTTGCTTTCAACCCTTCTGTCAATAGGTGTACAACGGAAAGACGAGATTTATCGACTTTAAAATGAAAAAAAATTCTCTGATTCTTTTCCTCTTGATTGTTTGAGTGTTAAGCTTCTGCGAAAATTTAGAAAGCGTAAAATAGTCATCAACTCAGCTCGCCGGGGTGCACTACTATTAGAGAAAATACGGTAGTTTAGCCCATGTTGAGTAAAAGCTTTTCCCACTAGACATTATTCATTTCAATCCTCCTCTGTCAATAGGTGTACAACGGAAAGACGAGATTTATCGACTTTAAAACGAAAAAAATTCTCTGATTCTTTTCCTATCAAAAAGATCGGATTTTTAATTCACTATAACTTGATAATAGAAATTTAAATTTATTGGGTTGGGGACTATGACTCGGCGCCGAAAAATGTCTAAAACTTCTAGCAGACTTCGTCAAATAATATCAGTAGAATGGTTAACTAATTCTCTACAAAACGACATTTAAAAGAAAATTCAAACAGCGCCTCCGCTCAAGAAAAAGCCATTTTTTCACAAAAACTACAAACTGTGATCTAGAAAAAAACCATTGGTGGGATCTTCCTGCAAATTTGGCAACTTAAGTAATTGAATGTGCTCTATCTTTTTTATATAAACACCAAAGAAGGTTTATGTGAAAGAAACTGTTCAAATGATGAGTCGGACTCTTTGCCATTTTGACTAGCTGTGTTTGGGAGTCCATAAACTCGACGAAAGAAAAGCTTTGTGGAATCTCTCAAAAGTGATTTTGTAGAGAAATAGTGGATCCTTTTGATGAAACCAAACGTATGTTTAAAGAAGGCTTTATGTGTGCAAAAAGTCCCTTTAAAGTTTGGCGCCGACTCATTCTCCCCAACCCAATAAATTAAAAAAAAAAACTCTTGTTTAAAGCAGATAAATCTCCTTTTTTTCCGTTGTACACCTATCGACAGATGGACTGTAAAGATCGATTCAAAAAGAAACTCACTCACCGACTCTTTGACGCGATGCTCGTGAAAGTTCAGTGGGATTTTCCCGTCCAATGTTGTGGAACCTGTTTTGGAATGATTGAATGATTGAATGATATACCGTAAATACTCTAATAGTACCCCACGGCCCATAATGACGGTGCGGAGCATCGCGTAGTCTAACTTTGAACGAGGCTTTTCTCGACACCGGTTTATGCTACAATGCGCGTTTAGATATCAAAAAATAGCTGAAATTCAGGGCTATTTTTTGATATAAAAAACGCATTTTTTGAAAGTACGAATGCTTGAGCATAAACCTTGAGCATAGCCCTGAATTTCAGCTATTTTTTGATACCTAAGCGCGCATTGTAGCATAAACCAGTGTCGAGAAAAACTCGTTCAAAGCTAGAAACTAAAAAAATAGCCGAAATTCAGGGCTATTTTTTGATATAAAAAACGCATTTTTTGAAAGTACGAGCGCTTTGAAAAAAATGAAATACTAAACAAAGCTTTTGCGACTACGCAACTGTACGAGGGGGATGGGGTACTATTATAGTGTTTACGGTAGGTATTTATCGGAATTTTGTTTATAGCCCTTTGTTTATAGACTTTTTCAAATTTAAACCGCGGTCAGGGCCCAGAAGTGGCTGATTCCTTTTGCAAATTCCCTTTGCTTCCAATGCCTCTTTATCAAATTCATTTCCCGTTAGAGCCGCTAGATTATGGAACTTGCTCCCAAACGACATACGAGAAATTCAGTCGCTTTTCATATTCAAGAAACGTATCGATGCTTTAGATCTAGTGGCTCTTTGCCGTAAGTAATTGGCTTATTGATTTCAGTATGTATTGTATGATTAAGTATCACTGTGCATTTCTCTATGATTTCTTTCACTGTATTGTATGATTTCTTTCACTGTATTGTATGATTAAGTATCACTGTGCATTTCTCTATGATTTCTTTCACTGTATTGTATGATTTCTTTCACTGTATTGTATGATTAAGTATCACTGTGCATTTCTCTATGATTTCTTTCACTGTATTGTATGATTTCTTTCACTGTATTGTATGATTAAGTATCACTGTGCATTTCTCTATGATTTCTTTCACTTTATCGTTTGAATAAAGTATTATTATAAACAAAGCTTTTGCGACTACGCAACTGTACGAGGGGGATGGGGTACTATTATAGTGTTTACGGTAGGTATTTATCGGAATTGGGTACTGCAATTGTTGTGACAATTATCGTGCACCCTGTAGAGTTTATCCATGAGAAGAGTTACCATAAATACTGTAATAGTACGGCACTCTCATAATGACGGTGCGGAGTGTTGCGGAGTCTAGCTTTGAACGAGGCTTTTCTCGACACTGGTTTAAGCTACAATGCGCGTTTAGATATCAAAAAATAGCCGAAATTCAGGGCTATTTTTTGATATTAAAGACGCATTTTTTGAAAGTACGAATGCTTTGAAAAAATGGAATACTAAACTTTTGCTTTTGCTTTTGCTACTAAACTACTAAAAAACTTTTGCGACTACGCGACTGTACGAGGGCGGTGGGGTACTATTACAGCATTTACGGCAGCTTTTTTTAAAATTTTCAAACTAACGCCTTCACTTTTACATATTTTATTAATCTTTTAAGCAAACTCGACAAAATTCGTCCTTTTTTCGAGCCTTTTTCGATTCCAGCCGGGCGACGCATGAAAAGCATCTAAAAGCTAAAAAAAATAACAATCTTCAAATGGGTTTTCGGGAGTGGGTCAAATGCTACCTTTTTTTTTGCGCACCCGGACATTTGCGCACCTTTTTTTTCCGCACTTAGCCCATTAGCGCACCTTTTTTCGCGTTTTAAAAAAGCTTTAAAAAGCTAATATTAACCAATTTCTATTCCAAAAGTTGTTTTTCTAGGTAATTTTAGGGCGTAGAATCGAAATTTTGACATATCAGAGCTTGTGGAAGCGAACGGACGGAGTTGTACAAAGAGAAAAATCGAACGCTAGGTCAAATGACAGAAAATTGTTGATTTTTCTCTTTGTATAACTCCGTCCGTTCGCTTCCACAAGCTCTGAGATGCCAAAATTTCGATTCTACGCCCTAAAATTACCTAGAAAAACAACTTTTGGAATAGAAATTGGTTAATATTAGCTTTTTAAAGCTTTTTTAAAACGCGAAAAAAGGTGCGCTAATGGGCTAAGTGCGGAAAAAAAAAGGTGCGCAAATGTTTTATAAAAGCTTTTCTAGAAAATTGATCAATTCAAACCTTTGGTAACCAGTTTAGAAAGACGACTTTCACCCAATTCGGCATAATGTGCGTGATTGGGGTTCGGAAGTGAAGATTCAGCGCTAAATTTGAATCAAAATTTGTCAGAAAATGTCAGAAAATCATCCGTATGTTGACAAGAAAACAACAAATTCTTTGAAACTCGCATACAAATGACAGTGACCACAACGGAGAGCGTGACCATCACCATTGTGAATAGAAGATATTTGCCGATCAATGGAAGGGTGATTGATGTGGCTGGGATGATTTCGGTCTGCAAAAAGTGTGAAATAAAGCCTCATTTCAACCAAAGATTCTCGATAAATAAGGTGAAAAAAAACTCGAATTTAATGCGAATTTTTTTCAAAACAATAGACAGGATTACATCATTTATCATTTAATTTGAAAAAGTTGATGTTCCATGATAAACCTATTGACAATCTTTAGATGGAGCTAAATTCCATGATAAACCCATTGACAATCTTTAGATGGAGCTAAATTCCATGATAAACCTATTGACAATCTTTAGATGAAAGTTTAGGTGAAAAACAAGCTTGGAAACCAAAAAATGCACAAACTGTAAGTGCAAAACTCTGTTTTTTTTTGTTGTGGATTCGTGTTTTCTCACGTATCATTTGTGATTTCTTCTGAATTTGAGCTACAGCTTTCTGAGCTACAGCTTTCTGAGCTACAGCTTTCTGAGCTACAGCTTTCTGAGCTACAGCTTTCTGAGCTACAGCTTTCTGAGCTACAGCTTTCTGAGCTACAGCTTTCTGAGCTACAGCTTTCTGAGCTACAGCTTTCTGAGCTACAGCTTTCTGAGCTACAGCTTTCTGAGCTACAGCTTTCTGAGCTACAGCTTTCTGAGCTACAGCTTTTTGATCTACAGCTTTTGAGCTACAGCTTTTGATCTACAGCTTTTGAGCTACAGCTTTCTGAGCTACAGCTTTTTGATCTACAGCTTTTGAGCTACAGCTTTTGAGCTACAGCTTTTGATCTACAGCTTTTGATCTACAGCTTTCTGAGCTACAGCTTTTGATCTACGGCTTTTTGATTTCAAAATGCTAATAACCAGTTTCCCCTGTCAACATCTACTATTGTACTTACCAATAGCAAAAAGAAGAAAGTCAATGCGGCGAGAATGGAGATACACAGCGTTACCTAAACATTTAAACATTATCTTGATGGTGAATGCTCTAAAAAATCTAAGTAAAATGAAAATATGAAAAGCTTTTCATCAAAAGCGATTCAAACACATAAAAAAAAATGAAATAGATAAAAAAAATAGATAATCAAATAGATAAAAAATAGATAATAAAATAGATACCGTATTTCTTCGAATAGAAGACCGGGGTAAAGAGTATGATCGCGTACTCCTGCGTAGCAGCCCTTTTGTAAAATTTCTTTTCTGCATAAAAGCTTTCAATCAAGTGCTATAGAGCTGGAAAATGACTCAAAAATACGACATGAGCTAACAGATTTTTGAGCCATTTTCCAGCTCTATAGCACTTCATTGAAAGCTTTTATGCAGAAAAGAAATTTTACAAAAGGGCTGCTACGCAGGAGTACGCGATCATACTCTTTACCCGGTCTTCTATTCGAAGAAATACGATAATAGAAATGTACCTTTTCACCGGAATCTGGAGGAAGATAGAAAACGAGAATGGTGAGAAAGGAGATGCCGACACATGGAAACACAAGATTCACCGTATAGAAAAGGGGTTTTCGTCGTAGCACCAAGTAATACTAAATTTTTCTTGTAAACCTTTTACAACGATTTTTTTACCCACAATGATATCCATAAAAGCCGATCCGGGACAACAACTTGGATAATTCTTGCTTCTGCTCTTTGCCACTCTTGACATAATATCCCATTCGACGGATGGATAGTAATCAGAGAGATCTGAATAAAAAAAAAGTGTGTTTTGATGTGATTTTCGACCTTAAAACATTACGATTTACAGTTTAACGAACGAAATTTTACTAAATAACGAATGCTGAAAGGATTTAGCGAGATTTAACTATTCCAATTCCAATACCAATTCCGTCCACAGCAATCGTCACGTCGTCCATCACACCCAACTCGTTTTTCTCCTTTTCGTGATGAACGTCGTTTTCTTAAAATTGATTCTTTGATTGAAATTATTGATTGATTGTTTAAAATGGATTCTTTTTGATCGAAATATTGATTGGTTCTTTAAAATAGATTCTTTTTGATCGAAATATTGATTGCTTGTTTAAGATGGATTCTTTGATTGAAATTATTGATTGGCTCTTTAAAATTGGATCTTTTTGATCGAAATTATTGATTGTTTCTTTAAAATGGATTCTTTTTGATTGAAATATTGATGGATTCTTTGTTTGAAATTATTGATTGGCTCTTTAAACTGGATTCTTTTATTGAAAAATTGATTGATTATTTAAAACTGATTCTTTTTGATTGTTTGGCTCTTAAAATGGATTCTTTTTGATCGAAATATTGATTAGTTCTTTAAAATGAATTCTTTTTGATCGAAATATTGATTGATTGTTTAAAATGGATTCTTTTTGATTGAAATTATTGATTGGTTCTTTAAAATGAATTCTTTTTGATCGAAATATTGATTAGTTCTTTAAAATTGATTCTTTTTTTGATTGATTTTTTTAAACGAGAATGGTGAGAAAGGAGATGCCGGCACATGGAAACTTTTTTAAATTAAAAAGAGCACGTGTGGCTGACTGGTTAAGTGTCTTTTATCTTAATCGGAAGGTCGAGGGTTCGAACCCCACATGCGACATGGTCACCCCCTTCGGATTTCCTTTCCCTTCGGGTTGAGAGGTTTTCTGGAGGGCAGTCTGGTGGTTGTGGCCCCAGTTCTTTAAAGTGACAAGCCACTCCTTCATCGTCATCTTCCCTTCACCACCAAAAAAGCTATTTAGTTCCCCATTGAGCTTAGGGTTAGGGAGCCGTCTGTCATGACGTGGGTTAAGTTAAGTTATAGCCTAGTATTGTGTGTGTCGTTGTATTGTGATTGATATATTTCGTGTATGCGATAAATTCACCACTGGTAGCCCCAGTCGGTATTTTTTTTTTTTTAAAAATTGATTCTTTCTTTTAAGTTAAAAACGATTTTTCTAAAATATGCATCCTTAAGGACAAATCTTTTTTGCTCTCATAAATGAATAGAATACATGAGAATGATGACTTCCGATCGTCTCAAATCAGTGAAATCGTGTGACTAAAGTTTGGAATGCCCTTGCCGACAAGTTGCGTTTGATCTCCACCGTGTCTGATTTTAAAAGGGCTATTTCGTTGCATTTTAAGTGACTTTGTCATCTTTTATTTTGTACATTTTTCATTTATTTCTTTCTGAATTCGCACTTTATTTCTTTCTGAATAAAGTATTTACCGTATTCTCTCTAATAGTATTGCGCACTACTATTTTTTCAACCCCCTCCTGGACCGCAATACTATTAGAGAGTGCAATACTATTAGAGAGAATACGGTATATAAATGAATAGAATACATGAGAATGATGACTTCCGATCGTCTCAAATCAGTGAAAAATCGACGAAAATTTATTAAAAGAACACTCATCGTTTCTTTTTTTTATTTCTAATAAATAAAAAAAGAGTATTTATTAGATTCTTACCGAACAGCTCTTACCGAACAGCTCTTACCGAACAGCTCTTACCGAACAGCTCTTACCGAACAGCTCTTACCGAACAGCTCTTACCGAACAGTTCTTACCGAACAGTTCTTACCGAACAGTTCTTACCGAACAATTCCAATTGCAACAAATTGTCGTCATAGGTCCAAGAGCCGAATTTGAGATTGCATTTTTGCTCGTCAAAAGGAAACCTAAAAGGAAATTTTTAATTTAATAAAATTGAATTAAAGCCATTGAATTAAAGCCATTGAATTAAAGCCATTGAATTAAAGCCATTGAACTAACCATTGAACATCGATTTGACAAAGAGATTTGAGAATAGCCGGCGGCTCCCAAGTCACCTAAAAACTGATAAAAAAAGTTTCTATTGGGTTGTCCAGTTATGAAATGCGCGTTTTTACTATTTTGCAAATTTCTCAAGATATCGAAGAGATTTAGATGAGTGTTATATATCATTCGAAAGCTGAAGATCTCCTCTACATTTTGGAATAAAAAGTTTTCGAATTCATTCAACTTTTTGGGAAATTGAGTGCACAGAAGAAGAGGTGACCAAAAAATGGAAGGGTGCCTTTGGATCAAGTTTTGGCTCCGCTCAAATTGAGTTAACCGTTTGATGTTTGGCCAATAGATCTATCAATACAACTTTTTTTTTTAAATATAACAATTTCAGAGCATCTTCACTTTTCTTTTCTTTTCTGGGCGGTTATTTTACACCACAAAACTTGAGGAATAGCTAAGCTGGAATGGGGGTTTTTTTTTTCTCAAGATATCGAAGAGATTTAGATGAGTGTTATATATCATTCGAAAGCTGAACATCTCCTCTACATTTTGGAATAAAAAAGTTTTTGAATTCATTCAACTTTTTGGGAAATTGTTTGCACAAAGGGAGAGGTCGTTTTCAAAAAAAAAAACCATTTCAGCTTAGCTAGTCCTCAAGTTTTATGGTGTAAAATAACCGCCCAGAAAAGAAAAGAAAAGTAAAGGTGCTCTGAAATTGTTATATTTAAAAAAAAAGTTGTATTGATAGATCTATTGGCCAAACATCAAACGGTTAACTCAATTTGAGCGGAGCCAAAACTTGATCCAAAGGCACCCTTCCATTTTTTGGCCACCTCTTCTTCTGTGCAGTCAATTTCCCAAAAAGTTGAATGAATTCAAAAACTTTTTATATCAAAATGTAGAGGAGATCTTCAACTTTCGAATAATACTCATAAATATCTTTTTTTTTGATTTCGGTATCTTGAGAAATTTGCAAAATAGTAAAAAACGCGCATTCATAACTGGACAACCCAATAGAAAGCGATGGAAACGATGGGAAACGATGGGAAACGATGGGAAACGATCGAAACGATCAAAACGATCGAAAAGATCGAAAAACAGATCGATGCCTCTTTCAATAACCTCTCCCGAATAGTGAAGAGTGGCCTTCGTCGAGATGGTGATGTTGTAGTAGCTCTCGGCACTGTAAAACAAAAAAAAACCCTTTTGAATTCTTATTCAACACATCACTTATTCAAATTGAAATACTTCTAATTGAACTCTACAAAATATCTATATCATTTACTTATTATAGAGAACAATATCGGGCACCCAGATCATCTCATACGGCACATACAACACCGAGACACCGCCATAATTCCGCGGATCCCACGAGAGCTTTTTATCGATCCAAACCTTAAAAAAAAATGTGATTACCGTATTTTCTCTAATAGCGAGCCGAGTTGATGACTATTTTACAGTTTCCAAGCTTTTGCAGAAGCTCAGCACTCAAATCCTCCACTAGATCTCATCGTCAGCTATATTTTCCGACCTCACATCGATAGGTTTTGATAAGCGGTTCTCGAGATTTCGAGGAATTTAGGCAAAGCTTTGGGCACACTACTATTAGAAGACAGGGAATATTAGACAAGGAAGGGCGAACAGACAAAAAGAAGAAAGAACCGAAGAAATTAAAAAAAAGTTAAGTTTTTAGGGATTTAGGGAATTGAGGAGGGAGGGGGGGGGGGGGGGGGGGGGGGCGGTGACTATTTTACAGTTTCAAGTTTTGAATAACTCTTTTCCCCTAAAGGTCCCATCGTCAGCAAAATTTTCCGCCCCACCCCCCCTTCGTTAGGTTCTGATAAGCGGTTCTCGAGATTTCGAGGAATTTAGGCAAAGCTTTGGGCACACTACTATTAGAGAAAATACGGTATAAGCTTCTTTAAAAAAAAGACTCCAAAAAAGACTCCAAAATTTCTCTAAATCTTTTTTCAATTTAAATATAAGAATTATGGACTAAAGATATGATAGAAATTCAGAAATTTCAGAAGTTCAGACATTCAGAAATTTCAGAAATTCATTTCAAATCATTCAAATCATTCAAATCATTCAAACCTGTTTTAACCAAACACTACACGTCATCACTTGAGCAAGCTCGGCCTAAATCTTCATTTTTATCCCTTTTTCCACTTATACTTGTTTTAAAATCAAAAAAAACATACAACATCGATGATTTGTGAGAGTCGCAATTTCAATTTGATTTTTGTCGGCTCTTTTGGATTAACGGATGGACGACGGTGTCTAGAAAAACAAAAAAAAAGTTAGACAAATCGAGAATCATCATTCATCAATCATCAAATGATTGATGATTGATGAATTTGCGATGAAATGGCAAAGAAAAAAGGGGTGGAACAAATGCGACCTTTTTTGTTGCGCACCTGGACATTTGCGCACCTTTTTTTTGTTTTCACATCAACGTCAAATTTGGGCTAAAAGGCAAAAACTGCGGAAAAGCGTTAAGTTGCGTAGTTTTTGCCTTTTAGCCCAAATTTGACGTGTCCGCGAGGTCTGATTTGTCGAAATTCGGAATCTACGCATACGATTCCCTTGTATGAAAACATTTTTGAAGCTCTACGACCTTTCCTAAAGCTCTACGACCTTTCCTAAAGCTCTACGACCTTTCCTAAAGCTCTACGACCTTTCCTAAAGCTCTACGACCTTTCCTAAAGCTCTACGACCTTTCCTAAAGCTCTACGACCTTTCCTAAAGCTCTACGACCTTTCCTAAAGCTCTACGACCTTTCCTAAAGCTCTACGACCTTTCCTAAGGCCAAAAAAAGGTGCGCAAATGTCCAGGTGCGCAAAAAAAGGTCGCATTTGTCCCACCCCCTTTTTTCTTTGCCATTTCATCGCAAATTCATCAATCATCAATCGAGAATCGTTTTTGCTTTGAGAAAATGAAATTTCTCCAATATTACCTCATAAATGAACAGCTAAAATTGCTTAAATGCAAATTTTCAAAAAAAAAGTATTTAAATATTGGCTCAAAGGCTTTCCTAAAGCTTAAGCTTTAGGAAAGCCTTTGAGCCAATATTTAAATACTTTTTTTGAAAATTTACGCAATACAATCAATTAACAGCTTTCACTTAAGCTTTTGACTTTTAAAATTTTCTAATTGATTCAAGAGAACCACCTTAAAACCCCAAGGAAACATTAAAATTTACTTTTTTTGTGGGAAAGGCACACGATTCTTGAATGAAGGCAATGATTAACATTATTGGCTGAACTTTAAGCTAAAAGCTGTTAAATGCTGTTAGCTGTTAATGAACCATTAAAAGCTCAGCCAATAATAAAGATCATTAAACAATAAAGAAGAAATAATAAAGAAGAAACAATAAAGAAGAAATAATAAACAAGTTTTACCTGTTATAATGAACCATTAAATCATCATAAAGTCTCTTTGCATCTTCGTTTCCATCGTTGAAATGAAATAGTGAAATGAAAAGTAGAAATTGAAAGAAGCTCATTCGTCCGGAAGCACTGAACTTTACAGAAAACTTTTTAGTAAACTGTTTATGTGAAAATTTTTACTTCAAATTTTTAGTTAACCTAGAAATGCATAACAACGAATGACAACAAGAGAAGCTCCAATGGCTAAGCCGGCCAAATGCTATACTTCCTATTTTACTTTACCTAGAAATGCATAAAAATGAATGACAACAAGAGAAGATCAATTGGCTGAGCCAGTCAAATGCTATACTTCCTATTTTATTTAACCTAGAAATACATAAAAACAAATGACAACAAGAGAACGATCAAATGGCTAAGCCAGTCAAATGCTATACTTCCTATTTTATTTAACCTAGAAATGCATAACAACGAATGACAACAAGAGAAGCTCCAATGGCTAAGCCGGCCAAATGATATACTTCCTATTTTACTTAACCTAGAAATACATAAAAACAAATGACAACAAGAGAAGCTCAAATGGCTAAGCCAGTCAAATGCTATACTTCCTATTTTACTTAACCTAGAAATACATAAAAACAAATGACAACAAGAGAAGATCAAATGGCTCAGGGTGCACTACTATTAGAGATGCCCGCCAAATGCTATACTTAACCTAGAAATGCATAAAAACTATTGGTAACAGGAGAAGGCTAAATGGCTAAACCAGCCAAATGCTATACTTCCTATTTTATGCTGATTCCGAATCTATATATTTCATTTTTGCTAAATGATAATCTTTCCAGGAGCTTTAAGCGTCTAAAGTTTTGTTAAAACTCTGAAAATTTGGCCATTTGGGTCTTGTAAGCGGCATTTGAGTGGCCTTCTTGCACGGTTGGCTCGATGCAGCCGTGGCCGAGTGATACAGCCCTCGTTTCCGGAGTGCGACCTCGCAAGTTCGATCCTCGCTTGTTTCTTTCAACAAGTGCTGACGAGTATTCTTTTGTGCGCTTGTACAAAATATTTCTTGTGGTCACACTTATATAAAATGAAAAAAAACACAACTTTATATCGCACTTTATAACTTTAAATTCTCAGATAACACTTTCAGAGTCCTAAAAAAACTTTAGACGCTTATAACTACTGGCAGATTGTCATTTAGCAAAAACGGAATATATTTTCGGAATCAGCATCAAATTCTGCGTCGAATGGTATAGATCGCATAGGATTTGACTGGCTCAGTCAGTTGACAATCCCTTGTAAGTCAAATAATAGACCTAAACTTTTGAATTAGCTTAAAAATTAAACATTTCTGCTGGGACAGACTCAATCTGGTTAAGTAATCGGCAAAGTTTGCAAAGGAGATTCTGTTAAAGAGATCCTGGTAAAGAGATTCTGTTAAAGAGATTCTGGTAAAGGGATTCTGTTAAAGAGATTCTGTTAAAGAGATTCTGGTAAAGAGAATCTGGTAAAGAGATTCTGGTAAAGAGATTCTGTTAAAGAGATTCTGGTAAAGAGAATCTGGTAAAGAGATTCTGGTAAAGAGATTCTGGTAAAGAGATTCTGGTAAAGAGAATCTGTTAAAGAAATTCTGGTAAAGAGATTCTGGTAAAGAGATTCTGTTAAAGAGATTTGATTACCCGAAAATCCCCGGGTACAAATTTACAGCGGAATATCTTCTTTTTGTGACATTTAAAAAGGAAAAGAAGAATTTCTACTGGTAAATGACGCTCTGGAAACGAACGCTTTACCACTAAGCCACGAGTCCACCGATCCTGCTTCACAAGGCGGTCACCAAATGACCACATTTTCAGAGTCGTAACAAAACTTTGGACACTTATAACTACTGGCAGATTGTCATTTAGCAAAAACGGAATAAATTTTCGGAATCAGCATCAAATTTGGCGTCGAATGGTATAGATCGCATAGGATTTGATTGGCTCAATCAGTTGACAGTTGACAACTTCTCTTGGAAGTTCTTTTAAGAACAAATCGAAAGTTTTAATGCAAGAAAGAGCTTAAGAACGAGAACGAGAAGAGAATAGAGACAATTGATACACTGCACTGATGTCTTTTGCTCTCTCTTCTCTTCTTCTCTTCTTCTCTTGGCCACTTTTTGTGAGTGAAGGGGGGGATCTTGTTGAGGGGTGAAAGAGGAACGGGAAACAACTCTCAGCTGTGTGATTTCAAGAGAAAAAGGTGAACTGAATAGGGAAATTACAAATCTTCTTTTCTTGAAATTATTTGATCAAAAATTGTTCATTGTATGAATCTTACTAGGGATTTTTGTTAACTTATCGTAGCTTTTTGACGCCTAAAATGAAAAAAATGAACAAAAAAACATCAAACATGAACACTAAAAATTTTTTTGATAAAAAACAAGAATCATGTGCTTTTTTTTGATCACAGATCATTTCTTTTAAGTCTAAAAAAGCTTTTTATGTTCAAAAATTTGAAATCAACATCAAAAGCAAACATCAAATACTGTTTTTTGCATTTTTAACCAAAAATTCGAGTTTTTAGGCATTTGAAAAGTCAAGGAATACTCAAATTTTAGGCGTTTTTTAAATGAATTTTAGCTCGTGTGAATGCTTGCGACTGCTTTTTGATCTTTCGGTGTACTTTATACTCGCAAATTTATAACATAAACCCTTTTAGGGCGCAAAGCAAAGCGCATCAAGCTGTGTGCTTTTGCAAATTCTCCACCACAAAGCTCTAATAGTGCTTTCGAAAAGAAGACATTTGATTATTTTCGATTGAAAAAAAAACTTTATTTAACCCTCTCATTTTTTTTTTTTTTGCTTTCTTTACTCTCTAGCACATTTTGCATGATTTCCCGCAATAGGATTTGATTTGAGCTTGTGTGTAGGCGGTGTTCGTGCAGAAACCATTTGCCACCCACGTCGCACAACTGAAAAAAAGGGGGAAAAGTCGAGGAGTTGAACTTTTCGCTCAATCTTTACCCAATCGGAATCGAATTTTCGGCTCTTTTATTATCCAAAATCACACTCACCTCGTGCTCGAATCAACACAAGATGTCGCTGTGGTGGCAGCTTTCGTTGTCACTTTTGCTGTAGTCACCTGGAAATCAAGTGGTAATCAAAAAATAGCTTAATAAACAAGCTTGCAACAAAAGTAATTATCCGGATTAGGCTAGCTTGGCTTTACCGTTGGCAAGCTTGGCTTTATTGTTGGCAAGCTTGGCTTTATTGTTGGCAAGCTTGGCTTTACTCTAGACAAGCTTGGCTTTACTCTAGACAAGCTTGGATTTACTCTAGACAAGCTTGGTTTACTGTAGACAAGCTTGGCTTTACTCTAGACAAGTTTGGTTTACTGTAGACAAGTTTGGTTTACTGTAGGCCAAGTCCACAAAATAACCACTCCGTGAGCCAGTCCCTGTCAAGCGCTAGAAACAAGTCAAGACCAAACCTGGATCAAGAGCCGAATTTGGCCTTGAACCTGACCTTCAACCTGGAGTAGGAGCCAAGTCTGAGCCTGGTTTCTTGCTCTCGTTCTGTTCTGGTACATTTTACGAGCCCTAGGCTATCATAGAAAAAACCCAGCTCAAGCTTTTAGTTCATAAAGTCCCACCGTCTTTGTTGTGGCTTTCGTCGTCGCGCACAGTCCACAACTCGTTCCACAATATTGTTGTCGTTGCGCGAGAGTGTAGCCAGTGTTTGTGCAGAAACCGTTTGACACCCACGTGGCACAGCTGAATTGGTATATTCAAAAGTGTATTAAAGTAATAAACAAAGACTAAATCTTAGCTCAAGACAGACTTCGTGTTTGTGTCCCCACAGGGAGCAGTTGTGGCTTTGGGTGTGGTCGTTGTCGCAGCTTTCGTTGTTGTCGTCACGGCTGCTGTGCTGGTCTAGAAAAGGACATAAACAAGCTTCGAAGAATGACCTGCAGAATTAACAGAATCACCTACCGAAGCTGTGGTTCCGGTGGTGGTTGTGGCGGTTGTTGGGCCGGTGGTTGTCTCAGGAGTTGTCTAAAGATTTTGCTATCTCAATAAAGTTCATAAGAATTGAGTGCTATCACTTTTTGAACCTAAAGTACAACTCTATTCACACTTACTGTTGGCGCTGGACACGTGGCGGCCGTCGTGTCGCAATTTGAGCAGAAACATAACCCAATGAAGCCTTGCTGGAAAGCAATTTGGGTTGATTCTTTGTTTTTCGGAACGGCAAAGAGTTGAATATTCAATTCAAAGCTAATTCACGGTTTTTACGAACAAAACTCACACTGTCGGTGTGAAAGCAATCGTTTGGATCACCACAATTGCCCGCGCCATCGTCGGCTAAAAGATTAACGCTAAAATTGCTTGCAGCTCTGGTTCTCCAGGTCAAGCTAGGCCAAGCCAAGCTAAGCCAAGCAAGCCAAAGACAAGCAAGCTAAAGATAAGCCAAGCAAGCCAAAGCCAGGCCAAGCCAAGCAAGCCCAAGACAAGTAAGCCAAAGCCAAGCCAAAGCCAAGCCAAGCCAAGACAAGCCAAAGGCCAAGCCAAGCCAAGACAAGTCAAAAGCCAGGCCAAGCCAGGCTAAGCCAAGCAAGCCAAAGCCAGGCCAAGCCAAAGCCAAAGCCAAAGCCAAAGCCAGGCCAAGCCAAGCCAAAGCCCGAGAACCAGCCCCGCGTTCTTGACCACACGATCGTTGGTCAATCACCTTGATCGTTGACAAATCAGCCATAAGTCAAGTATCAAAGCCCAAACTTCAAAAAAAACTCACGTGAAGTCGAACATCCATCCGGGTACACTAAAATTTGATTCTTATTCAAGAAGTTTGAGAAATTTCAAGAGTTATCAAACTTTTTTTGAATGCACAATCAACTCACACGATGGGCAGGTGTCAGCTAAAAAAAGGAATTGTTTAGTTGTTGTCAAATGATTGATTGTTTCTTGAATGAAAAAAAAGTCCTTTGTGCTCTTGAAAATCGTAAACGCACTTTTTCTGGCGTAATAATGTGTTGGTTTTACGTGGAAACGAAAAAAAAAGGATCAGAAAGAGGCTTCGTTTAGAGTTTTGAAAAAAAAAGCCACAAAATTCACAGAATCTATATCACTTTTTGATTCATTTATATTCAAATATTGATTCCAAACCTATATTAGATTATAGAAAAGCTTTAAACTGAAAGCTCTAACTTCAAAACTGAAAGCTCTAACTCTAAAATGAAAGCTCTAACTTCAAAACTGAAAGCTCTAACTTAAAACTAAAAGCTCTAACCTTAAACTGAAAGCTCTAACTCTAAAATGAAAGCTCTAACTTCAAAACTGAAAGCTCTAACCCTAAAATGAAAGCTCTAACTTCAAAACTAAAAGCTCTAACATTAAACTGAAAGCTTTAACTCTAAAATGAAAGCTCTAACTTCAAAAACGTACTTGCAATTGTGACCTCCAAAAGCAATGAAATGAAAACGAGAAACAGTTTCACCATTTTTCAGCAAAATTTCCCCCAGAAATTGGCTGAATGACTTGTCCAGCTCGTCCCAAATTTCACCTTTATACAAGTGAAACACTTTTTCTCATCTACACATGTTAATGGCGTTTTTTAAAAGGCCAACAAGATTCAAAGGGATTTCATTATTTGAACAGTTGCCCGGATTCGATTTCCCTCCCCCATACTTTTGCAGCTTTCAAAAAAGAAAAAGTTTTACAAAACTCTAGTGGGTCAGGGCTTCTCAGCTACGCTGGTTCTTCTTGCCTTCTAGTAAATGTCTTGGGTTGGAACTGAGCTAATTGGGCTTTTAGTTTAGCTGTTTGGATGCCTCTTGCTTGTGACTTTTCATATCTGCTCAAAGTTGAATTAAGCAGTAGAACTAAGCAGTAGAACTAAGCAGTAGAACTAAGCAGTAGAATTAAGCAGTAGAACTAAGCAGTAGAACTAAGCAGTAGAACTAAGCAGTAGAACTAAGCAGTAGAACTAAGCAGTAGAACTAAGCAGTAGAACTAAGCAGTAGAACTAAGCAGTAGAACTAAGCAGTAGAACTAAGCAGTAGACTAAGCAGAAAAGCAGAGAACTAGCAGTAACGCAGTAGACAGCAGTAGCAAGTAGGCAGGAACCGTGAACAAGACTAAGGTAGAAGTAGAACTAGGTAGAACTAAGGAACTAAGCGACTGCAGAACTAAGCAGCAGAACTAAGCAGCAGATAACTTTGACAAGCGCAAAAAGTTTCCAAGTCCCTTGTGGACTTTACACGTGTTGCATAATCGGGAAGTATGTGCTGTGTTCAACTTTTTTTTTTTTGCTCATCATTCAGGAAATGGGAACTCTTTTTAGATACATTAGAAACTCATGCCTATTCAACGAAGAAATTCATTGGAATTGAGCCATTTGAAAACCATTTTTTAAAGCTCAAAATGAGTCTCAATAAAATGCTCCAAAGTTTACTTTTTTCAAAAGCGTTGTTACTTCTGATGTTTGTTCTTTCAATTGGTTTTTAGGATTTCTTTTTTTTTTTCGATTTCCATTTCAACTCTTGAAAACTAACATCACCGCCAACATTCAAGAAGAGAACGAAATTTGGAAATTTTTGCCGAATTATTGAAATTCATTGCATTAAACTTCATTAAGAAACTTTTATTGACTTTATTGTTAATAAGTTTTTCAAAGTTTTGTATAAAAGAGAGGAGAATCTTGAAGAGAAGAAGATTCGGGTTCATTGACTACCGCCAAAGAGTCTAAATTTGAGAGTTTAAAGCTATCAAAGCTATCAAATCGATCAAAGCTATCAAATCGATCAAAGCTATCAAAGCTATCAAAGCTATCAAAGCTATCAAAGCTATCAAAGCTATCAAAGCTATCAAAGCTATCAAAGCTATCAAGCTATCAAAGCTATCAAAGCTATCAAGCTATCAAAGCTATCAAAGCTATCAAAGCTATCAAGCTATCAAGCTATCAAAGCTGTCAAAGCTATCAAAGCTATCAAAGCTATCAAAGCTATCAAGCTATCAAATCGATCAAATCGATCAAATCGATCAAAACAATTCCTATCTTTATACTTTTCTTATCTGTAATTTTGATGAAAATATCTAACCTGGCAAATGGACCGCCCCCGCTTCCGAGCCGCTCCAAGAAACGTCCACCACCTGGCAGTTGCGCTTTGACAGATTCAGGTGCTTGGCTCAAGAGACTCTGAAATCCCGTAAAGAGTCAAATTACAGCTTTTTTTAGACAAATAAAGTGCATAAATGAATACAAAAACGCGAATCAGCACCCTTGAAAACCCTATTACTGTAAACAGAAAGCCCTAATGACGGGCGTACAATCGCGTAGTCTAACTTTAAACGTCTCATTTTCCGCACTGCTTTATGCTACAGTATGAATTTTTGGTGTCAAATGATAGCCCTTGAAATCTAGTATTTTTTGATATCAAAAGTGTTGATAAGTGATTGGCTTTAAGCTGGTATTAAATTACCTTTATCGCGGCCATCTTGTCGAACATGCCCAGCGAATCGTTGTTGTGAATTGCCATCACTTTTGACTGAAAATTTGAGCTTTAGAGTTTTGTTTTTTATATCTTTAGAGTTTATAACAGCTTATAAAAGTTTATAACAGCTTATAACAGCTTAAAACAGCTTATAACAGCTTATAACAGCTTATAACAGCTTATAACAGCTTATAACAGCTTATAACCGTTTATAACCGTTTATAACAGTTTATAACAGTTTATAAAAGTTTATAACAGTTTATAACAGCTTATAACAGCTTATAACAGCTTATAACAGTTTATAAAAGTTTATAACAGTTTATAACAGTTTATAACAGTTTATAACAGCTTATAACAGTTTATAACAGCTTATAACAGTTTATAACAGTTTATAAAAGTTTATAACAGTTTATAAAAGTTTATAACCGTTTATAACAGTTTATAACAGTTTATAACAGCTTAAAACAGCTTATAACAGCTTATAACAGCTTATAACAGCTTATAAAAGTTTATAACAGCTTATAACAGCTTAAAACAGTTTATAACAGTTTATAACAGTTTATAACAGTTTATAACAGTTTATAACAGCTTATAACAGTTTATAACAGCTTATAACAGTTTATAAACTTACCTTAAACGGCTCGGGTAAACGATCAATGAACGGTGGGGTAGGTCGTTGATCGGCTGGGAGTTCCTGGATTAGCCCGTGGAAAGCCATCATCTTTTGCATTGGATTCATGCTCTGGAAAGGGTAGAGGTGAGAAATATCATTTTAAGAAAAAGAATTTCTAGATGTTTTTTCCGAGCCTTGCCTTGTCTTCATGGATTGCTTGGGCTTTGCCTTGAGCGTTTGCCGGGAGGTGTTCCATGAGGCGAGAGAACTGAAAAATTCAGTGGATTTCTAGCTTGAATAGGATTGAAAATTTCACAAAATTCACAATTCACAATTCACAAATTTATTGTAGATTTTAACAAAATTTGTTTAATTAATCGTTTAATACCAAGAAATCGCGAATCGGATGCCCGCCATTGGCCATTCCACCGCCGAAGAATTGCGCCGAGGTGATTGTGAGAAGCGAAATGAGAGCAATAATCGAGTACATTATGCTAAACTTCTCGTAAAAAAAGACTCAAATAAAATCAAGGGAAATTACGTAAAAGTATTCTTAAAAAAGGGTTTCTCCAGTCTGTTTTTGCTGTTTTTCCCACTGTTTTTTGCTTGGCTTGATTGCAATGATTCATTTTTATTAAAAAGCCGATAAACTTTTGAAATTAATCAAGAATTTGACAAATTTGGTATAAAGAGAAATAATTTTATATATCAAAAGATAGCTCAGAATCTCTACTATTTTTTGATACCAAAAGTAAAATAAAAGAATATTTGGATCAGGAGATATGAGCGTTTTTCTGAGCGCAGCTTAGACTACGCGACGCTTCTATGTCATATACAGTAACACATCAATAACACCTCAATAACAAATAATAATAATAATAATAATAATAATAATAATAATAATAATAATAATAAGAATAATAATAAGAATAATAAGAATAATAATAAGAAATAATAATAATAATAATAATAATAATAATAATAATAATAATAATAATAATAATAATAATAATAATAATAAGAATAAGAATAATAAGAATAAGAATAATAATAATAATAATAATAATAATAATAATAATAATAATAAGAATAATAAGCCTTATGACTTGATTATAATGATGCCTTATGACTTAATAATAATATTAAAAAGCCTTCTGACTATTTACACTTGATAAAAAGGCTTACAAAAACAATACTGAATCAAAAAAAAATCATTATTCGATGATTCGATTCCTTTTCTGTGCAATATCAACTCCCAAAAACCTTTCTCTATATAGGGATTTTGCTTGAGCACAAATCAGATTTTCGATTTCAATTGGCGAGTTTTAGGGTTCAAAAATTGGCTCCTTTTCTTTCGGGTTTCTTTCTGCTTTCTTTCTGTTTTCTTTCTGCTTTCTTTCTGCTTTCTTTCTGCTTTCTTTCTGTTTTCTTTCTGTTTTCTTTCTGTTTTCTTTCTGTTTTCTTTCTGTTTTCTTTCTGCTTTCTTTCTACTTTCCAAAATAATCTTCAAATTAACCAGTTTGCCGAAAATTTTAAACAATTTGCCCGATTTTTCAGTCGAAATTTTTGCTCTTTAATCAAGGTCATTCGTTGATTTTATTTCAGAGAATATTTTTGTAGTTTAATTTTGGAAAACTAGCAAAATTGCCTGCTGGCTCTGCCTGCTGCCTGCTGACAAAATATGATGAGTTAGAAAATTATCGTTGAGTATCTTTGCCTATCTAATCGATAGACTAGGTGAAGCTTTTCTTACGAGCTTTTCTTTCAAATTTCGCTGAATTGAGGAATGAGTGTTTGGAGTTTGTTTTATTGTGATTAAAAAGTTGTACACATTAAAAATGTCAGTGATTAGTTGTACACATTAAAAATGTGTACAACTAATCACTGACAATTTTCCTTTCGAAATTCTATCTCGAAATTGATTGTAGCCGTTTTGTGTGCAATTCGGTAACGGTAAAGATTAAAACTAGTAAACCCAAATCAACCATTGTCTACAAAAAACAAAGACTCGGCTTCACTTTTCCCTTGAGTCATAAGTTTTCTAGATTATCCAAAAACATATGAAAACTTCTTTTTTGCAAACAAAGGTCACTAACATTGTAGAAAGAAAATTTCTTTTTAAATTCAAAACTTTAAAGACTTAAATTGGCTTATTTTTAATTTGTAAGAGATCTTTTTTAACACTTAGAACGCTTGGCTACTTGTTCGGACCACGTGGCTCAATGCTTAGTCACGCTTGGCTACTTGTTCGGACCACGTGGCTCAATGCTTAGTCACGCTTGGCTACTTGTTCGGGTCAGGTGGCTCAATGCTTAGTCACGCTTGGCTACTTGTTCGGGTCAGGTGGCTCAATGCTTAGTCACGCTTGGCTACTTGTTCGGGTCAGGTGGCTCAATGCTTAGTCACGCTTGGCTACTTGTTCGGGTCAGGTGGCTCAATGCTTAGTCACGCTTGGCTACTTGTTCGGGTCAGGTGGCTCAATGCTTAGTCACGCTTGGCTACTTGTTCGGGTCAGGTGGCTCAATGCTTAGTCACGCTTGGCTACTTGTTCGGGTCAGGTGGCTCAATGCTTAGTCACGCTTGGCTACTTGTTCGGGTCAGGTGGCTCAATGCTTAGTCACGCTTGGCTACTTGTTCGGGTCAGGTGGCTCAATGCTTAGTCACGCTTGGCTACTTGTTCGGGTCAGGTGGCTCAATGCTTAGTCACGCTTGGCTACTTGTTCGGGTCAGGTGGCTCAATGCTTAGTCACGCTTGGCTACTTGTTCGGACCACGTGGCTCAATGCTTAGTCACGCTTGGCTACTTGTTCGGACCACGTGGCTCAATGCTTAGTCACAGCTGTTTCTCGTTTAGCATTATGCACATCAAAAATTTGTACAACTAATCACTGGCAATTTTCGTTTCAAAATGCTATCTCTTTGCGTGATTGTGCAATTGTGATTGGTGCGGTTTTGTGTGGAACTCGGCGAGTAGAAAGTACGAAAAAGCAAACTGCTCGCACTTTAATCGTATCTGCAAATTGGGAGAGCATTTGAAAGTCGCAATTCTGAACTTGAGTATGGAGTTAGCTTTGTTAAAGTACAAATTGCTAAACTCTCCTCACCGATGACATCCTTTTTTCAGTGGCTTCAACCACCGTTCAGCCGAGCGCTCTTTGGCGAAATGCATTTCTCGGTAAGCCCACAAAGCAAAGAAAGTTCGGGTTATTCTAAAAGAAAGCCGAGTCTTTGTTTTTTGTAGACAATGGTTGATTTGGGTTTACTAGTTTTAATCTTTACCGTTACCGAATTGCACACAAAACGGCTACAATCAATTTCGAGATAGAATTTCGAAACGAAAATTGTCAGTGATTAGTTGTACACATTTTTGATGTGCATAATGCTAAGCTAAGCATTGAGTCACGTGGTCCGAACAAGTAGCCAAGCGTGACTAAGCATTGAGTCCCGTGGTCCGAACAAGTAGCCAAGCGTGACTAAGCATTGAGTCCCGTGGTCCGAACAAGTAGCCAAGCGTGACTAAGCATTGAGTCCCGTGGTCCGAACAAGTAGCCAAGCGTGACTAAGCATTGAGCCACGTGGTCCGCATGGGTCGGCAAGCGTTCTAAGTGTTAAAAAAGATCTCTTACAAGTTAAAAAAAGGTCAATTTAGGTCTTTAAAATTTTGAATTTAAAAAGAAATTTTCTTTCTACAATGTTAGTGACCTTTGTTTGCAAAAAAGAAGTTTTCATATGTTTTTGGATAATCTAGAAAACTTATGACTCAAGGGAAAAGTGATTCATTACTTCAATTGACTTACCCTCCAAATAGTTTTTTTTCTGTGCTTGAATTGATTCACCCTTTAAAAGTCTTATCTATTCAGAAAACGATCACAAAATTGATACCAATTCTCTAAAAAAAAAAATGAATTGTTGTGCTTTTTGAGTCAAATTTGGTCTAATATTGAACAGTTATTCGAAAAATTTTGTCACTTTTTAATGCAAAACTCTTCACAAACTGTCGCATTAGTTCCATCAGAGAAGTGAGTTAAAGAGGAGTTTTATTTAAGAGGATTTAGCTGTATTGTAGCTGTATTTTTATCTGTATTTAGCTGTATTTTTATTTAGCTGTATTTTTATTCATTTTCATTTCTATATTAGCATAAATTTAAGAAAATCGCAAAAACAAAGCCTCTTAAATTGCTGGACTCGTCTCTTCTTGTTGATTTTCTTTTCGTACTCTATTGGATGCACGATCTACCTCGGCTTTCTCATATTTTACTTTGAACATTTGGAGTGAGCTTTTTGGAAACATCGTTATCTCTCCATTAAAAAATACCGACTGGGGCTACTAGTGGTGAATTTATCGCATACACGAAATATATCAATCACAATACAACGACACACACAATACTAGGCTATATCTTAACTTAACCCACGTCATGACAGACGGCTCCCTAACCCTAAGCTCAATGGGGAACTAAATAGCTTTTTTGGTGGTGAAGGGAAGATGACGATGAATTAATAAAAAGTTCTATAATATTTCAGATCGAAATGCTTGAATAGCAATCTCGTGTCTCGACCGAAAAGGTTTGAAATTGTTGTCAAAAGCTTTAATGGAAACACTTTTCTGCAAAAAATTGGAAAAAAACACACACACAGCAAACACAGCAGACAAACTTTGAAAATATGGAGAAAATTTTCGGAAACATTGTTATCTTCACGCACTACGAACTCATCCAGCTTTAGTGAGCCGTGTCTACCCGGTTGGAGTCACTCAAAACACTTTCAAGCTTGTTATATCGTGAGTTTTAGCTTGAAATTTGAGATTTAAACTCAAGTATTTTGATTTTGCTTTTGATTTTGGTTTTGTTTTTGATTTTTCAGATCATTTACGATCTTGACTACGAGGAGGCGAAGAGCAATTGTCAGAGTATGGAGAGTAAAATGGTTTATGTTGAAGGGGAGACGAAAAATCTCTTATTGTTATGTGCGTTCTTTCGTTGTATCTGTTCGTTCCATTTTCATTAGTCCAAAACGCTTTTTCAGCATTGATTCGCAGCGAGCCGTCGAAAACGGGCAATCTGCTACTTGGCGCTCAGAGAATGGTTCGTTTACTCACTTAAGCCTAGTTTAACATTAACAACTCACCTAGTTTAACATTTTTGTCATTTTCTACCAAAGAAACGGTTTTAGAACAATCGCTTCTACTGGGACAACGGTAGCGAGATGAATTACACGCATTGGGGCTCACAAGAACCGATCACCACAAACGGGAATGAGAATTGCGTCTTGGCGAGTTAGCTGATCTAAAATAGCTGGTCTAAAATAGCTTTTTGATAGCTGATCTGAAAGATAAGACGGCCTTATCAAGATAAGAGAGACTGGAGCTGATTGCAAGATCAAACCCAGACTGCTAACAACTTGAATGAACAAGATGAACATCAAATTTCACTGATTGTTTAGTTGGTCACCGATCGAAACGAAATTCTTTCCTCAAAGTTCTCGCGATGGAAAACGACACCCTGTAACGTGAAGCAAAAATTCTCGATTTGTGAGTGGAAATATTGAATGTTTTCAAATGCTTTTCTGTACTTTTCGTATTTTTTATATTTAATGGTTCCAATATGGAACCATATTGTCCAATATGGTTCCAATATGGGTCGGATACGGTTCCAATGTCTGTATAAACAATTAACACACATTGCAAACATTAAACTTTTCCGTTTTCACTTAAAAAAACTTTTCAAACTTTTCCGTTTTCACTTAAAAAGTCTCATTTCATTCCGTCTTTTACGCTCAAGAAAAAAAGCAAAAATTTTTTGTGCATATTCTCCTGCACATTGGACTTATTAGCAGAATTTAAAGCCCGCTGGGGGTGTGAAATAAAAACTGAATAAAAAGAAAAGGGAATTTGGTGTATTGTGTGTAAAAATGCTTAGTGTTGAATCGAGGAAAGTATTAGAAAAAAAGAAGAATTCCTGGAACGTATTCCAATGCTTCCAAATCTCCGTCTTTATTTATGAACAAAAGCCATTTGAGATCGATTTTTGGGAAAGCCTAGAATGCCATTCGTTTCCATGAAACCCAGCCAAGCTGAGTGTTCTGTTGGGGCGAGATGGTGGCCGGTACAAACCAAGATTTTCTTGGTCTTCATTTTCTTGGTCTTCATTTTCTTGGTCGTCCACCATAACAAGCGAACGCCTCTTCATCAACTGCTGTTTGTTAAATGTTAAATGTTAAATCAACCATCTAAAAATAAAGACATCACATTTTGTATTCTTTTCGTCGGCAAACAAGTCAATATCCATCCCATCAAAGCGTCTAATTTTAATTTGTGTTTCGTTTGTTCGTTTGCTTACTTGTCATGTTTGCTAGCAAAACGCAAAAAGAGCGTTTGGAAAAGCGTGCTTTTTAGAAAATGACTTTGCTAAGGAGCAAACGGGCAATCTGCTACTTGGCGCTTCTTAGAAAACATGATTGAACGATTTGATTTGAACTATTTGATTTGAACGATTTAATTTGAACGGTTTGATTTGAACGATTTGATTTGAACGATTTGATTTGAATGGTTTGATTTGAACTATTTGATTTGAACGATTTAATTTGAACGATTTGATTTAAACGATTTGATTTGAACGATTTGATTTGAACGATTTGATTTGAACGATTTGATTTGAACTATTTGATTTGAACTATTTGATTTGAACTATTTGATTTGAACGATTTAATTTGAACGGTTTGATTTGAACGATTTGATTTGAACGATTTGATTTGAACCATTTGATTTGAACTATTTGATTTGAACGATTTAATTTGAACGGTTTGATTTGAACGGTTTGATTTGAACGATTTGATTTGAACGATTTGCTTTGAGAAACTCTATTTGTGACCTTTGTTAGCAAAAAAGAAGTTTTTATATGTTTTTGGATAATTCAGAGAACTTAGGCCTCAACGGAAAAGTGCTTAATTGATTCACGAAGTGAAAGTGCTTGAATTGATTCACTCTTTAAAAGTCTTATCTATTCTGAAAAAGGCCACAAAATTGATACCAATTCTCTAAAAAAAAGAAATGCTTTTTCGCTATGCTTTTTGAGTCAAAGTTTGTCTAATATTGAACAGTTATTCGAAAAATTTTGTCACTTTTTAATGCAAAACCCTGCACAAACTGTCGCATTAGTTCCCTCAGAGAAGTGAGTTAAAGAGGATTTTTGTTTAGCAGGATTTAGCTGTATTTAGCTGTATTTTTATTTAACAGGATTTTTATTTAGCTGTATTTTTATTCATTTTCATTTCTATATTAACATAAATTTGAGAAAACCGCAAAAACAAAGCCTCTTAAATTGCTGGACTCGTCTCTTCTTGCTGATTCTCTTTTCGTACTCTATTGGATGCACGATCTACCTCGGCTTTCTCATATTTTACTTTGAACATTTGGAGTGAGCTTTTGGAAATATCGTTATCTCTCCATTAATAAAAAGTTCTATGAGATTTCAGATCTAAATGCTTGAATAGCAATCTCGTGTCTCGACCGAAAAGGTTTGAAATTGTTGTCAAAAGCTTTAATGGAAACACTTTTCTGCAAAACATTTGAAACAAAACAAACAGTAGACAAACAGCAGACAAACAGCAGACAAACAACAGACAAACAGCAGACAAACAGTAGACAAACAGCAGACAAACAGCAGACAAACAGTAGACAAACAGTAGACAAACAGCAGACAAACAGCAGACAAACAGCAGACAAACAGCAGACAAACAGAGACAAACAGAGACAAACAGTAACAAACAGAGACAAACAGTAGACAAACAGAGACAAACAGCAGACAAACAGCAGACAAACAGAGACAAACAGAGACAAACAGTGACAAACAGCAGACAAACAGCAGACAAACAGCAGACAAACAGTAGACAAACAGTAGACAAACAGCAGACAAACAGCAGACAAACAGCAGACAAACAGTAGACAAACAGTAGACAAACAGCAGACAAACAGCAGACAAACAGCAGACAAACAGCAAATAAACACGCACTACGAACTCATCCAGCTTTAGTGAGCCGTGTCTACCCGGTTGGAGTCACTCAAAACACTTTCAAGCTTGTTATATCGTGAGTTTTAGTTTGAAATTTGAGATTTAAGCTCAACTATTTAAGCTCAATTAGGTTGGCGGGAAAATAACGCGAATTTTTTTGACCCGAATTTTGATTTCAAAAAAAACAATAAATAAAGAGGATTAATATAAAAGGTATTCTCCATTATTATTTAGGAAATCATGCCATCTTTTGCTCAATTCAATAATTCCATTTTCAAAGAACTGGGGAATTTTTAGCGAAAAATATTTGGTGATTTGGTGACCGCATTTTCGACTTCCTGGGAATCCTTGAACAGCTGATCGGAGATGAACTGCTTTAGAGACCTGAATAAGTGGTAGTCTGATGGGGCCAAGTCAGGGCTGTATGGGGCTTGTGGTAGAAGTTTCCAGTCCATCTCTTCGATTTGTTGAAGGGTCATCGTTGCCGTGTGCGATTTTGCATTATCATGCAAAAACCGAATTTTTGAAGTGTCATGTCGAGATTTGGATTTGATTTGATTTGATTTGGATTTGATTTGGATTTGATTTGATTTGGATTAGATTTGGATTTGATTTGGATTTGGATTTGGATTGGATTTGGATTTGATTTGGATTTGATTTGATTTGGATTTGGATTTGGATTAGATTTGGATTAGATTTGGATTTGATTTGGATTTGGATTTGGATTGGATTTGGATTTGATTTGGATTGGATTTGGATTGGATTTGGATTTGATTTGGATTGGATTTGATTTGATTTGATTTGGATTTGATTTGGATTTGATTTGGATTTGGATTTGGATTTGGATTAGATTTGGATTTGCTTTGGATAAAGCTCACGTTGAAGGGGAAACGAAAAATCGTTTATTGATATGGGAATGACACCTCTTACAGGGGAATGACAGGGGAATGACTTCTTCCAGGGGAATGACACCAGCTCAGAAGTTCAGAATTGTTTGGTGCCCGAGGGCATCTTTTAGAATCGGTTATGCTGATTTTGAATATGTAAAAATTAGCTGTAAACATCCACGCAACTGCTCACTGTAAATTTCAGCTGTGACAGTTTTACCCGGTTTGAGCAGTTCAAAATAAACGAATCCACGATAGTTCCACCATACGCACAACATCAACTTCTTTCGATGCAGATCAGGTTTTGACGTGACAACCGGGGCTTGCTTTTGTGATCGCCATTGGTGATCGCCATTGATGCTTGCGCTTAACGTTACCATATAATATCCACGTTTCATCAGAAGTAACAATTGATTTCCAAAAATCATGCGCTTTTGATTTTTGAATCAAAATTGAACAAGTTTTACGGGCAATTTTGTGATTCATGTGAAATCCATTTTCCGCATCTTTTTCGCTTTCCAATCAAATGTAAATGCTCTTCAATGATGGTATGATAAACACTGAACATTTCCGACAACTCCCGAGTGATGCAAGTGGGATCTTCTTTGATAATTTGCAAAATATTGAGACTCATCCAGCTTTCGAGGACGTCCTTCGTGATGCTAATCTTCTAGGCTCTCGTTTCCACTACAAAATCGCTCAAACTATCGATAACATTGGCTTTCGCTAATACTACTTTTGCCATAGGCCTTTGAAATAGAATTATGCGATTCTCGGACAGATTTTCCAAGCTTAAAGTCATAGAGTAATGCAGCTCAAATAGGGAAATTTTGTTCCGTCATTTTTTGATAACAAATGAACAAATGTTTGCAAATAATATTATGATTGTGTAAGCAAAAACACTCTGTTTCTCTGTTACTATCGCGGTTTTCTCTGTTTGTCAGCCATTACTTTCCCCAGAGCACAAGTTAAAGTGTTAAAAGTTCGCATTATTTTCCCGCCAACCTAATATTTTGATTTTTCAGATCATTTACGATGTTGATTACGACCTGGCGAAGCGTATTTGTCAGTACATGGACAGTAAAATGGTTTATGTTGAAGGGGAGACGAAAAATCGTTTATTAATATGTGCGTTCTTACAAGGGAATGACACCAGCTCAGAAATTCAGAATTGTTTGGTGCCCGATCTAGAATGTCTGATCTAGAATGCTCGATCTAGAATACCCGATCTAGAATGCCCGATCTAGAATACCCGATCTAGAATACCCGATCTAGAATACCCGATCTAGAATGCTCGATCTAGAATACCCGATCTAGAATGCCCGATCTAGAATACCCGATCTAGAATACCCGATCTAGAATACCCGATCTAGAATGCTCGATCTAGAATACCCGATCTAGAATGCCCGATCTAGAATACCCGATCTAGAATGCTCGATCTAGAATACCCGATCTAGAATGCCCGATCTAGAATACCCGATCTAGAATACCCGATCTAGAATACCCGATCTAGAATGCCTGATCTAGAATGCCCGATCTACATTCTAGAAAGAATGTAGAATCGGTTATGCTGATTTTGAATCTGTAAAAATAAACTCTAAATATTCACCCAATTGCGAGCAATCTGGCATAGAAGATTTCAATCAATTTTTGAAAAACTTTATATACCTAGCTCCGAAGAAACTGGCGTCATTCCCTTTTTAGCCATTTTTATCAATCCAAAACTCTTTTCCAGCATTGATTCGCAGCGAACAGTCGAAAACGTTCGCCTCGGGCAATCTGCTACTTGGCGCTCAGAGAATGGTTCGTTTACTCGTTTAAGCTTTCACCTAGTTTAACATTTTTGTCATTTTCGACCAAAGAAACGCTTTTAGAACAATCGCTTCTACTGGGACAACGGTAGCGAGATGAATTACACGCATTGGGGCTCACAAGAGCCGATCACCACAAACGGGAATGAGAATTGCGTCTTGGCGAGTTAGCTGATCTAAAATAGCTTTCGGATAGCTGATCTGAAAGATAAGACGGCCTTATCAAGATAAGAGAGACTGGAGTTGATTGCAAGATCAAACCCAGACTGCTAACAACTTGAATGAACAAAATGAACATCAAATTTGACTGATTGTTTAGTTGGTCACCGATCGAAACGAAATTCTTTCCTCAAAGTTCTCGCGATGGAAAACGACACCCTGTAACGTGAAGCAAAAATTCTCGATTTGTGAGTGGAAATATTGATTTGATTCTTTTCTTTATTCTTTTCTGTATTATTTTCTTTATTATTTTCTTTATTCTTTTTGTTTTAATCTTGTCTGTATAAAAAAATCATCAAAATTTGATTCTTTTCTGTATTTTTTTGGTTTAATCTTGTCTGTATAAAGAATCAAGACATTTTCTAATGTTTCTTCTAAGAAAGCTAATGTTTCTTTTCAGCTTTCATCTGATCAATTTCCGCACACAATCAAAATAAACAGATCGATGGACTTATGAACAAGTTGAATAAATCTAGAATTGAGGGAATAGTTCTAGAATTGAGGGAATAGTTCTAGAACAAGTTGAATAGTTCTAGAATTGAGGGAATAGTTCTAGAATTGAGGGAATAGTTCTAGAATTGAGGGAATAGTTCTAGAACAAGTTGAATAGTTCTAGAATTGAGGGAATAGTTCTAGAATTGAGGGAATAGTTCTAGAATTGAGGGGAATAGTTCTAGAACAAGTTGAATAGTTCTAGAATTGAGGGGAATAGTTCTAGAATTGAGGGAATAGTTCTAGAATTGAGGGGAATAGTTCTAGAACAAGTTGAATAGTTCTAGAATTGAGGGAATAGTTCTAGAATTGGAGGGAATAGTTCTAGAATTGAGGGGAATAGTTCTAGAACAAGTTGAATAGTTCTAGAATTGAGGGAATAGTTCTAGAATTGAGGGAATAGTTCTAGAATTGAGGGAATAGTTCTAGAACAAGTTGAATAGTTCTAGAATTGAGGGAATAGTTCTAGAATTGAGGGAATAGTTCTAGAATTGAGGGAATAGTTCTAGAACAAGTTGAATAGTTCTAGAATTGAGGGAATAGTTCTAGAATTGAGGGAATAGTTCTAGAATTGAGGGAATAGTTCTAGAACAAGTTGAATAAATCTAGAATTAAGAGAAAAATCTTCTTCAAAAGCTTTAGAAGCTTAAGGAAAATTCGTTTCAATTCACAAAAAAAAAAAGGAAATATTTAGGGAATAGATTTCTAGAGAAATTCCCCTAAAATCGACCTAAATGGCCACTTTTCTCTTTCCTTTTCTCTTTCCACTTCCTTTTTTGTCATTTCTTATCTTTCCTTTCACAAAATCGATTGATCTGTCTGATTCTTTTCGTTGTTTTCTCTTTTTTCATTCCATAAAAACATTGGAATCTTTTCAAAATTCATAAAATAAATTTAAATTTTGATATTCATATGAAGTATCATCTATTTCCCTCGAGAAATGTAGGTTTTTCAATAGATCCGTTCGTGTAAACTTATTTGATTTATAGATTCGTTCTTGTCGACTTATTTGCGCAATTCCGATTTCACTAATTTGTTTAACTTTTTATTGGATTTCTAGTGAAGAACCAAAGCAAAGAGTGAGTCAAAAAGCGGAAGGTGAGCGCTGGATTTGAGTTATTGGGTTGATGGTGAAAAGTCCTTTCCGATTCGTTTGGGAGAGTACCTTAAATTTGTCGAATTTTTGACGTTTTATAGCTTTTACAGCTATTTTAGCTCATCCTAAATAATAATAATACTTTATTCAAACGATAAAGTGAAAGAAATCATAGAGAAATGCACAGTGATACTTAATTTAGAAAAAGCTGAATTCAAGACGGATCGATTGGTAAAAACCGTTTTGAGATATCTCTTTTCTAAAAGGCTTGACAGCCATTTTTTGGCTCTGCCGCCCTTTACTAAAATAGCTGTAAAAGCTTTTAGAAAAGAGATATCTCAAAACGGTTTTTACGAATCGATCCGTCTTGAATTCTGCTTTAGGATGAGCTATAATTTCTTAGAGTCGTTCTTGGAGCTAGATGAGCTATAAAACGTCAAAAATTGGACAAATTTAAGGTACTCTCCCAAAAAAATCGGAAAGAACTTTTCCATCAACCCAATAGAATTACTAGACACTAAATATTACGACAATAATTTTCCTGTGACTTTTCCAGTTCTCTTCTCGAGTCATATCTTTGAAAGTTGTCCCGATTACAATTATAAATGGGATGATCCGGAGATTTTAAAGCGATTGCCGCCAACTGAAGAAGAACGTTTGTTTGATTTTTTGAATAGAAATCAAAATATTTCATTTTTCTTCAGCTCTATGCCATCGTGAGAATGGAATCACTTTACTTTTGAGGGGAGAGGTCAAAATGAACACTGAATATTTGAATTATCAAAAATACAAATGTAAAGCAAGGTTGGTGATTGAATTATTGGGTTGGTGAATTGAAAACTAAAGGCTATTTTCATATGTGACAGTTTGAGGACTTTCTTCAAAAGAAACCTATTTTGGTGTCAATGGAAAAGTTGTAGAGAATCAAAAATCAAGCTTATATCCAAATTTCCAAAAAGATACACTTAGTAGTTTCGCTTAAAACTTGTGTTTTGTATGTTCTTTGTACGGCCGGGTAATCGCTCGTCGTCTGGCGCAGGGCTTTTACATAACCCCCTTCCCTCTCGCTTCGCCAAACTTATCTGGCCGGCTCCGAATCCTCAAATTGGGCATTCCCTTCTCTTCAAGTTCAAAGCTAATCTCAATCTATTGGATTGGTGAATTGAAAACTGCCGGCTATTGTCAGATGTGACAGTTTGAGGACTTTCTTCAAAAGAAACCCATTTTGGTGTCAATGGAAAAGTTGTAGAGAATCAAAAATCAAGCTTATATCCAAATTTCCAAAAAGATACACTTAGTAGTTTCGCTTAAAACTTGTGTTTTGTATGTTCTTTGTACGGCCGGGTAATCGCTCGTCGTCTGGCGCAGGGCTTTTAGATAACCCCCTCCCCTCTCCCTTTGCTAAACTAATCTGGCCGGCTCCGAATCCTCAAATTGGATATTGATTAGATAGCCTCAAGTCAAGGCTAATATCAATCTATTGGTTTGGTGAATTGAAAACTGCCGGCTATTGTCAGATGTGACAGTTTGAGGACTTTCTTCAAAAGAAACCTATTTTGGTGTCAATGGAAAAGTTGTAGAGAATCAAAAATCAAGCTTATATTTATATAACCCCCTTCCCTCTCCCTTCGCCAAACTAGTCCGAGCGGCTCCGAATCCTTAAATTGGATTGAATTGACTTTGAATTAAATCATTTTCTTTAAATTTCAGATGCGCTTATCTTGATGGTGGTTACGAGTATAAATTTGGATCATGGTGCACTGTTGGAAATGATTGTAAAAAGTTTACCTGCGATTTCGTTTACATCAACTGTTGGCTGGGTGAAGAATTAGTGCATATCGATGTGCATTTGCAAATTTATGAACACAGGTTAACAAAGTCTTCTCTTTCTTTCTTTCTTTCCTTCCTTTCCTTTCTTTCCTTCCTTTCTTTCTTTCCTTCCTTTCTTCCTCATTGTACTTTCTCTTCTCTCTCTTCTCACTCTTCCTTCTCTTCTCGAGCTCAGCAGTTAGAGCATTTTCCCAGAAAGGTAGAAGGGGACAGAGGTCAAGGGTTCAATCTTTCTTTGAAAATCTTTCCTTTCTTTCTTTACCATTCTTTAGCTTACTTATTTTGGAAGAAATTGAGCCAAAGAGCTGAATTTCTCCAAAAATCCTTCCTTTCTTTCTTTGTCATTCTTAAACTTACTTATTTTAGAAGAAATCGAGCTGAAGAGTTTCGTAGTTTATACAATGGCCATTCGATTCCACTACAGAGCCAAGTTACTTCAAAAGGTTTCCATCCAAATCTCTACATCATTGTCCTCGATTCAGCTGGCAGAAATCCGGCAATGAGGTTGAGCAATGTTTAGCTATAGTAGCTAGTTCTTGCTAAATTCAAATTTCAAGAGAAATACCTGTTTTTCATTTCAGACAACTCAAAAAGACTTACAAATACCTTGTTGACGAGCTTGGGGCAATTGATTTCGAGAAATTTCAACGTGTCGCCTACAGTAGTCGAGAAAATGCATTCGCTGCTTTCTGGGGTTTGTTGAGAGCTGATGGGGAGCTATGGAGCTGATGGGAGCTGATGGGAGCTGATGGGAGCTGATGGGGAGCTGATGGGGAGCTGATGGGGAGCTCTTATGATGGGGAGCTCTTGTGATGGGGAGCTCTTGTGATGGGGAGCTCATGTGATGGGGAGCTCATGTGATGGGGAGCTCTTGTGATGGGGAGCTCTTCATTTTCAATTTCATTTCGATAATATCCTCTAGTTTTACAAATTTTCTTTTAAAGATTAAGATTTTAAAAGAAATTTGAAAGAAATTGAAAGAATTTTATCGAAAAAAGTGTAAAGTTTTTAGGAATCATTGGGGAGAGAGTTGATCGAAAAGCTTTTGGTGGTACAGTCATTGAGAAAACTTCAACGTGTGGATATCCATATGATAATCGTCATTATATTCAATTCGAATATGAGGTTCTGTTCTGGCTAAAGTTTCCTTTTTCAAACTTTTCTCTTTTCCAGGATGCCGGCTATCGAACGATGTACGCGTACGATTACCTCCTCGATTTGTACATGTATGTCGATTGTGTGGGAATGGTAAATGATCCGGCCACGCATCATTCAAGGTTTGATCGATTATTGTAGCTTTGATAGATTATTGGTTATTGTAGCTTTAATAGACGGATATTGTAGCTACAAAAACTACCGTAACTCGCAGCTAAAACTGTAGCCTAAAACAGCTAAAGCCTGTAGCCTAAAACAGCTAGAACTGTAGCCTAAAGCCTGTAGCCTAAAGCCTGTAGCCTAAAGCCTGTAACCTAAAGCCTGTAACCTAAAGCCTGTAACCTAAAGCCTGTAACCTAAAGCCTGTAGCCTAAAGTCTGTAGCCTAAAGTCTGTAGCCTAAAGTCTGTAGCCTAAAACAGCTAAAACATTCTTACAGACCATTCCAATTGCTCTCCATTTTGCCTGAAGAAGTTTGGATCGATGTGTGAGTTGAAAGATAACCAATTTTTTTGAAGATAACCAATTTTCTAGCCCATTCGTCCAATACGGATATCAGTATCAAGATGAGAAACTTCTTCGGAAACATCTACGCAACAAAACGAAATGTGGCCAAAACTATAATCACATGATACGCTACACTGAGGAATTCATGAACTCATATAAAGGTAGATTCTTATTTTATTGATATTCTTATTTGTAGGCCTATTTTTATTTGTAGCCAACGTTGTTCTAAAGCGATCTAGACAAATCTGGACAAGTTTCTAGAACTAGAAAGTTTAGAGTCAAGCATATCTAGGCGGATCCAGAGTTTAGAGTTCATCCAGAGTTTATTTTTTTCCGAGAAGGTCGGTCAATAAGTTTCCGAGTTTCTTTAAAAGTTTAAGCTAGTTAAATCGGAGTTTCAATTGATAGATTCAAATCTCCATCAAATAAACATCTCCAATCAAATGAACATCTCCAATCAAAGAAACACCTCCAACCAAATAAACATCTCCAACCAAATGAACATCTCCATCAAACAAACATTTCCATCAAATAAACATCTCCAATCAAATGAACATCTTCATCAAACAAACATCTCCATCAAATGAACATCTCCAACCAAATGAACATCTCCAACCAAATGAAGATCTCCAATCAAAGGAACACCTCCAACCAAATGAACATCTCCAACCAAATGAACATCTCCAACCAAATGAACATCTCCAACCAAATGAACATCTCCAACCAAATGAACATCTCCAATCAAAGGAACACCTCCAACCAAATGAACATCTCCAACCAAATGAACATCTCCAACCAAATGACCATTCCCGAAAACCCACAAATTCATAACTGAATATCTTTTTTGTACAAAGTAAAAGAAGAAATGTGTAAATGACCGGAGAAATGTTCTTTGTACGGCCGCTTAATCGCTTTCCATTTGGTAAAACGTCTTGGTATTTGGGATCAGTTTTTGCCGAAATTTTCCTGTATTTCTGCTGCTTCCGTATCCCGTTAAGCCATTATGTCACAGTAGCTAAACTTAGAAAATAATGCGATTTGAGTTTTTCTCAAGATTCATTAGTCCAATCAAACTTTATTAGGAATTCCAAAGTTCGGGATTCTGTGGACAAATGAGGGCCATGCTGACGAGAGAGCTTTCCGCAACACTGACAAATACTACGAGCAATTTCTTCGGGATAACAAGAAAGAGGTTAGATCTCATCTCAAGAGTTCAAAGATTCTCTTTTCAGCTTGATGATGCCTTTGTGATTGTGCTTGGGGATCATGGGCAAAGGGAAGGAAAGGTTGGTTTTACTTTTATCCAAACCAAAACCTTATTTGGTGGCTACAGTACAGTAGATCTGGATAGAGTACAATAAATCTGGCTAGAGTACAGTAGAACAGGCTACAGTACAGTAAATCTGACTACAGTACTCTTTCATCTAGCAATTTCACCTACAGTAAAGCAGAGTACAAGCACAGTACAGCCGCACTTGAGAAGCCTTCCTACCCTAAGTGAAGCCTTGAGACAAGCCTTCTGACAAGCCTACAGTGGCCTTGAGTAAGCCTCTGTACAAGCCTAAGTGCAGCCTTGAGTAAAGCCTTCTGTACAAGCCTACAGTGCAAGCCTTGAGTACAAGCCTTCTGTACAAGCCTACAGTGCAAGCCTTGAATACAGCCTTCTGTACAAGCCTACAGTGCAAGCCTTGAGTACAAGCCTTCTGTACAAGCCTACAGTGCAAGCCTTGAGTACAGCCTACAGTACAAGCCTTCAGTACAAGCCTACAGTACAAGCCTACAGTGCAAGCCTTGAGTACAAGCCTACAGTACAAGCCTTCAGTACAAGCCTACAGTACAAGCCTATAGTACAAGCCTCAGTACAAGCCTTCAGTACAAGCCTTCAGTACAAGCCTACAGTACAAGCCTACAGTGCAAGCCTTCAGTACAAGCCTACAGTACAAGCCTGATTACAGTAAAGACCTGGCTACAGTTGCTACAGTAGTTTCCTGCAATCAAACAATCCTCAGGTCATCGATACGACTCAGGGGAAATTTGAAGTGAGTAACAATTTGCTGCTTTTCTCTGTGCCAAAACAACTACGGTAACTTTATTTGATTTTCTAATTTAAAAAAAAATCATTAGCGGTACTTTACTTGAAGACATGGTAAAGAAGAATTCTGGTGAATTGCTTACAATGCACGATCTTCACGCAACACTCATTGATATAATTCGGGTAAAGCTTTAAATCAACACTGAATTTCATTACCGCTTACCTATCCGTCCTCCTGCTGACGATAGGTAAGTTGCTTTCTAAAAGTTTGATCTTACGAGGGATTACTGTAGACAGAGTCTCAAGCTGTCTTAAATTAGAAAAGGTTACTGTAGCTGTCTTAAATTAGAAAAGATTACTGTAGCTTTACATTTCTTTTTCCTATACTATACCCTGGCTAAACTGTGTTCCAAAAATAGTTTCATTAAAAAATTAAACCATTAAACTATTATCTAAAATATGGCTCTTTGTAGTAATCTAGACTTGTTCAAGAAAACAAAACTCCTAAAAAAACCAGTTTATATCATAATTTCTAGCATCAACCCACCGCCAACTTTCAAGGGCAATCATTTCTGGCAATCAACGGTAATTTCTTAGTTTTGCTCAATAAAATCCGGTTCAGGCACATTGGGAAACTCGTGGCTACGTAGATTGGATCCAAATCTGCCTCGATCTTGTCGACACTTGCCAATCCCATCTCAGTATTGCACGTGTAACTATGGGAAACACGATCCGGTTTCCAAGTGAGTTTTGGTAAAAGTTGCATGGTAAAGAAAGCGATGGATTAACACTAAAGTAACAGTAAGTTTAATGTAATGTTTCCCCCAGCTCTGTTTTTGTCTTTTTTTGGTTTCCCCTGTCTCTATTGACTTGATCGAAAGCTAGAAGCAGAAGCCGGGTCTGGTCTAGCCTCGTTTAGAGATCCTAGTATCCGTTTGGAACTAGACATGGGAAAATTCCAATCTGTACCTAATTCGACCCTCGTTTTTCAGCCATCTCTTAGCCAATTGATCTGAAATTTTATCTACAACCAGAGAATGATAATTTCGACCGTAAAAGCTCTAATAAAAGACCCCGCTATAGGAGCGCCGTGTTGTCTAACTTTACACTCAAAGAACCGCTCAGATCTTGACACCAGTACGTTTATTTCTGTGCGGTTAGGTATTAAATTAAAGTAGAGAGGATGGTGATTTTTTGAAATATAATAAATATTTTTAACTTCAACCAGTGCTTAGAAAAAAATGATTGAAAAGTGGCAAAAAAAGCCGATTTTTCATCATTTTTAAATCATTTTTTCTAAGCACTGGTTAATGTTAAAAATATTTGTTATATCTCAAAAAATCACCCATTTTCTCTACTTTAATTTGATACCCGAACGCCTAGAAACAAACGTACTGGTGCTGAGATATGAACCTTTATTTGAGTGTCAATTTAGACTACGCAACGCTCTTATAGCGGGGTCTTTTATTAGAGCTTTTACGGTATTTGTAAACAAAATTTCAGAACAATTAGCCAAGAGACGGTTGAGAAAACGAAATTGGAAATTGGAATTAGTTGGAAACTCTTTTAGAGAAGATTCGCTTTGGCTCATGCTACCGAAGCTGATTCAAACGAATTTCAATGAGTATCTAGCCGAGAACAAGTTGAATGAGCTGTGCGAGGAGGTCATCGTTCAGAATGTGAGTTGAAAAAGGTGCTAGATCTAGGCTAGATTACTATCTAGCCGAGAACAAGTTGAATGAGCTGTGCGAGGAGGTCGCGGTTCAGAATGTGAGTTGAAAAGGTGCTAGATCTTGGCTAGATCTTGGCTAGATTAATCGATTTATTGTAAAATCCAGATTTCTTCTAACATTTATTCTAATTCTATTCATTTAGGTGACAATCATCACAAAAATTCAAACAGGGACCTCAGTCAACTTTCACGCCGAGTTCTACACGACAAGGAGTGCCGCTTTTTCGGTAAAACAATTTTTACTTACTTTACTTTCAAATTCAATTCTTAGGTCGATTATAAGCTTTCTGACAACGGTGAACTGGAAATGGCGCCACGGGAATTCGTTCGAGTCAACAGGTGAGTCGAGAGTAGACTTTCAAAGTACCGCTCCTATTGCCAAGACAAACGTTTCTTGTGTTTTTCTCGTCGCTCACTTGACCAATTTGGTTACACTTGTTTTCATTAATCAGGGCTATCGAAAGAAAACGCGCGTAGCCAAATCGGTCAAGTAGGTGACGAGAAAAACACAAAAAACTTTGTTTGCTTTTGGCAATATCCAATATTCCGTATCCATCACTAGCTCAGCCATTCCTAATCATCACTATCACAGCCATTCCGTATCCATCACTAGCTCAGCCATTCCGTATCCATCACTAGCTCAGCCATTCCGTATCCATCACTAGCTCAGCCATTCCGTATCCATCACTAGCTCAGCCATTCCGTATCCATCACTAGCTCAGCCATTCCGTATCCATCACTAGCTCAGCCATTCCCAACCATCACTAGCTCAACCATTCCGTAACCATCATTAGTACCGTATCTTTCCATATTGATGTACCTGTTATGCTTCGTTCGAGTAAACAGGTGAGTCGAAAGCAAATCTTTCAAATATTCTCCAGTTCTTTCATGTGCACTGTACCATTTCGTTGCGAGTAGTTGGTTGTACCGTTCCAAGTAGCACCAAGTACCGGTGACTCAAATCTAAGACTAGACATGATGTTTTTCCTACAACATGCCATCAGACTTGACAACAAAAACCCCACTTTTTCCTCTACAAGCCTCCATTTCTAGATACGGCACTACAGGCAATTGTCTCACCACCGGCATCGCTCTCTTCAAACCGGTGTGCTATTGCAAAATACAAAAATGATCTCAAAAGCTCTTTAAAATGAGATTTGATTTGATTTTATTTGATTTTATTTTTCATTTATAAACATTTATTACAATCGATTTATTTCAATCTTGGCATGCATTTTATTTAAAATATAAAATTTTATTTAAAATCCCCGACGTTTTTGAGCTGACAAAATAAAATAACAAAGAAAATACAAAAAGAAAAAACTTTGTACAACAAGACGAATCTTTAAAAGATTTAAATTTAAATTTTAGTCGAATCTTTGAGCAGAGGCTTCATTCTGTACGGATAAACCTCGTTGCGGCAGCGGCGACAAATTTGAGATGTATTTGCCCAGACCTGAAAAGGCTGTTAAGGAATTTTAGAATTGAATTTTAGTGCTTGTCAATAGAGTGCCAAAGCCAAAGCCAAAGCCAAAGCCAAAGCCAAAGCCAAAGCCAAAGCCAAAGCCAAAGCCAAAAGCAAGCCAAAGCCAAAGCCAAAGCCAAAGCAAAGCCAGAAAGCCAGCAAGCCAAAGCCAAAGCCAAAGCCAAAGCTCACCTTTTGACTCTTCCATTTCTGCTTGCAATACGAGCAACGAAACCATCCTTGACTTTGACGAGAGCCTTGATATTTCGTGGTTTCAACTCGGCCGAAATTCTAAAAAGCGAAACTATTGGCTGGAAAAAGAAAAACCTTTAAACAAGTGTACTCAGGTTTTTCAAATTACAAACCCATGGACAATTCTTGATCCAATGATGTCCCTCGCATTGATGACAACGATAATCCGGGTACACCAAACGATGATCCCATTGCTCATTTACTTGCTAAACTGATTTTTAAGCGTTGTTTAGACATTTCTACTACCCAAAATTCAGCATTTTCGTCAAGATCATCAAAATTCGGCCGACTTGGTCCAGGAAGATCGCTCCCGTAATCGGGCTCAATCTGAGCACGATTTTATTTAATCATTTCAACTTTTAGATGTAGTCTGTAGCCAGATCTGTAGTCAGCCAAGGACAAGTCAAAAGTTTGGCTTTTGTCCAAGCATAGCCTCCGGTTAACCAATGGGGTTCTTTCCCCAGCTTACTAATCTGTTTGAATGGTGGAACGGAGACAAGGGTGATTACAACATGTTAACCAAAGTTGCACTTTTGCTGTTGTCTTCGCCAGCCAGCGCAAACGGATTTTGGTTGGGTTTAATCGAAAACCGAAACCGTCTAGTGTCTACATGTCAGAGCCAGCTAAAGTCCGTGGAAAATAGGACCGACAGAAGCTTTTGACTCTTTTGACCTCTCCTCTTGCCTGGCTGGCTGGCTGGTTGGCTGGCCGGCCTGGCTTGATCTCTCCTCTTGCCTGGCTGCAGTCCCAATATCCGATTGGAGCATCTCGGTAGGTTAGACCAGTATTTGGCACTTTAAACGCTAGTTTATTTTAGTGGCATTCCATTCCCCAATCACCAACCATATCGTTTTCCAGATCCGAGTGAGCCGAGTTCGACGATGCGACATCCGAGATGTTTTTCGGTGTCGAATTGGGCCGATTCGAGAGAATGGAGATCATATCGGTCATGTCGAAATCACAAAAGCCACTGGTATCTTAAAAATTCAGTTGGAAAAAAAAGTACGCTCAAAAACGCAGCCAAATTTGCATTTTCCTTTGCAAACACAGGGTTGCAATGGGGAAAAATAAGGAATTCGGTGCGCCAAAAAGGGTGTGTTTGCATTTTTGAGCACAACAGTACACTGTTGTGCTGTGGTTTTACGTGCTAAAAGTTGCTAAATACTTTGATCCTTTGAATCTCAATAAATCAGCTATTCCTCTCCAGTATTGGCACCAAGTTCATTTCTTCGCTTTTTTTCCCCTTTCCGCTTCGACTTTTGTGGTTATCTTGCCTTTTGTTTTTCTCACCCAAACCCGCATATCGTTTTTCTTGTGCCAGAAAAAGGATTGCGGAATGATGCTTTCGTTTTTAATTTCGAACTTTTCTCAAAAAACCTACTCGAAATTGGATTTTCCACTTCTCCGCGAATCTCGCAACGCAACAATAATTTCGTCCTTTCTTCGTTTGCTTTCTGAAAGTTTACTTTACAGTTTAGCTTACTCTAAAGCCAGCAACGTCAAAAATTTGATATCACTTTTATATTTGTGATCAAAAGTCAATAGCATTTGTGAAGAGTTGCAAAACAGTATCCAAAGCTATTGCTTTAAAACTTTACCGTGTTATGGATTCAGAATACAAGTATGTGTTCAAAAACTAAGTACCACTGGCGATTAGGCTCAACTTTCTACTAGTTCTGTTAGACAAACAAGTAGCAGCTCGGGTCCGTACCGATAGCAGTGTTAAGATGAAGTTAACTATCCAATGGTCAATCGTTTATCGGATTTGTACACAATTTACTACTCGAAAGATTAACATTTTTGATCTAAACAAACAGCTCACCTCTTTCATGTCAAATTCAGCTAGTTGTTTTGCGACCAAGAGCAGTCCGGCCATGTTGAGCGACGAGCTAAAGTCGCTCATCCTCTAAAGAGATCTTAACTTGGGGAAAAACTAAAACATTAGTAAAACAAGCATTTGACGTTAATGAAGTTGCGGGGAATTTCAAATGATGGGAAGTTTCGGCCTTTGAATTTCCTTATCACTTGATGACTCGACAATCATTTGGCGCCATTGTGTCCACTATGCCTGAAATTGTATTTGAAAATGCGTAAAGGAAACCGCAAAATCAACAAAATTCCATTTTTTTTCTTTTATTTTTTAAAAATTATACTAAACTACTGGAACCAGGGATGATTAAACGATCGAGTTGTGCGTTCAATCGAGTTGTGCGTTCAATCGAGTTGTGCGTTCAATCGAGTTGTGCGTTCAATCGAGTTGTGCGTTCAATCGAGTTGTGCGTTCAATCGAGTTGTGCGTTCAATCGAGTTGTGCGTTCAATCGAGTTGTGCGTTCAATCGAGTTGTGCGTTCTAAACGATCGAGTTGTGCGTTCAATCGAGTTGTGCGTTCTTTTTATGTCGCTAAGAAAATCGGCATTTGGCACATCGCTCTGGCTATGGCTTTAGTCGACTTGGGTAATTAAACCGACTCAAAGAGACGTTTTTACAAGAAAACTTATGGTTTTTCTTTTTTGATTGATTAACGATTCTAAAAACTATTTGCTTCATAAAATCCCAACAAAAAAGTGCTCTTTGTTTTTTTTATTTGTTGTTTTTGTTTGTTTGATTAAAGTTGTTATCGTATTTTCTCTAATAGTAGTGCATCTTGATCGTCGTTTATTAAAGTTGATTATTAAAGTTGTTTGACTAAAGTTGTTACCGTATTTTCTCTAATAGTAGTGCACTTTGATCGTCGTTTCAAATTACTTGAAATCTCAAAAACCCCTTATCAGAACCTATCGATGTGAGGTCGGAAAATGTAGCTGACGATGAGATCTAGTGAGGGATTAAAGTGTTGATCTTCTGGGAAAAATTGAAAACCATAAAACAGGCATCAACTCGGCTCGGTGCTGTGCACTACTATTAGAGAGAATACGGTACTCGCTGTGACGCAATAGTCATGTATTGGGTTCGGGACTATGACTCGGCGGACAAAAGAAAGGCAAATTGATTGAACGTAAAACCATAAATTCATTCCAAATAATTTCCATTATTATTGACGACTTCTGCCCATTTTACAGGCAATTTGCGGATTCCTCTTTCGTAGTAGGATTTTGGTTTGTGTGTGAGACAAGTGTGAGACTCAAAAATGGAGGACTGGAGATGTCCCAGTTTGAGCACTTTCTTCAAAAGAAACCCATTTTGGTGTCAATGGAAAAGTTGTAGAGAATCAAAAATTAGGCTTATAGCCAAATTTCCAAAAGGATACACTTAGTAGTTTCGCTTAAAATGCAAGTTTTCTGAAAATTTGTAAATTTGGCATTTCTTGAAAACCAGTTTTTGAATCGTTCTGAAAATTTGGATGTAAGCTTGATTTTTGATTCTCTACAACTTTTCCATTGACACCAAAATGGGTTTCTTTTGAAAAAAGTGCCCAAACTCTCACATATGACAATAGCCCGCCATTTTCAATTCCCCAACCCAATACTTTGTGCTTATTTGTGCGATAGAAACACCGTATCTAGTGCATTCTAGTGTAAATTTCGATTGTTTTCAATAAATGAGTGAGTTAGTCGTGTTTTAATAGGCATCAACTCGGCTCGGTGCTGTGTACTACTATTAGAGAAAAGGGGCGATCTTTGGGATTGCCTAGGAGGACAAGTGAGGCTTTCACTTGGATTCTTCCCTTCCCCTTTCACTCATTTGTAATCTATTCGGCTTATCGTACTACTGTAAATAAAGATATACGTCTTCCGGGCCTATTCAACTGCAGTCCAGCTCTATGCAACTGCAGTCCAGGTCCATCATTTCACAGGGACTCCCCTCAAGGAGTTGAGTACGTTGGAGGAGTTGAGTCGGGTTGTCGGAGTGTTAGAGATGGGAGGATATATCCGGATATCAAAAGGGATCCACTGTCTTTAACTTAACCCAAGTTCTAGTCCATATCCGTTTACTCTTAGGAACGAACGAACAATAAACAAACTTTCATAATCTTTCATCAAGCTCTTTTCCATTCGATGTTCATTGTAAGGGTTTTAGGAAAAAAGAAATTAAAAACAAGAATTCCATTCGAATTTGCTTTAAAATGGACTGAAGACTTTCCCCAACACTTCCCCAACACTTCCCCAACACTTTCCCCAAGACTTTCCCCAACACTTCCCCAACACTTTCCCCAACACTTTCCCCAAGACTTTCCCCAACACTTCCCCAACACTTCCCCAACACTTTCCCCAAGACATTTACCCAAAGAGTTTTTTTTTTTCTTTTACGACATATAATTTTTGATGACCTAGGATTCAAAGAAAAGCATTTTTTTTTCCTAAAAAATGAGGCGCTTGCAAAGAAGTTATCACGATTTTTAGCGATTTTCAACGAATTACCCCAAAAAAATTGTTCTTATCTTTAAGAAATCTTATGAATTCAGAAAAATTTCTAAACTTTTCATGAGTTCTTCTTAAAATTTCTTAAAATTTCTTAAAATTTCTTAAGCTTTCTTGAAGAAATGTTTGCTATTTTCAACTCATATTCAATAATAAAATCTCTCTGGCGCATTTGTGCAAATATTTGAACAGAAATGATAACCGACTTTTTGATAGAAAAGACTCAAAATTCTCAAGTTTTCCCGTTTCCGTTTCAGATTTCGATCAACGATTTCGCCTTTATTTTTATCTGTTTTATTCGTTTTCGCAGTTTAAGCGTTTGATTTTTTTTTCGTTTAAATGCAAATTTAAAGAGTTAAATGACTTTTTCAATGTTCAATAGCTAGTTTTTTCAATTCAGTTTTTTCAATTCAACTCTCGCATTTCTTTCTTTTTCTCAACAAAATTCAACTTTACAACAGCACTCACGACAGTACGATTTCACTACGAGATATTAGGGGTTTGCAAAAGAAACTGCGCATGACTTTCCGGAACAATATTTTCTCTATTTGAAAGTGCTCTAACCCAGTTTAAATTTTATTCTATTGTGTTGATAACGCTTATTTATTTTACTGATTTTCACATTTGTTTGACCATTGAATTATAAATAATTTTAGTTGTCGAAGATGACGGATCAAAAATTTGTTTTGCGGGCTTGCTTTCTCTATGACTTTAAAATGAAGAAATCAGCATTGGAGTCGCACCGGAATCTTTGTGAAGCATTTGGAGAAAACGTTTTGAGTGAAAGAAGTTGTCAGGAATGGTTCCGGCGTTTTCGTGAAGGAGATGAGGGCTTGGAAGACCAGCCCCATGGACATCGTCCTGTTGTCCTCGATAATGCGGAGTTGCTCGAGGTTGTCGAGTCGGATCCAACTCAAACTTTGTCCGAATTAGCCGAATGCTTTAAATGCGATAAGAGCACAATTTCCCGACACCTTTTGCTTATTGGAAAAAAAAATCGTTGTGGCCAATGAGTCCCGCACGAATTATCCCCAGAAAACAAATCTAACCGTGTTTTAATGTCTCGGATTTTATTGAGAAAGGCCACGGGCAGCGCTTTTTTTGAAAACATCTTGACAATGGACGAAAAGTGGATATATTTCAATAATACAACCCGCAAAAGACAATGGCTGAGCAAAGGAGAAACTCCAGTTCCGACACCACGTCCAGATCTTCACGGCAAGAAAGTTATGTTGTCGGTCTTTTGGAATATGAAAGGAATCGTCTACTTTGAATTACAAAAATCCTCAAAAACTATAACTTCTCAAATCTACGCCGAGCAGCTGAAGAAAGTTGATGAAATTCTAAGAGAAAGAGGCGTTAATCTAAAGACAATCAATTTGCTTGCTGACAACGCCCGGGTACATACGTCGAATTTGGCTCAAAACACGATAGAAGAATTAGGCTGGAATCTTCTGCCTCATCCGCCATATTCCCCTGATATCGCTCCCTCAGATTACCACTTGTTCCGATCTATGCAACACTCCCTTGCAAATCAACAGTTTAACAATTACCAAGAAGTCGAAATTTGGGTGCAAGACTATTTCGCGTCACAAGATCCGGAATCTTTCGAATCAGGCATCCGAAGTCTACGTAAAAAATGGAAAAATATAGTTGATAATTTTGGCTAGTACCTTTTGGAATAAAGTCTTTTATTATTAATTTTCGAGGTGTTTGAACGTTGCGTATAATACGCAGTTTCTTTTGCAAACCCCTAATACTAAAGTATTCAAACAAAAAGACAGCAATCGTCAATCTTTCTAAATGTGTTTCATTACTGGAGAAAGACTGCGTTTTTCGAGCTCACAAAGCTTACACTAGAGATTCGATAATTTAAGAAAATCTCTCACAAGCTTCTGGCATTTGAAAGAATTCAAAGCTCGACTAGATTTAAAATCGAATAAACGAATCGATTCGCTTATCCATCGAAAAAGTAATAGAGTTTACGCTAAAGTCGAACTCATTGCAAGCTAAACATTCGAATGAATCTTAAAGAATAAAGATTTGGAGGCTAGAATTTCATAGTTCTGTCGCTCTGTCGGGCAGCTCCTGTCGGGCAGCTCCTGTCGGGCAGCTCTGTCGGACAGTTCCTATCGAACAGTTCCTATCGAACAGTTCCTATCGAACAGTTCCTATCGAACAGTTCCTATCGAACAGTTCCTATCGAACAGTTCCTATCGAACAGTTCCTATCGAACAGTTCCTGTCGAACAGTCCTATCGAACAGTTCCTGTCGAACAGTTCCTATCGAACAGTTCCTATCGAGCAGTTCTGTCGAACGTGATGAAGAAGAGAAATTTGAAGTGAATTCGAATTCTTTTCTAAAGAAAACTTGAAAAGAATGATGTTTTTGAGATTTCAAAAAAAGGAGAAATGAAAAAGAGACTAAAACTTTTCGACCAGATTACTCTAAACTCTCTCTTTCTTTATTGAAAATGAATTTTGGAATGATTCGAAATTTGAAAACATTTGATTACCAATCAAGAATGCTTGACAGCTTTACTACTACAATATTCTACTCTTATTCTAAAACATTGCCTTTCATAAAACCTGCCTTCTTTCCACTAAAACTACCATAATCTTGTCTGTATTTTAGTCGAATAAATTCACTTTTTATCTGACTCTGTGAAGGATCACAAAAGATATCAAAAAATACAAAAAGTAAATAGATTTGATAAAAAAAGAGACAGAATTACGGTAGTTTTAGAGGAAAGGAGACACGTTTGAAGTTAAACGTTCTCTTGCGGAATTTTCTTTAAATTCATTTCCAACTGTGACTAATAAAGGCTCCATATTGACGGGGTTCTTTTACAATTCTCCTAACGGCTTTTCCCTCAAAGTCATCCCCGGTTTGTCATCCAAGTGATACCATAAAACAAATGATTTTGAAGAATCAAAGATTTCATTTCAACTCTCAAACTTTCCTTGCCTCATCCCCATTTCTAACGGCTTTCCCCTCAAAGTCATCGCCGGTTTGTCATCCAAGTGATACCATAAGCCAAATAATTTTGTATCAGTCAGATTGATTTGATTTCAATTCTTAAATTTCCCTTCTCAATTCCCATTTCAGTAATTTTCTTCGGTAACCCTTGAAGAAGGTGTGCCGCAATGAAATTCTCAGCCTTCGACAAAGTCTCGAGCTATTGCCCAATTGCCCAATTTGAATCGTATTTTTCTGATTTCACGCATCCCAACCAAATACATTCCTGATGCCAATTCTTGAATATTGGAAACTTCGAGGTGCTAAAGTTGGAAATTGCTCGAAATTGCCTTTGTAGCAACCTCCACTAGCAGCGTTGTTCCAAAAGCGATTCAAGGACAAGTACTAGCTGGACTGACACTCTAACTGTAACTGTCCAGATATTCGGCATTGAAACTTGAATCAGATTCCGTCAAGCCTTGCTTGTTGCCCACAATCCAAGAAATCGACGGGTCAGCTCAGAAATTCTAGCTAGATTGGGCTGTTCCTGGGGCTAAAGATCGATTTTGGCCTGGCTTTTCATGATCTTAGAAAAGGCATCTTTTCTGTCTTTTTTGGCTTTAACTTTAAGTTTCATCACTTTTGATTGCCTTGACTTTTGAGTTGATTTTTTTAAACTTACCAAACCATAATCCATAGCCTAAGCTGGTCAGCCATTGCATTATGAAAAAGCCATGACCGTAGCCTAGTCTCATAGATTTATTTCTCAACCAGGATTTAGGCTTAAAGTCTCCATCGGTTCACTGAAATGGATCAAATACGAAAAATGAACCATATGCTTTATCTTTTTAATCCCAGTGCCTTGTCCCGTGTCCTCGAGTGTTAGCAGAATCGCAAACTGCAAATTTGCTAACCCATCTGTGCCATTTTACCATTGTGGCACACTGTTTAATACCGTGAAAACTTTTTAATCGAATTTTTCTAAGGAACTCGAAAGAGGCAAAAAGTGAATAAAAAAGAAGACAGAATTACGGTAGTTTTAGAGAAAAGGAGACACGTTTTAAGCTAAACTTTCTCTTGCGGAATTTTCTTTAAATTCATTTCCAACTCTGACTAACAAAGGCTCCACTTTGATGGGGTTCTTTTACAATTCTCATAACGGCTTTGCCGTCAAAGTCATTCCCGGTTTGTCATCCAGTGATATCATAAAGCAAATGATTTTGAAGAGACAAAGATTTGATTTCAATTCTCAAAATTTCCTTGCCCCATTCCCATTGCATTTACTGCAACGAAATTCCTTCTCATGCTTCGATAAGCTAAAAAAATTGCCCAATCGAACTGTATTTTCTTGGTTTAAACATTCCAAACAAAATGCATTCCCGTCAATTTTTGAATATTGTCAATTTGAGTATTGTACCGATATACCAATCATACTGGGGCTCGACTACCAGCAAGGTTGTTCTCCAACGGCACTGGCCAGCCAGGAACAGGCACTGGTTGAACTGGGAAGCATAGTATGGTCCACAATAGCTCCGGAACCTATTAAAAGGCAGGCCTAGATCTGGTTCTGGTTTCTATCTGGCTTTCGTCTAGCCTAGCTTAGGGCTCTTGATCTCGATCCGGAAATTCACTGGCCTGGCACTGGCCAGCCAAGAACAGGCACTGGCTGGACTGGAAAGCATAGTATGGTCCACAATAGATCCGGATTTCTATCTGGCTTTCTTCTAGCCTAGCTTACAGGCTCTTGATCTCGATCCGGAAAATCCCCATCATTAGTGCTCATAAATAAAGCCGAGCACTTCTATATTCACATCAACGCAACTAGTGGTTACACTTCCACTAAATTTGTCTCACCAAAATTTGCATTTTTTTCTATATCAACTCGGTTATAAATTCACACTTTTGTTAAAAAAAAACATGAAAACATTTGAGTAGACAACACCGCACAAAGAATAGGAAATCACCACTGCACTGCTGGGTATTCTTTGCTTGTCTACAAAAGTCACCACAATGCAAATGTGGTGTTGATGAGGATGAGGAATTTGGGGGGACGCTCAACCAGTAGAAGTGCTCACTGGGAAACTGTGCATGCATAGCCATGTTCGGCATTGATTCTTGATTCAGATCTTCTTCAGAATCTTCTTCTTCCTTGCCCAGAATCCAGCATTATTTCTAAGGCGAAAAGTACAGGCCAGTTTATAGGTAAGAGTACAAGCGAAACATCAATTTTGCTCTGGCTTCTTATGGTCTTGAAAAGTATTTTGGTCGAGGATTTGGTCTAGCTTTTGGCCTAGCTTTTTTGGCTTTAACTTTTCATGATTTTTGATGGGTTTAGCTTTTGAAGATCTGGTCAACTTTTTCAAATTTCCCAGGCTAAATGAGGCCAGCCCAGCCATGACTTTTGGAAGACCCTTGGCCCGTAAACCAGTCGCTTATCGCTTTCCAGATCCGAGTGAGCCGAGTGCGACGATGCGACATTTTTCGGTGTCGAATTGGGCCGATTCCGATAACTTTTGGAAGACCGTTGGCCCGTAAAGCAGTCCATGTCCAGCCCGATAGATGGTGAGGCTGGAGGAGTCGTTTAAAAACTAAAATGAAAATTAATGCTATCAGATTTGTTGATCCCGCCTTGCCTTGCCTTGTCTTGCCCGTCCCGTGTCCTCTCACGTTATCTCAAACTGGCAATTTGGATCTGCCCATTTTAACCATTCAGGCGAACTGGCTGATCGGTTTTGTTCGGAAAACTGATGCAATTTTTCTGTTTAACGTGCAAATTTTTCTCTGAAAATAATGATTGGGCTTCAAGCAGAAGGCTTTTGTTTTTTGTTCTCGATCTGGTCTCTCTTTCTCGATCTCGATCTCGATTTGGTTTAATATTGTATCTTAATATAAGCTTTCTATTTGAAATCAGTACCTCTTTTCGACTAATCCCTTTTTCCCTTTTTCTAAACGATCCTTAAAACCACCGTTAATCTATCGCTTCATAGAGATTGTACTGTAATTTGTACAGTAATCTCTATGAGCGTTCTATACAGTGCACTTCTAGTTTCTAGTTGACGGTACTGATTAGGGTTTATGCTTGGGGTCTAATTGTAGGCAAAAAGCCGACTTTTTGAAGGAAAAAAGACAGTTTTATGTGCTGATAACGTCCCGGTGAAGCCGGCTTTTCGTTTTCAGCTTTAAAAGAGCAGCACCCTACCCCAGTCCCTCAAATTAGCTAAAACATTTCACTTTTGATTCCTATTTTCATGGTTTTTTAGAGAAAAATTGTAAATCAAAACTCTTTGTCTTTCAATTTCTCCTCAATTTTTATAAAGTTCCTAGCAAATTTTCATTTTTTTGGCCACTCGAAAGCATGCTTTACAACTTTTTAAAGCTACTGAAGTTCGAATTTTCTTTGTTTTCCATTCAACTATGAAAAATCAAAGGCTTCGAGATAAAAGGTGCTATTTTATTTGTTACTCACCGGGTGCTACTAGTTCATTCGCTACAATTCACTAAAATTAAAAATCAAAATGTTTCTCGGAAAATGCTTGCCAGTGATGGTACGAGTTTGGTGATTTTCCCAGAACTGTTACTCGAAGAGCAGCACCAGTTTGGTATTCCCTGGGTTAGGATAAAGCTCTGAAATAGGTCCAAAGAGTGCTACGGCATTAGTTTTTCGAGGTGCTATTTTATTTGCTACTCACCGGGTGCAACCAGTTCATTCACTAAAATTTCTTGAAAAGTTCAATTTTCTCATGCTTTACAACTTTCTAAAGCTACTCAAGTTCGAATTTCCTTTCTTTTTCCATTCAACTTTGAAAAATCAAAAGCAAAGTGCTGATGTGGTGAGTGCTTTTTGGAAATAGGTGAAATTTCGAGCTCGATTTGTTGTTGCCAACTTTGTTATCGTTTTGCTTGATCTTTGCACATCACTTATTGCTTGATTTGTGAAATTTCGAGTCAACAAAGATGAAATTCGATTTGCTTCAAAACTTGTTCAAGTTCTTTGTGCTTTTAGAAACTTATTTATCTTAGAAAGTCAGTTAGTAAAAGTGCAAAAAAAAAACAGAAAAAAGCGATGAGTTAGAAAAAGAATGAATGCTGCTAAAAGAAAGAAAAAAACTAAAAAAAAAAACATGCGAATATTTAGGGTGTAAGTGCAGAAAATGGATCATATTTTCCTAGTTCAGTGAACATCAAAATTATGTTGTTATTCCTTGAAAATCAAGATATTTAGCTATCCAAATCTAACAAATCGTTACTCTACCAGAACGTAGCTGTACCAGAACGTAGCTGTACCAGAACGTAGCTGTACCAGAACGTAGCTGTACCAGAACGAAGAAAATATGATCCTTTAGAAAGTAGAGTTAAAAAGAAACGAATATGCTGGTGGGGCGTTACCTCGATTTGCTGACACATTTCTTTCTCTTCTCAAGCGAGTTCGGGAAAAATGACATTGAAGTCATCATTGGAATAGGCCCAATCGAATACTGAAAGTTGATTCTCATCATTCATCATCATCATCTTTTTGTCATTCTTTCAACAACTTACCGTCCGCAAAAGCTTGCCCGGCTGAACCAGATTGTGGCTAAAAACTTGCTTTAGACTTAAAAATAGACTTTTAAGTTTTACTTGATTGTTCTTGAGGAAAGTGATGTTGAAATCATCGTTGAAATCACTTTTGAAACAGCCCTCCGTTGCGCCATTGAATGCTGAAACTTAAGGAAATCTGACCAAAAAGAAAACCTAATTTTTAAACACTGGTTGCCTTTGGTCTAATCCTGGTTCTGCCTTATTCTAGCTTCAAGTTTTAGCAATGAACCTGACTTTGAACCTGACTTTGATCCGACTCTGATCCAGAACTACCTCTGTCCTTTGCTCTGGGCTACACTGAACTGCCTCTTTACCTTAAGGACCTTAAGGGCCTTAAGGGCCTTAAGCACGCTTTGATCTTTGCTTTGTGATCAGCTCTTTTTTATTCTCTCAACAACTTACCGTATCCCCAGGCTTGCCCGGCATAATCTTGCTGTACCGAACCAAGTTGTGACTAAAATCTCTTTATTCTCAAAATTTCGACTTTTAAGCTCTACCTGAGCGTTTCCAATCAAATACACGAGCTGTTGTTGAGTCTAAATTGTTCATAATACATATGCACTAAGATTTTCTCAATACCTCCTCGTTTTCATCGATTTTCATAGCTTTGTTCTCATCATTTTCTTGTGTTTCCTTCTAAAAAGAGTTTGCTTGGACAATGTCAAAAATTGTTATATTTCTATGCCACTTTTGAGTCAAAATTCAAATACTCTATTTACTCTAATAGAGATTACAACTAATAAAATGTATTAATTGCATTAATTTCCTCATTTTCTTCATTTTTCTACATTTTTCCTCCATTTCTTTCAATGATCTTGAAAAGTTTTTGAAAAATAAAAGAGAAGAAACTTCTACAGGGTGACCAGAAATAACGTTGCGGCCTAATTTAGCCAATTTTTTTGAAAATCCAAAAAGATTTTGTAACAGAAACAATTTTTTATTAACAACATGTTATAAAGAGAGCATAAAATCTACTTTTCTTCAAAGTGGCCACATTTGGCTCCGATGCAGAGCCTCAAACGCTTGATGAAGTTTTCGGCGATGAGCCGCAGCTCGGCCGGAGTGATTCGATCCCATTCCCTGGTCAACGATCGCTTAAGAGCCTCCAAACATTTGTGGGATTTTGCTCAAGCCCTTGCCTCCAAAATTGACCAAACACTGTAGTCCAACGGATTGAGATCGCACGAATATGGAGGCCATTCCTGGGCCGAGATGAAATCCGGAAAGTTTGTCCTACACCAGTCCTGTATGGATTTGACTCGATGAGAAGGAGCGGAGTCTTGTTGGAAGGTCCAAAATCCGTTACCAAAATGCTGTTGAGCCCATGGAAGCAAAACATCCTCAAGAATCTTTTTTGGTACACATCCTTATTGATTTTTACCACAGAATCGATGAAAATGGGAGGAGTTTTGCCGGTTGCGCAGATTCCGGCCCATACCATGAGCGATTTGGGATTTTGTCGGCGCTGAACAATCGCAGAGCTGCCTGGAGAGGATGTTGACCAAATCCGATCGTTTTGGTGGTTGTAGCTTTGCTCCACCGAGAAGAGCTTCTCGTCAGAAAAAAGGATTTGCTCCCAGTGTGGAGTTGCGGCCCGCTTGAGAAGTTCTCGACATCTTTCGAGTCGAACTCGTTTGTTGTCGTCGTCGAGTTGTTGCCCTTGCTTGAGCCTGTAAGGGTGAAGATTGAGCTCATTTTTGGCCATAAGTCGAACCGATTCGCGAGCGGTCCCCGTCTGTCGAGCGATCTTTCTCATTGAGACCTGTGGATTCCGGGCCACGCGCTTCTGAATCACTTTGCGATTTCTGGAGGTGTTGACTGTTCTTTTTCTGCCTCTTCCTGGACGATTTCCATCGTTGCCAAGCTCCTTGTATCGCTTTTGAGACGAGCTGATGAGAAACACGTAGCAATCGCGCGATTGCACTCACGCATTGACCTTGACGATGAAGCTCCAGAATGGCAGATCCCTTTGGTTGTCATCCTATAAAAAAATGAATAGACTTGAAACAAAGTAAAAAAACAAAGAAACTAATAAAAACAATCACAGAGAATAGGTTAAAAATAAATTTGTCTCCCAAAATTGAAACTTTGAGAATTTTAGGCTGCCGAAAATCCCGCAGCGTTATTTCTGGTCACCCTGTAATAGAAAGAAAAGAAAACTAACTAAAACTAAAGAAACTTTAGAAGCGGGATTGTAAACAAGAAGAACATGTCGTTCTATTAGAGTAAATCCTTTTATTGGACCTTTTCCTTCTTGCCATCACCATCATTCATAGCTTCATCATTTCCCTCATCCTCTTGTGCTTTTGCCTAAAGAAAGGGTTTGTCTAGATAATCAAATCCAATACCTTTCCATCATGATCGACTTTCGCAGTTCGATTCTCATCCATTTCCTTCAATTCTTCCTAAAATCGATTTATTTGGGTAAAGAAATCATTTCTGACATTTCTGACATTTCTGACAATCTTACCTTCACCGCTTTGTCATCTCCATTCGTGCCAGGTCCAACATAATGTTGCATTTGATTCTGAAAAGGATTCTTTTGTGTTTGTAAGTTGTAATCAGCATTGTAAATTACTTTTATCTTAACAATAATCTTTTCTTTTCTTTTCATTTACCTCTCCGTTATCATCGATCTTCATAGCTTCATTCTCAACATGTTCTTTAACATCTTCTTCAACATCTTCATTCACAGCAACTTCAACATCTTCTTCAACATCTTCTTGCACTTTCTTTAGAAAAAGTTTTATTGTATTATGTTTGCAATCAATTCTGCTAAGTTTTCATGTTCTATCTCAAGCTTTTCTTAACGTATCTTCAAAAGTTTACATTTGAAAATGTTTTGATTAATTCCTTAGCTCCTTTGTTTACAAAATTTGAGTCTTATACCGTATTTTCTCTAATAGTCGTGCACCCAGAGCTTCTCCTAAATTCCTCGAAATCTCGAGAACCACTTATCAGAACCTATTGATGTGGGGTCGGAAAATGTAGCTGACGATGAGATCTTGTGGGGGATTTGAGTGTTGAGCTTCTGCAAAAGCTTGGAAACCGTAAAATAGTCATCAACTCGGCTCGCCCGGGGTGCACTACTATTAGAGAGAATGCGGTAATTAGAATTGTGGGTTTAAAAAGGTGTACCTTCATCACCTCATCGATTTCATTCACTGCAATAACCTCTTGAACTTGCTAAAAATGGCTTGTTGGATAAAGTTGAATCGTATTTTGATATTGAAAACCTGTTCTTCATGAAGGCTTGACTCATTAGGCTGCTGCATCATAGCCTGACCTTTCTCTTCACCGTCTTGTTGAGGCTAGAGTTTGTGAAGTAAGAAAGAAACTCAAAAAATTTTTGTTTTAAAAGAAGCCTTGCTGAGGTTAAAAGTTTTGATTATAAGAGAAAATCTTGAAAATTTTCTGGTTAAAATAAATATTAAGAGTTAATTTCTAAGAGTGAGTTTATCACTTTTCATGTATCTTTTCTGTTTTATACTCCTGAGCACTGATAAAGGACACTCCGAACGTAAATTTTGATGACTTTAAGAATTTAAGCTTTTTGTAAAGAGAGTGAAGAGTGAAGAGAGTAAAGAGTCAAATTTCAAAACATTCTCCAAAAAGACTCACCATTTTTATTGATTCTAGCTGAACTGATTCAAAAAGTTCGCGAATACCTTCTAAACAAATATTATTAAATATTAAATAGTTGAAATACTGAAAAAATCATAAAATAAATAGAGAACTAAACGTTTAAAAAGAAAAATCAAAAGAAAGTTGACAAGAAAATTGCTCAAGAAAAAACCCTCCTTTTACAGAGGAAAAGCTGAATCAATCCAATCAATAGTTCTATCTATTCTTTCTATTCTTTCTTTTTAAATAAGCTAACAATATTAGCTAATAGAAGCTTTCATCTTTTTTTGAAAGACCTGGATTTTAGCTTGGAGAACACTTGGATCAATATGGAGAAGACTTTGAATAAATTGAACTTTTCAAGAAATTGTAATGAATGAACTGGTGGAGTAATGTGTAAACGTAAGGTTGAATTAACACCTTTTATGCCTAATTAACACCTCGAAAAAACTAATGCCGTAGCCAGTCTACCACCCAGTCACGTCCGAATTCGATCACAATCTAACCGCAAGAGCTTTATACTAACCCAGGGGCTACGAAACTGGTGCTGCTCTTGGGGTAACAGTTCTGGGAAAATCACCAAACGCGTACCATCACTGGCAACATTTTGCCATCACTGGCAAGCATTTTCCGAGAAACATTTTGGTTTTTAATTTTAGTGAATTGTAGCGAATGAACTAGTAGCACCCGGTGAGTAACACATAAAATAACACCTTTTATCCTTTCTAAAATAACATCTTTAACCTCGAAACATTTGATTTTTCATAGTTGAATGGAAAAAAGAAAGGAAATTCGAATTTGAGTAGCTTTAGAAAGTTGTACAGCATATTTTCGAGTGGCCAAAAAGGTGAAAGTTTGCTAGGAACTTCATAAAAATTGAGCATAAATTGAAAGAAAAAGAGTTTTGATTTACAATTTTTATCTAAGAAAACGTGAAAATAGGAATCAAAAGTGAAATGTTTTAGTTAATTTAAGGCACTGGGGTAGGGTGCTGTCCTTTTAAATCTGAAAACGAAAAGCTTTGAGCCGGCTTCACCGTCACGTTATCAGCAATAAAACTGCCTCTTTTCATTCAAAAAGTCGGCTTTTTGCCTACAATTAGAAACTAAGCTCAGCTTTTCCTCTGGGATTTTTCTTGAGCAATTTTCTTGTCAACTTTCTTTTGATTTTTCTTTTTTAAACGTTTAGTTTTCTATTTATTTTATGATTTTTCAGTATTTCAACTATTTAATATTTAATAATATTTGTTTAGAAGGTATTCGCGAACTTTTTGAATCAGCTGAGCCACTCAGAAAAAATTAAAATGGTGAGTTTTTCTTTTCGAGAATGTTTGAAAATTTGGCAAAGCACTCATCATTCTACGAATTGCAGAACACTGCGGCAGAGCACTCATAATTCTTATCTTCTCTTAAAGTCATCAAAAAAGTCATCAAAAAAGCAGAGCACTCATAATTCTTATCTTCTCTTAAAGTCATCAAAAAAGCTAAAGAATTAAGCCCCTTATCTAGTCACATCTCGTTTTCTGAGGGGTATAAAACAGAAACGATACATGAAAAGCGATCAACTCTTAGAAATTCACTCTTAATATTTATTTTAATCAGAAAAGTTTAAAGATTTTCTCTTATAATCAAAACTTAGCCTCAGCAAGACTTCTTTTAAATCAAAGAGTTTTTGAGATTCTTTCTTATGACCCAAATTCTAGCCTAAACAAGACGGTGAAGAGAGAGAGCAGGCTGGAATGCAGCAGCCTAATGAGCCAAGCCTTCAAGAAGAGCAGGTTTTCAATATCAAAATACGATTCAACTTCGTCCAACAAGCCATTTTTAGCCAGTTCAAGAGGTTATTGCAGCTATTGGAGTGAATGAAAGCGATGAGGTGGTGAAGGTACACCTTTTTAAACCCATAATTCTAATTACCGCATTTTCTCTAATAGTAGTGCACGCCGGCGAGTCGAGTTGGTAACTATTTTACGGTTTCCAAGCTTTTGCAGAGGCTCAACCCTCAAATCCCCCACTAGATCTCATCGTCAGCTACATTTTCCGACCCCACATCGATAGGTTCTGATAAGCGGTTCTCGAGATTTCGAGGAATTTAGGCAAAGCTTTGGATGCACGACTATTAGGGAAAAGACGGTACTCATCGTTTTTCAAGTTTCAAACGAATCCTCTTCCAAATGTACGTGAGGTTCTCAGCTGTGGTTGTCTGATTGCTCATGTTGTCTCATTGAAGGGAAATGAAAAACCAAAATGAGCTCAGGGTGCACACGATTATTAGAGAAAATACGGTGTAAGACTCAAATTTTGTAAACAAAGGAGATAAGGAATTAATAAAAAAGTTTTCAAATTATGAACTTTTGAAGATATGGCAAGAAAAGCTTGAGATAGGACATGAAAACTTAGCAGAATTGATTGCAAAAATAATACAATAAAACTTTTTCTAAAGAAAGTGCAAGAAGATGTTGAAGAAGATGTTGAGGAACATCCTATGAATGAAGCTATGAAGTTCAAGAGGTTATTGCAGTGAATGAAATCGATGAGGTGATGAAGGTACACCTTTTTAAACCCACAATTCTAATTACCGCATTCTCTCTAATAGTAGTGCACCCCGGGCGAGCCGAGTTGATGACTATTTTACGGTTTCCAAGCTTTTGCAGAAGCTCAACACTCAAATCCCCCACAAGATCTCATCGTCAGCTACATTTTCCGACCCCACATCAATAGGTTCTGATAAGTGGTTCTCGAGATTTCGAGGAATTTAGGAGAAGCTCTGGGTGCACGACTATTAGAGAAAATACGGTATAAGACTCAAATTTTGTAAACAAAGGAGCTAAGGAATTAATCAAAACATTTTCAAATGTAAACTTTTGAAGATACGTTAAGAAAAGCTTGAGATAGAACATGAAAACTTAGCAGAATTGATTGCAAACATAATACAATAAAACTTTTTCTAAAGAAAGTGCAAGAAGATGTTGAAGAAGATGTTGAGGAACATCCTATGAATGAAGCTATGAAGATCGATAATGACGGAAAATTGAATGAAAAGAAAAGAAAAGATTATTGTTAAGATAAAAGTAATGCTGATATTTACAATGCTGATAATTACACAAAAGAATTTCAGAGAATAAAGAGATTTTAGTCACAACTTTGTTCGGTACAGCAAGACTATGACGGACAAGCTTCGAGACACGGTAAATTGTTGAAAGAATAAAAAAGAGAGTGCTGATGACAAAGCAGAGAGCAAAGCATGCTTAAGACCCTTAAGGCCCTTAAGCACGCTTTGCTCTTTGCCCTTAAGGTCCTTTAGGCAAAGAGGCACTTCGGTGTGGCCCAGAGCAAAGGTCAGAGATAGTTCTGGATCAGAGTCGGATCCAGAACTATCTCTAAGTCAGGTTCATTGTTAGAACTTGAAGCTAGAACAGGGCAGAACCAGAATTAGACCAAAGTCAACCAGTGTTTGAAAATTAGGTTTTTTTTGGCTTAGGCTTAGGTTTGTTACATTTCCTTAAGTTTCAGCACACAATGGTGCAACGGAAGGCTGTTTCAACAATCATGTTTTCAACTATCATGTTTTCCTATTTGCTCTTTACATTTGTTTTATTAATTTTTTAAAATTTCAGAAATGCATCTTGCAGCCAAGGATTCCAAACGTGTCAATGCAGTTATTTCCTAACTTTTCTTGTTAATGAAGAGAAATTTTGGGAAAAACTTTTGAAGATGTTATGTGAAAGAATTTTTCGTAAGTTTTTTCATCTTTTGAAAGTCTTTTGAGACTTCTAAATGCTTTAAAAAAGACTTTTGAGGCTTCTAAAATGTGTCCCCTTTTCCCCAAAAACTACCAGAATCTTGTCTCGATTTTCATTCAATCTATTTGACTTTTTGACTCTGATTCTTTGAAGTTTCACAAAGAAAATAAAGACAAGATTACGGTAGTTTTATGAAAAAGGGGAAACATTTTGGAAAACTCAGTAAATAAGATGGGAACAGTTAGAAGTTAGATTCGAGTTAGAAGTAGATGATGAAATGATTAGGTTGAAGAAAAGATACAAAAAAAGAAAATTAAACTAAAAAAACTTTTCAAATAAATTCATTGGCTTTCATTCTTTTCTTGTTACCTAAAACTGAGATTATAGAATGAAATATAAAAATGAAATGAAATTGAAATGCGACGCAATAAGTATTTATGCTATTTGTAAACAGAGTAGCTTGTAAGCTTGTAAAAAAATCTCAAAATTGGCAGCTTGCGATAACTTGTGAAAGGAGCGGGCAAGGCAATCGGCGGGATCAACAAATCGTCGCTGATAACGCGTAACAGAAATAATGACTACTGACAAAACTACTGACAAAACTACTGACAAAACTATCAGTGATAATGAAGTTAGCAAATCACAAAATGTGAACTAAATTTCGAAAGGATTTCAGCTCTAAACATTTTTTTTACTTTGCAAAGTTTACTGGCAAAGTTTACTGGCAAAGTTTACACTACAAAAATCATATTTAAAGAAGAAATGGAGGCGGCGTTCTGAAATTTCTGCACAAAAGAAAGATTTTCCTTTTTCACTTTTCATTTTAAACCTTATCTATGAATTAGCATCTCATTCGATGAAATCATCTAAGATGCGCGAAAATCAAATCAAATCAACTTTCTATAGACAATGATTGGTCAGAAAAGGTACAGAAATTCTAGGGAAAACTTCTAGGAAAACCAAAACTCTTTAGATTCTCTAGAGATTGACATGGCCACTTTACAAGTTAATCGTTTCTACGATTCTACCCCAATTACCTAGCTGAAAATCCTGTTTACCCTAACATCAAAAATGTTTATAACAACATCAAAACGTAACATGTTTACCGTACTTAAAGCTACACAAGTCGAGGGTTTGGGCATTATCGAGTTTGGAGAATGAGAAATTGAGAAATTAAAAAAAAAAAAACTCAACAAATAGCCCGTTTTGGATTTTAAATAGAATTCGCATTTGAAACGCCAAAATTTGAAACGCCAAAAGGGGAAATGCCAAAATCCGCAGCTGTAGAAATACTTAGCGTCATTGCTCTTGTGAAGACTTTTTTTTTTGCTTTATCAGGAATGAAAAGATAAAACCGAATGCAGGAAAGCCCGTAAAAATATTAGGCCTTTTCAAACATGATAAACCCCAATAAAGGAAAGCAGAAATGCATGAAGAAAGAAGAAAAAAACTGGCTTTGCCGTAAAAATATGTACCGAAACCAAAAAAAGGCAAATAAAGCGAATAGGTGATTTTTATTAGATAAAAATATAGGAAGCTTATCACCGTTTCTTTACGGTGACCCTGATGGAATTTCATGGTAAGCATCTAAACTCTGATAAAAACAAGAAAAACAAAAAAAAAGATAAACACAGCCTCTCTCTTTCCCATTATCAATCCCCTCTTTGAATCACTTCTTGGCTTTCCCCTTGTTTGTTGCTCTCTTGCTCTCTTGCTCCGGAATTCTTGGCGCCGACTTGGACTGTTCTTTTGCGAATCATGAGCGAATTTCATAATGACATAAGATTGAACGATTTACTAACAAGGGAATGACAAAAGCTCGAAGTTTAAAAAGTAGCTTCAGTAGAAAGTTTAGTGTTTACAAAAAGATAAACTGTAGTCTTATTCTAGAAAAGTGCCTTCCTAAAGCTAGCTAGGTACATTTTTTTCACAAAGATCTCCGAGGAGAGTCTGCAATTTGTAAATATTCGTAAAAATACGTATTCGAATCAATGAATAAGCCAAAAAGATAAATAAATCCGGGGAATTGGCAATATTTATTAAACAAAGAAACAAAGTTTACTGCATTTTCTTCACTGAAAACTATTCTCTCATATTTTTCTGCTCTTACAAGCGAATGACACAAGCTCGAAGTTCAGAATCGCTTCACGACCGAGTGCATTTTATAGAATCGGTCAGGATGATTCTGAATCGGTAAAAATTAGCTGCAAACACCCAAGCAATCGCGAGAAATCTGGCATAGAAAATTCGAGCAAATTTCGGACACTTTCGGAACCAAAGATTCTGTTAGAACACCGTCAGAAGTTGTAAAATGATGCATAAAACATAAATATTTAATGCAAAGATATCAGTAAATTGAATTTTCCGAAAAAGTAAAAGTAATTGGCGATGGCGGATTTGAACCCAAGTCAAAAGAAAGTTCAAAGGTTTTGCAAGCCAGCACACTATCCACTAGGCCACGGAAACCATCTGGCGGTCACCCTGTGGCGGCCCCATAAAGAGTCCGAAATTTGTTCGAATTTTCTATGCCAAATTCGAACGGCTTGCGTCAAGGCACTGGGTGACGGTAATGGAAAGCCGACGAATGAAACAAACAAATGGTATTTCCCTGAAACCCCCTTGCCCATTCACTGTCGCCATCAAGAATCCCCGCCCACTTTTTTCTCTTTTCCCTTCTTTCATCGATCGACAAATCGACACGCCCTTTGACCAAATGAAATACAAAAACGTTGATTGAAAAGATTTTTTCAGAAAGTCAACACAACACATTTAAATTTATAGAATTCGGGCTTGAAAATAGGCACAATCCAATCACTAACCTACCTAGATCAAAAATAGAATGTAAGGTTTTATTATTAAGGTTTTATTATTATTCTTTTATTAAATCATTTCTTACAAATAGATTAATCTAGAGAATTTTAGAGCAAGAAACGAAGTTAAAATCTTATTATAACTCTAATCTAAGAATTTGATCAACAGTGGGATTATTGAAAAGTTCAAATTGTAGTTAAAGATGAAGAAAAGAAGTGCACTGCTAAGGGAATCTCAAAATTTTGCAGGAGGGCATCACCGAGAGTCAAGACAGGGAAAAGAACACGGAAAAGCTAGATTCATAGTGTAATCGATAGGCCTTTTCTCGTCAGTGAAGAGCTGAAGGCTTGCTCGAAATCAGAAATATAAGGTGAGCAGTGGAGTGGAGTGAGATAGGCCTGAAGGCTTGCTCGGAATCAGAAATATAAGGTGGGGTGGAGTGGAGCGAGAGAACTGTCAACTTCATAGAAGATTTTCTTGCGCAAGAAATTCCATCCGCAAGATCTTAAGGGTAACTTGAGAATGAGTAACTTGACATTTTAGAAAACACTAAAGAATAAGGAGAATACTTGACATATTATGCAACAGATATTATGCAATAGATATTTACAGGCGCCTCTTCGTCTCGAGCTTGATGATATGATGTCGAGCGCCCGATATGATGCTTGACTACTGCAGATTATCATGATGTTATCATGATGTTATCATGATGTTATCATGATGTTAACAACAAGTGAGTCTTTTATATATTCTTTTGTTTTTAAAAGCATTTTCTTCAACACTTGTCTTCTTTTCTTGTAACTTATAAGATTCAAAGTTCGCGTTTTCGTGGAAATGACTGTCAAAGAAAAACGCTTCAAAGAAAAACGAAGACTATGCCAGAAAAAGTGCGTTTCCAAATCCCCAAAAGCATTGACTAAACTTGTCTTTGTGCTATCAAAAATTTCATTATAACGATTCGCTATCACTTCAATTGTATACTTGCAAATCCCAATCTGTAAACCTTCAGACTTTCCTTTAATTCTCTCGTTCGCTCATTCGCTGTCATTTTGGCGCTATTCCCCTTTTCTAAACCGATGCCTAACCGTGAAGGCTTTTTTCGAGGGCAGAGTGGAATCACTGGGAAAAATTGTGCTGCGTTGCGGCTGTGACGTCACTGATTGTGACTCACACCTCATCACCGTCTCCTAGAATGTGCTTCTCTCTTTTTTGGAAGGCGGAGTCCATTCCACTGGAGGGCAGAGTCCATTCCACTGAAAGGCAGAGTCCCTTCCACTCCATTCCACGCGTTGCGGCTGTGACGTCACTGATTGTGACTCTCACCGTCCATCTGACTCTCCGTCCATGTGCTCCAATGTTTCCTAAAAAGTGTCCCATTTTTTCTCCAAAAACTATCGTAATTTTGTCTCGATTTTTATCCAATCTTTTTACTCTAATTCTGTGCCGATTCACAAAAGACTTCGAAAGATATAAAAAGAAAATTGATTGGATAAAATAGAGAAAAGATTATGGTAGTTTTGAGAGAAAAGGAATAGGGAAACGTTTATGAAAGCACTTTGTAAAGGGTTATTTATGAATGTTGAACATCTAGAAACGGTTGACTGAAAACGCAAAAACGCTCAAAGGGGAAAATTTGAAGGATTTTTATCCTACAATTGGAGATGATTCACTACAATTGGAGATGGAGTAAATCTGTGCTTTTAAATGCGCCACCTTTTGAGCATGAGCCACTTCTTTTCACTTCACTTCTTCTTCAATTCTTCTTCAATTCTTCTTCAAGTCTCCTTCAGCGCTTCTTTTCTCGAAATTTAAATGATTCTGTCTTCACCGAATCAATCAATCCACCAGACGAGGAACAACGAGGAAACTCCGGTAGAAATCCCGATAGAATCCCTGTAGAAATCCCTGTAGAAATCCCGATAGAAGCCCCGATAGAAATCCTTGTAGAAATCAACGGGCAGATCTTCCTAAACTGTGCACTAAGGTGCCGAAGAGCCCCCCCTTTTCCCTTCTTTTTCCCTCTTTTCCCGTCTTTTCCCCTCTTTTCCCGTTTTCGAAGAGCCCCGTCTGGACTCTTAAACCATTTTGTTGGAATCGATAATCTCTTTTGTTTTTGTATTGTCATTGTCAAATGAGATTGTCACTTTTTTTTACTTCTAAACCTATTTTTACAAGCTAGAGTTGATTCTATATACAGTACTGGACAATGAAATATCATATTTGAAAAACAATCGTCACTTTTGCGCTTCTGTAACTCCGTTGTCTTTGAGTTTAAACTATTAGTGTTATACATTTTCTGAAAGCTCTTTTCAAGGGCTACACAATGGTAATATTAATATTTAGAAATACGGTAAAGACAAGGGAGTTATAGACGCGCGAAAGTGACAATCTTTTTTCAAATATCATATTTCATTGTCCAGTAGTGTAGATCATAGTAAGCCGTATTTAGACTATGCAATCTAAAGCTCACGGATAAAATAGTTCTTGCCCTGAAGCACTTTGTTCTGACAATTTGTGGGAATCGTAGAAGTGTACTGTTTTCTTTGAGCAGCTCCCCTATCCCACTTCATTATTCTGTTATATCGAATATCTATTAGGCTTTACCCCTTTCTCTGATCAGGATTGCTTTGAAAGATCGGTTAAAGATAACCCAGTGGGGTAGAGAAACGGACGAATAAAGAGGGGCATGCGCAAAACTGAGAGGCCAAGTCTACTTTTTAGACGTTCACTTTTTAACACCTCTAGCTTTGGATTGAGTTCAGCTATTTTTTTAGACAAAAACCTCTTATCTACTTTTGCCTAATGCTCAAAATTTTTTGCTTTCTTGGGGAAATTGCTTGAAATTTTGCTCTTCATTTTCTTGTAATGCTCCTTTGGTTTGCTTCATGAAATTGATATCTTTATTGATTGATTGAACTTTATGAGATTGATTCATAACTGCTTTCAGTTTAATCTTTAAACCGAAAGTATCAAAATAGCATTTTAATAGACGACATCGACGACGAGTCGACTCAAAATTTCGTGCGAAAGTGCGTTAGCTAGCTTAATCATTAGAGAAAATTCGTAAATCTGATCTACTGGGGAAAAGTTTCGAATAAGTTGCGAATAAATTCTAATAGAAGAAACGGCTCTACATCCCACGCGAAAGCTGGCTTAATCATCGCAAAAAATCGACACGATCTTGAAATCAATCAATCAAAATCAAATCAAAATCAATCTTACAGATTTTTCTGATTAGAAACTAATAATACTAATGTTATTATGGGATTTAGAATGTTTACGGTTTGTAAAAGAATTTGCAACGATTAGGGAGTTAACGCGAATTTCAGCATTGACATAATGTATTGACGGTTCGAATTTTTGCGAATTTGACGAATTTTTGATTCAAACATCTAAATGAGATCGATAACGGCTTTCTTTTTGTGGGCACCCCTATTCCCCTTTTTTTATTGATTAAATCGGGTGCCTGTGCCCCGGGGATTATGAAAGAGTGATGGGGGAGGAGCAAAAGCACTCAATGGGACAAAATGTGAGATTCAGACATTCAGATTCAGATTCAGACACATTTTTGTTTAGATTCAGATTCAGACACTAAATAAGATCGATACCGGCTTTCTTTTTGTGGGCATCCCTATTCCCCTTTTTTTCATTGACTATATCGGGTGCCTGTGCCTTTAGGATTTTTCCTTTTTTGATGATTTGTTCCTTTTCTCTCTGAATTTGGTTCCTTTTCTCAGCTATCGTAACCCTTTTCCAATGAATTTAGGATTTTTCCTTTTTTTGATGATTGGTCGGAGCTCGGGCGACTCATCAACGACGACCAATCATCAAAAGCTTCACTTGCGCGTAAATTACGCCCTTCTCGAGTTCATTGCCATTACAAATCCAGAATCAATTCTTAAAAGCTTTTGGATTTTTGAGAATAGCTTCACCATTTAAATTTCTTTTTTGTTTTTGCTTCACTTCTGCTACTTGTCGATACGATTGTTTTCCCAATCAACTCGCTTTCCGTAGACACTTTTACCAGCTCTAGCTTCTTAAATAGACAGCCTCAATGTACTTATTGTGCTAAAACGCTCGCTGATCGATCCACTTCTTTTTTGACTTGGACGGTGGACTTTCTGGACTTGGACTTCTTTCTTCACCCCTTTTCCCGCATTTTTCTGATATCTATCAACAGAAAGGACCCTTCTCGAGATTCTATTGAACCATCTCCCAGTTTATCCTTCAAACGGAAACTGTCGGAAAGTTTTCTAATAGAAGCACCGGTTCTACATCCCGCGCGAAAGCTGGCTTAATCATCGCAGAAAATCTTGAACATCGATCGACGCGACACGATCTTGAAATCCATTTTACAGAAAAAGAAAATAAAAAACAGAAAAACATCTAAATGAGATCGATAACGGCTTTCTTTTTTGGGTATCCCTATTCCCTTTTTTATTGATTAAATCGGCGCGCCTGTGCCCCGGGGTTTGAGGCCAATGTTTATGTCTGAGTGTTTCGGGTCCGCCTTCAGCTTTTTACAGATGAAAAAAGCCTTATCTATTGCGCTCCGAGTGCCCAGTGCGGTGGAGAAGGGAAGGGGAACGGGCAAATCGAAAACCACGTCTGAGAAAAACTCACATCTTTCACTTCTCTTGCCTCTCTTTCATAATTGCTCGTAGAAAGCTGCACATTGCAGACATTTGCCGCATATAAATTCATATTTTAAAAACATTTTTTCAGATGAGTTCTCACGCTAATTCTTACGCAAACAACGGATCGACTTTCGAGTTTAAAGTAAGTGGATTTTTTCTAAACTCTCTAATGAGCTACTTGAATGAATGCAGTGAGTTTGGCTGGTTTCCCTGGTCAGCTGATCTCTGCTCTTAGCCTAGCCTGATCTTGGTCTGGCGCTGGCCCTGGCTTCTTGACCCTTCCTTGCCTTGGGTCCTGGCCGGCCTAGCGGCCCTAGTTCTGGTCCTGGCTCTGGCCTTACCCTTAGCCTAGCTCTAATTTGGCCTGGCCGGTCCTGGCTTATGGCCTTCAGAACTAGCCCTGGGTTAGCCACTTTAAAACTATTATAATTTGAAACTTTCAGGCTTGATTAAGCTTGTCAAAGCCTTAAAGCCTGACTTTCACTCAAAAATCACCTAAACTTTATAACATATTTTTTCCAGGTTCAATTCGCGGCCATAGAGCAGGCCCCGATTGAGGCCCTAGATTTGATCAATTGGGTTCGTTTCTTGATGACTGAAAACCTAAAGCTCTGACGCTAATCTTAGAATTTCTCGCAATTAGTGCAAAATTTCCAGAATGAGCCAATGGATCATAGTGGATGGACAGACCATAACGGACAATTCTCCGAACCACAGGTACGTTCACAGTTCGCGTTTTCGTGGAAATAACGTAAAGTCAAAGAAAAACGAAGACTTTCACTCAAAAATCACCTAAACTTTATAACATATTTTTTCCAGGTTCAAGACACGCCAAGAGGGCAGGCTTTCGCTGAGGAAAGCAATCGATCGTCAGATCAAGAAACGATGGACCACAGCGGATTGGACCCATGGCCGTAGCAAGAGGCATCATCGACTCCAACGGTTCGTTTTTGGGAAAATGGAGAAAAAAAGAGGCGGATATTGTTACCTTAGAGAGTTTTCCAGATAGTTAGATTACCGTAGGCTATACAGTAAAGGGATACTGTAGAGGTTACTACAAGGGTTACTGTAGGGGATACAGTAAAGGTTACTGTAAAGGTTACTGCAAGGGTTACTGTAAAGGTTACTGTAAGGGTTACTGTAAGGGATATCCAAAAATTTGATTTACTTTAAGGGTTACTGTAAAGGGATACTGTGGGGGTTACTGTGGAGTTACTGTAGGGGATACCCGAATACCTATTTAGGTTACTCTAGGTTACTGTAGGTGTTGAGTATCTTTAGCTTAGATTGAAAGCTTTCCAAAAACTTTACCGCTGTTCTCGGAATTTTCCGCCAACAAACGAAGCATTTCGCTTTTCAGTCAGCTCAAATCTCGATCTCTTCAAGATTGCCGGAGATCCCCGTCCACTTCAAGACTTCAAGACCACTTCCCAACGAACTACCGGCAATCTTCCTTAAATAAATTTCATCTCCAGCTTAATCGGGTTTTATCGGCATTCTATTCCACTTCGTCTTTCTTTGTCCTTGTTGTAAAAAGAATTTTTTCTGTTATTGTTTTTAAAATAAAGATTACATCAAAGCAAAATCAGAAACCAAAGTGGATTTAAACTATTTAAAACTTTCATTGGAACTTTCATTTAAAACTTTCAGCGCCTTGGATTTAAACTATTCAAAACTTTCATACTTTTATAAAGCTTATTACTAATTACTAAACTTGTTTGCCTTATGAGTATTACCTATGACTGACTGTTATGACATGAAACATGAAGATGAAAGCTTACTGAGAGAAATTTCTACTTAGTATTTTTCAAAGGCAAAATCAGAGCATAAAAAGTTAGGTTTATAGAGAAATTTTGCAGAGAAATTCATTCAACCAATTTCCTTCCTAGAGGCTTTTTTATAGATTTTTACGAAAAGCCTTTGTTTTCACTCTTTGTTTTGCGCTGTAAGTGAACCGAAATTGGCTTTAAAAAAAGATGAGCAATTAAAAAAGAAACATTTTTATTTTTATTTAGATGAAACCAGACGAGCGGCCTGGACAGCACTAGAAAGCATCAAAGAAGCCACAAAGATACTCCAAGAATCACCAGAGGACTCGGGCACACCTCTTCGACAGCACCGTCCTCCCGGTACTCTGCTACGGGACAGAGACCTGGGCCACGACACAGACCACCGAACGAGCCCTGACAACGACGCATCGAGCCCTTAACAAGGAACCTCCTTGGGCACAATAGGAAGACGCTGCATAATAGGTCTCGACCGAGACCTAAGAAGTACGGATATGCGCCAGCTCTCGGGACTCAGAGATCCAGTGGAAGTGGTCGAGAGAAAAAGACTCAGATGGGCCGGCCACGTGGCCAGAAGAACAGACAACAGATGGACGATACGGATCACAGAGTGGCCACCACGAGACCAGAAGAGGCCCATCGGAAGACCAGCAACGAGGTGGAGTACAAGAGTGACAGCGACGGTCAGAGAAATGATGGCTAGCGTGCAACCACCACCAGCACAAGCAAGTCGAAAACTCCGAACCAGGAATAACCAAGATAGGAAACACTGGATGACAATAGCAAGGGATAGAGAAATGTGGAAGCCGGTTTTGATCTGCGCAAATAGGAACACCTAAGTGCGAAGACAGATAAAAAATGAAAAAAACCTTTTCCAACTCTCCATTCAAAGGCAGTAGATCATTATGCAGAGAACATCGATTTGAAATTTTCGTGTTTACAGGGCTTTCGAAGAAATTTGATAAATAAAAATTTTTTAGATACAAATGACAAGTGAAACGTTTAAAAATCACACGGAAAAATTCACAGAGAGACATGCTTAAGCTCCTACAGAAAAAAATGCTAACAAAATTTTAAAGCTTGACAAATTGACAATCGAATTATTTAAATGAATACAGTGAACAAGGATTACTATAGCTCAGTGGATAATAGTTTGAGTGATCTCTTTTCCGGCGAATTCCTCTAAACCCTCACCACAATAGCTCCGTGATGGAGAGATGAACACCTAGAAAATAAACGTTTTGCTGCTTTTATCTTTTTTTAAAACAAGAACCAGGATAAGTCTGACCTAGCTTTTGACTAGTACAACTCTAGTACAACTCAGAATAGTAAAGCCATCCTACAATCAGCGCCTGAACTTCTTATAAATCTAAGAAAAGCGATTAATACCCTTGCCATTCAAATAGTACTACTGACTGCTTAGTTTTCGAGGCAAAGCCAAGCCAAGACCCAGTTTTGCTCTGTTTTGCTCTGTTTTACCTGTTTCCCGTCGACACATTTCGCTCCGGCTTTCTCGAGCCAACTCCTCGATTGTGCAGCCAAATCTCGAATGCACGTCGAGAGACAATTCGATCCAACACTTTCCGCGTTTTTCAACGGTGAAAACTCGTCATTTCGAACCGCTTCCCAGGCGTAGAAGTTGCTAAATGAGAGAATTTTGACTTGAAAACTGACTGACTGAGTGAGCTCTTTTAGTCTGTAGAAAACTTACTGGCTCATTGGGAAAACGTCAAAGATGAACTGCTCTAATTTGATCCCATTTGGTTCGCTGGGTTTCTGGAGTTCGCCATGTTCGTCAACATATGCGATTTTCTTCAACGCGCGATGATACGGCAAATGGAAATCGGGAGTGCAGAAGCTGAAAAGCTTGGAGTTTTATCTGCTAGGTTCAAAACGTAGCTATGCTCTGAATCTTGTGAAAAATCTGAATCTTCCAAAGGCAGACTTTCAAGGGTTTGAGCAGATCTAAGCCTAGCTTCTGACCTAGCCTAGCCTTCAGATCTAACTTATAGATCTTCAGCTCCGGGCTATGGATCTCATTGGTTACCGTTGAGCCTAGGTTCTCTTCATTTTTGCCCACTTAACTACGCAGTAATGTTAAGCACGACTAAGGCAAGTCTAGCTACGGTAATAGCTCTAGTTTAGCCTTTATTTAAATGGTTTTAAAACAATCTAGCAATTCCTAACCTTTCCAAGAAATTCATAGTGAAGAAATGGATGGCAATGCTGCCCGCTCTGTACAAAAGTTTCCCATCAGGGCCGACTCTCGACTCGAGATTGCCCAACTCGGAATACTCAGTCACTCGAGCCTAAATAATGGTAAATAGAGTAAGCAAAAATTGGATTCCTGTTAAGAAGCATCGAATTTAACTATTTGCCTCAATTTCGAGCACATAAAACTATTTCTAAGCCAAACGGACACAGAAATTTCGCATGCAAACTTTTTCAAGTGCTAACTTTGTTTTTTACCTGGTGTTAAACATCTACGTGTCTCCCAAATTCCCCAGAAAATCTTTGTGCTTTTCTTTTCATTTCATCTCACCGATCTCTTTGCAACTTCAATTTGCATATACGAAATTATCCTGATCTCAAAATCTTTGTGTTACTGTAATGAGCAGTCTAAAAAAGCTCAAAACTATCGTACTTTGCCATCCTCGACCGTGATCGATCCCATCAATTCCCCAAGTATCTTCTCAAGCGTTTTCGCCGCACAATCGGCTTTCTAAAGTTCACTAAATTAAGCAAGAGTACGGTAAAATTCGAATGCTTTTCTAAAACGTTTTCCCTTTCTCGAAAATTATCGTAATTTTTATTTTTTTATCTTTTTATTTGTATTGGAACTGTATTGGAACCGTATTAGATCAAAATAGGAACCGTATGGGAACCGTATTGGAACCTTAAAAGGAACCGTATTGGAACCATATTGAAGCCGTATTGGAACCTTAAAAGGAACCGTATTGGAACCGTATTGGATCTGTATTGGAACCATATTAAAACCGTATTGGAACCGTAATGGAAACGTATTGGAACCGTAATCGAACCGTATTGGAACCGTATCCGAACCGTATTGGAACCGTATTGGAACCGTATTAGTTCAAAATAGGAACCGTATTGGAACCGTATTGGAACCGTATTCGATCAAAATAGGAACCGTATTGGAACCGTATGGGAACCGAATTAGATCAAAATAGGAACCGTATTCGATCAAAATAGGAACCGTATTGGAACCGAATCTATTCACTTCTAGGAAACGAAAATTTCATCAAAAATTCACTCACCTTTTCAATAACCATTCCTAACATAGCTGGATCACCGACTCGGCACAAAATGTTGTCAACGCAATACGTCTAGAAAAAGAAACAATAAAGCAACACTAAGATTTTAACAAAGAAATTTAACCAACGACAAGACAGCTTTTCATTTTTAGAGTTAAAACTAGCGTAGCACTTTTCCATTGTACTATCGTACTCGTTCACCGCAACTAGAGAACTAGAGCCTTTCTCTAGCCAGGGAAATTGCTTAGGATGATATGCCACAAAATTGGCAGCCAATTTATTTGCAAGCACCTGAACATATTTGACACCGCGTGCGCGGAGTTTCGGCAAATGATGAGCGAGCTCCGAGTAGATTCCCCCGTTTCCATTCGGCGCTGTGCAAATTTCACCTTTCTTCGACAATAGCAAATTTCCTTGAAAATCAAAAGCTGGGATGTTCGCTTGCGAGAAGATTGTCACCTGGAAAAGAACTTTGATCTTTAGCTATCATTTTGCTAATCTTGAAAACACTCACATCATCCATTGATAATCCATTCAGCGGTACGATTTTCTCCAAGTGTTCGATCGTGTCTTTGTGAGTGCCCGATGATGTCATTACACCTGGATTTCTATATAATTGTAGAATTTGATATCTCCACTCACCCCACTGGATTTTCCCTGAAGTTCCCGGGAAAGCTTTACGCGAAAGCTCTTGCAAGCGGTGAATCTTTGAGGCCTAAAGAAATAGGATTGTTTTTTTAAAAGCTTATAACGTACTTGTATAGCCAATAGACTATCACCATTTACAACAGGACGCCCGTCTTCACTGGGTAAACCCAATGGCAGTGTACCCTTTGGAATAAGTGAACCGAGACGAGAGGCTTGGCCTGGAAATAAATATTAGGTTGTCCGGAAATAAATGAGCGTTTTGTATTGCTTATTATTTGGGTACATTTTTCTCAATAAAGTATGCTCTGTACCTTGTAATTTTATATACCATTAGAAAGCTGATTTCGTGCTCTCTTTAACCATACTTTTAAATTTTGTTGAAAATAGAAATTTTGCGAAATTTTGCGAATTTTAAGCTTCGCTTTTTTAGATGTCCGAAACCAACTTTCGCCAGATTTTCTTTGATGAGTTCAAACTCGGTCGCAATGCAGCTGAAACGGCTCATAACATTAACAAATTTTGGGGCTAAGGTAGTGTCGACGAGTCAACAGTGCGAACTTGGTTTCGAAAATTCCGAGTTGGTGATTTTGATCTCGAAGATAAAGAAGGCCGTGGCCGTCCTGTTGAACTCGGTGACGACGAACTGAAGACCCTGGTGGAAGCAAATCTACGTACGACTATTCGAGAGCTTGCGGAGGAGCTTGGCGTGGGCAAGACGACCATTTCCGACCACTTGAAACGGATTGGAAAGTCAAAAAGGCTCGATAAATGGGTGCCGCACGAATTGAATGAAAATCAAAAAAATCGTCGTTTTAAGGTGTCGTCTGCTCTTCTTCAGCGCAACAAAAACGACCCATTTCTCGATCGGATCGTAACGTGCGACGAAAAGTGGATCCTCTACGACAACCGGCGACGTTTCGCTCAGTGGTTGGACGCCCGAGAGGCCCCACAACACTTTCCAAAGCCAAATTTGCACCAAAAGAAGGGTATGGTGACTGTTCGGTGGTCCGCAGCCGGTCTCATCCATCACAGCTTTCTGAATCCGAGCGAAACGATTACGGCGAAGAAGTACTGCCAACAAATCGACGAAATGCACCAGAAATTGCGGCGAATGTGCCCGGCATTCGTCAACAGAAAAGGTCCAATTCTTCTCCACGACAACGCTCGTCCGCACGTCGCACAATCGACCCTGCAAAAGCTGAACGAACTGAGCTACGAAACTTTGCCTCATCCGCCATATTCGCCGGACCTTTCGCCTACCGACTACCACTTTTTCAAGCACCTCGACAACTTTCTCCGGGAGAAATGCTTCAAAACTCAAGACGATGCCAAAAACGCCTTCGCCGACTTTATCGCCTCCAGAAGCTCGGACTTCTATGCTACCGACATAAATAAACTTGTTTCTCGTGGGCAAAAATGTGTTAATTGTAATGGTTCTTATTTCGATTAATAAAATTTTGTTTGGATCAAGTTATGGGATTTTAAATATTCGAGTTGAAAATGCTCATTTATTTCCGGACAACCTAATAGATAATTTTAATTATTTTTATAAAAAAAAAAAAAAAAAAAAAAAAAAAAAAAAAAAAAAAAAAAAAAAAAAAAAAGGAAGGAAAAAAAAAAAAAAAAAAAAAAAAAAAAAAAAAAAAAAAAAAAAAAAAAAAAAAAAAAAAAAAAATATATCTTGAAAATCTCAAGAAGAAATCAAATGGAGTAAATTTTGAATATCAAACCTCCAGATAGGACCAATACACACAGCTCATTGCGGGAAATTGCCTCAAGACCCAAGCGAAAATAGCTGAATTTTGGCAACTATAAGAGATTTCAAAGTTTAACACCAACCGATGCAATTCCTCTTTCGGCAACTTTGACGAGACAATGTATCGATCATCGGGCACTGGTCGAACCTTCTCCAAATCAGGCACGTGGATGTGCTCAGATTCGAGGAAAGCTTCCTGAATGATTTATCTTTGAAATATTTTCCAAAATAAAACAAACTTTGCATTTCTGGACATCAATCTCTTCTACTTGTGCACTGAGCGTTTCCCTTTCTTTTTCACTCAACTCATCCCAGAAACGAAGGAGATCTTTTTGTGAGTCAAGTCGTTTCTCCAACTCTTCCTTTGATGGCATTCTTAAAATGAAATGAAGATAAATGAACAAAAAAAGAATCGATATCTAAACGTAAAATTATAGAAAATTTACATAGATTTCTAGTTGGGATTGAAATTGAATTTGATTTGAAAAAAAAAGATTAATCATCTCTACAATTTCACTGAGCTCTCAGCTATTTTTTAAACGCTTTAACCCACAATTCTTTATCATTCTTTCAGTGTTAGATTATTATTTCAATAGAAAATATAAAGAATCGAATGTGCCAAAAGTATTTATAAAGTTTAAAGTAAATAAGTAAAAGTAAGTAAAAGTAAAAGTAAGTAAAAGTAAATAAGTAAAAGTAAAAGTAAAAGTAAATAAAAGTAAAAGTAAAAGTAAAAGTAAATAAGTAAAAGTAAATAAGTAAAAGTAAAAGTAAAAGTAAATAAGTAAAAGTAAAAGTAATTAAAAGTAAAAGTAAAAGTAAAAGTAAAAGTAAAGTAAAAGTAAATAAGTAAAAGTAAAAGTAAAAGTAAATAAGTAAAAGTAAAAGTAAATAAAAGTAAAAGTAAAAGTAAAAGTAAATAAGTAAAAGTAAAAGTAAATAAAAGTAAATAAAAGTAAAAGTAAGTAAAAGTAAAAATCAAACCAAATTTATCAAAATTTTTCGAAAAATATACCTTTTACTCATAGAAGAATGGCACCGATTTTGTGAAAATGAAAATTTTTCGAAATTTTTCGAAATTTTTCAAAATTCTCTAAAATCCAACTATATTTATAACATTTCAGTTTTTATTTCATTTCTTATCCTTTCTCAATCACACTCACAGCTTTGCAGTCAATATCAAAAAAGGTGAAAAATGAGCAACAAAAAAAAAATGAGGGAAAAGGACTTGTATTTTGATGGCTTTCTTTGATGAAACAAACTTTGCATGCTCTCACAAAAAAGACTTGATGAATTGACAAGTAAAATCAAGTGTCACAGATACGCAAAAAAAAAAGAACAGGGTGCGCACTAGACTGTGCAAAACTAGATTGTAAAATCAAATTGTATTGGGTTGGGGAGAATGAGTCGGCGCCGAAAATCAAAGAAATTTCTAAAACTTCTATTCGACTTCGTGAAATAATATGCGTTTGATATCCGTAGAAGGGTAACTAATTCTCTACAAAATGTTTTAGGCTAGAGTTTTAGCTGTTTTAGCTGCTACAGTTTTAGCTGCGGGTTACGGTAGTTTTTGTAGCTACAATATCCGTCTATCAAAGCTACAATAACCAATAATCTATCAAAGCTATTGGGTTGGGGAGAATGAGTCGGCGCCGAAAATGAAAGAAATTTCCAAAACTTATAGCAGACTTTGTCAAATGATATGCGTTTGATATCCGTAGAAGGGTAACTAATTCTCTACAAAATAATATTTAAAAGAGAACTCAAACAGCGCCTCAACTCAACAAAGGACCATTTTTTTCACAAAATCGACTAAACTGTGCAAATCTAGAGTAAACGGTTGGAGGGATCTTCCTGAAAATTTGGTAACTTATGTAATTGAGTGTGCTCTATCTTTTTTATATAAACACCAAAGGAGGTTTATGTGGAAGAAACTGTTCAAGCAATGAGTCGGACTTTTTGTCATTTTGATTAGCTGTGTTTGGGAATCCATAAAATCCCAAAAAAGAAAAGCTTTGTGGAATCTCTCAAAAGCCATTTTGTAAAGAAATAGTCGACCATTTTGATGAAACAAAACGTGTATTTAAAGAAGGTTTTATGGGTGCAAAAAGTTTCTTTAAATTTCGGCGCCGACTCATTCTCCCCAACCCAATACAAAAGAGTACAATCTAGGGTTGCGTTTGATTAAGTTTTTGTCTTTCTAAGACAATACATTAAGCTAAGCTAAAAAAGAAGAATTAAACGTAAAAACTATACGTAATTTTGCATAGAATAAAAGATGTATACCATTTTTTTTCATAACTTTGAAAACCCTAGACGAGTAATCGAAAAAAAAAAATTCTATGCTATGGGATGCTGAAAAATATTTCAATTCGAAATTCAAATCTATGCGTAATTTTTTACATGGAATAGAAGAAGGTTATCATTTTGTATGGTTATATTTAATAGAATCTAAGAGGGTTATCACTTTTAATGGTTATATTTAATAGAACAGAAGAAGATTATCATCTTAATGGTTATATTTAATAGAACAGAAGAAGGTTATCACTTTTAATGGTTATATTTAATAGAATAGAAGAAGGTTATCATTTTTATGGTTATATTTAATAGAACAGAAGAAGATTATCATCTTAATGGTTATATTTTGCGGGGCATTTTAATGGTTATATTTAATAGAATAGAAGAAGGTTATCATTTTGTATGGTTATATTTAATAGAACAGAAGAAGATTATCATCTTAATGGTTATATTTAATAGAATAGAAGAAGGTTATCACTTTTTAATGGTTATATTGAATAGAATAGAAGAAGGTTATCATTTTAATGGTTATATTTAATAGAACGAAGAAGTTTCTCTTAATGGTTATATTTAATAGGAAGAGATTATCTCTTTGGTTTTTTTGCGGGGTTACACTTTTAATGGTTATATTGAATAGAATAGAAGAAGGTTATCATTTTGAATGGTTATATTTAATAGAACAGAAGAAGGTTATCATTTTAATGTTTATATTGAATAGAATAGAAGAAGGTTATCCTTTTTAATGGTTATATTGAATAGAATAGAAGAAGGCTATCATTTTAATGTTTATATTGAATAGAATAGAAGAAGGTTATTCTTTTTAATGGTTATATTGAATAGAATAGAAGAAGGCTATCATTTTAATGTTTATATTGAATAGAATAGAAGAAGGCTTTCATTTTAATGTTTATATTTAATAGAATAGAAGAAGGTTATCATTTTTTTACAACCCTAGTCAAGCATTACAAAAATTCTATGCTATGGGATGCTGAAAAATATTTCAATTCGAAATACAAATCTATGCTTAATTTTTTCTACATGGAATAGAAGAAGGTTATTATTTTAATGGTTATCTATTTTACCTATTCTACCTATTTTACCTATTCTATCTATTTTACAATGCTTAGCAGTCAATTCAACAATGAAAAATGAAATAGTGGCTAGAAAATTAAAAGAATAAAATAAATTTATAGAAATAAAAAAAGTAGAAAGATTTCTTTGGTGAAATAGAGGAAATCAAAAGTGTTTTTTTTTTTGTCATTTATACCAAATACGTGAATTTTGGGCTTCTCGGCTATCCGACATTCCGAGTGTCTCCCTCGCCCGGCCGCTAACTAGGAATGCTTTTTGGATTTACACCTCGATTTGTTGGGCCAAGACCTAGCACAGCTTGTTCAGTTTTTTTTGCGCTGATTTCGATGGTGTATGCGTTTGGGGATGACGGTTCTAAAATTTTGAGATATTTAAATTCTAAGAACATAGAGAAAAACGGCGTCAAAGTTGACCGACTTCTGCGGCTTTTTTTCTTAGGAAAACCCTGCAGAAGCCGGTCAACTTTAACGGCTTATATCTCGAGGTAGAAGCATCGGATCGACGTACGGTTGGTTTCATTAGAATCCTCATAAAATTTGGCTATAGAAAAGTAGAATTTGTTTAAGGTGTTTGCTAAGAAAAAGCTCAGTTATAGTGTAAATTGGGTATTCACGAAACCGCGGACCCACAAGTTATAAGAATTTTACAGAGCTTTCTCAACATGGATTCGTGGCCTAGTGGATAGTGATCTAGAGTTCTCGATCTTTCTTCCCTGGCTCAGATCCGGTTGGCGTTCGAATTTTTTGTTATTGCTATAAACTGTTTAAATAATTTTTTTTCTCAAGTTTCTTAGTTATCTAAATATCGCGTAACTCTATTTTAACATTAGAAATAAAAAAAACGTGTTCTAGTTAATTTTTACTTACTTTTAATTGTTTTATCTTTATTTAGCCTGAAATTTTAAGAAAATTTCTTAAAATGAAAGCAAAAAAAGACGGAACAAATATAACCAGCACGAATGAGTAAAATCGGGGTAGGCTAATTTCAGCAATTTTTTGTTTGCGTAATAGGGTCATTTGCGCAACTCACCATTACTTTCTTCTAAGTCGGCCAATCTTTATGATTTTCGTTTCATTTTATTGCACTTATTGAGATCTACAAAATGAAACGAAAATCATAAAGATTGGCCGACTTAGAAGAAAGTTATGGCGAGTTGCGCAAATGACCCTATTACGCAAATGGCCCTGTTGCGCAAATGGCCCTGTTGCGCAAATGGCCCAGTTGTGCAAATGGCCCTGTTGCGCAAATGACCCAGTTGCTCAAATGGCCCTGTTGCACGAATAAAATGGCGGAAATTAGCCTACCCTCGTAAAATCAACAAAATTTTACGTAACATTTAGATAACCAAGAAATTCATTGAAAAAACGAAGAAATATCCCCAATCGATGCCTGATCCCCTATTCTCACAAAATCATCAAAAAAAAAAATCAATCTTTCATCTTTTTGTGTGACCCCTAAGACAAAACCAATTCTAACACCACGATGAACTTTGAAAAATGAACGAGAAAATTTTTCCATACTCAAACCGATGATCAATTTTTTTACCGGACACCCTTTATTTACCGCATCTTCAAAATTTGCCAACCCTCTAAACCTAGATTTCAAGAGTACTTATCCAATTCCAAGAGTACTAAATATTACACTTCGCTTGCCAGAACACGCAACTTTTTTTTGGCATATTGTGTTCAAAAATGGAAACCCATCGTTTCTGGCGTACTCTGGTGTACGCAAAAAATTGGAGGCTAAAGTGGTTCAGTGCCAGAAAGGAAATGTTTGCAACAAAAAAAAAAAAAAAGATGCGAATAAAGGGGTGAAAAGAAAAAAAAATTCGAAAAGCCAAGAAAAGCCAGGTAAAGAAAATTTCGTTTTCAACCGATTGTCTGCGAAAAATTTGAATAAAAAAAGAGTTCTGTGGAATATTTTTATTTTTCAAGAAACAGTTTCAAAATCCAATTTTTCGAAGTAAACTTTCAGCTAACTGATAAATCTCTCTCAAAAAAAAACACAAAAAAAAAGTTATCAATTTGAGGAAAAATATAGGAAAAACGGGTCTAAACGGATAGAAATTTAAAAATCACAGATCAATATGATAAGCTGAAGAAAAAAGAAAAACCCGGTCAAAAATAGAAACTTGGGAATTTTTTTTTTTTTTGTACTTTCCAACCGTTTTATTTACCCAGCTTCAAAAACGTGTAAACACACGCCGCCTAGCGCACTAAAATCTCCATTTTCTTAGACAATAAGTCTTTGCGCGAAAAGCAAAAAACGAAGAATCTAGTGCGCTAGAGAAGGTGCGTTTACTGGGCTTGAGAGGGCACAAATTTAGCAGCCTAATATAATCAAAAATCCAGAATATTGGGCTTAATAAAGTGATTCGAAAATAGGGTTGTTTATTTTCTAAAATTAGTAATAAAATTGGAGAGAATTGAAATGAATGCAGTGAAATGATAAGATATGATTGATAAGGCTTATTTGGGGTTGGGGTGTTCGAGGGATTTCTCCTTTTCTGATCTATTTACTCTTCTTGACCCTAAACATCGCTCCATGCCCCGGCACAACAATTTCGGTCATTTCGAGAATCTCGTCGCGACTTCTGAAAGCAGAATATCTTAATTATAAGTTAAATACAATACTCGGGGGCATTTAGTTGCTGCATAATTTTGAATGCAACTTTCAGGGGTATATTGTAGTCAATCGGACATGGTATTCTCTATTCAAAAGCTCTAGCTAGCTACCGAAAAAAAGAAACTATACAAACCGTTGATGATCGTCCGGATATCGACTATTCGCCCGCCAATCGTTCTCATCATTCTCGTGCTCAAAGAGATCCCCTGAAAGTGAATTTGTTAAAAACTCTGCACCCTTCTTGGTCATTACATTACCAGTCGTTTACAATAAGTAGTAGTATTATAAAACAAACTTTACAATATCTCGGAGAACATTCCTTCACTCACCAGCCACTACAACCGTTCCCATTTCCTCATCTCGTACAATCACCGCCAAATCGTTATCGGTATGACCTCGAAATTTTCGAATTGAGATCCGAGCGGTGAGTGAGATCTCCTAAAAATCGAAGCTACTGCTATATTTGCTATATTTTTGGGCAGAAGCTTGGGCTTAAATGCTGGTATTTAGCTTTCCTCAGTCATTTTCCATCCAAACTGACCAGGAAAAGGCAGTGTCAATATTTTTCAATATTTCTAGGTTCCAAAATGTTCTTTAACCCATCAAATAGCTTTAGATTTACTCTTTCCAAACCATTTCCCCAACAAACCTTCTCCGTACTCGAATACACTCGATCCGGTGATCGCACATCGTTATCCATGTAGATTCGCGCATTCCCGAAGCGGCCCAAATTTGCGCAATGATCCAAATGCCCATGCGTGATCACAACCTGGAAGCACTTGTGAATTCAGAGAACTTGCCTTACCCTTACCGTATCAATATCCCCAACCGCCAATCCTCTTTTCCTCAGTCCATCCTCGATCTCCGTCCAATTATCCGGCGATCCAACATCCACCAAAATCTTCTCTTTTCCATCGTCGATCAGGGTCACCTGCGAGTTTTTGGTCTTAAAATTTGAGTTAAAATTTAGACGTTTTAAACTCTAAAGAGAAGTTTGGCTTATTGTCAGAATTATGCCAATTAATGATGGTTCAGTAAACGGACAACTGTAACGAACAAAGGCTGCAAGTTGTTTGTTAAATTGTGAGAAAAACGGGAGTGGAACAATTTGGACAATCAACTTGACCCTGTTTAAGTTTGTAAACCCGTGCGAGCATTGTATCAGCACAAAAATGCACTCACCGATCCCTCGGCCATTGTTCCATTCGCCCCACTCCTTTCCGTTTCTCTCACAAACCCGACCACAATTTGATCGATTTTCATCGCGTCGAGGGCTTACTCATGATTAACATAAATAAAAAAGCGTCATAATAGCTCTACGCCAAAAAGACTTGTCGCAGAAAATGCTTTAATTGGAAAAATACTTACCAAAGACAAGAATTTATTCAAAACAACCAATTGAAAAACGAAAAACAAGACTCAACAAAAAAGAAACAAAAGATATTCAAGTGTTACTCAACTCAAAAATTTCATAACTACAAACAATCTACAATGCTATTCCTTTTTATACAAACGGTGCCTGTTGTGGGTGTTCTTCCTTTTCGCCCTCTCGCAACAATGTCTCTTTCATGTCCTTGTAGCAGTATTTCTTCTGAAGAGTGTCAGCACGGTGTTTGTGCTGAAGGAGACGGGATTCGACCAACTCAAGAGCCTAAAAGATTTGATACAATGTGGCTTGGCTAAATTAAAAAAAAATAAAATGCGTTTTATCAAGTACATGATCAAACGAGTAAATGATATACGCAGAGTATAGTTTTTCATTGGAAATTTAACTGGAAAAGCCAAAATATGCTACAAAAACCAACCTTTTGACTAAAAACCACCGTGTCGTATTTGAGAATCGAGAAGCAATTCAGTCCATAGAAGGGCATCACTGTCATCGATGGGAGTTGACTCGTCGCCTCAGCTAGTCCACCAGTGATCTGTAAACGAACCGATTAGTGCAAGTATCAATTTTTGTTCGCAACATATTGACAACAAACTAACCGTGTCCGTGTCGTTCACAAAAAGCACACTGTATCCCCAATTCCGTTCCTCAGCCAAATCCATCAGATACTGTGGATCACCATCGGCGAGCTGAGCACAAAAAGATCATCAGCATTTCATTCAAAAGCTTTACCTCATCTAATCGATCGACAATTTGGAGATCATCTTGTGCGTGTTTGACTGTGAGAGCAACGCAGAGACCTAAAAATTACAACATCCCGTAGTTATGACAGCTTACGCTATTCGCTTAAAATTAAATCCACTCACCTTGTATCCTCAACGAATCGGGCAACATGTAGAACCACGTCCTCGGTCCTCTCGCTCCGTGCGCAAAACCGCCTCGGCTAAAGTGCGGAGCTCGAATACTTCCCGCGTGATGGCGACCGGTTCGCTTCTGTGGCCAAGGCTTTGCTCCTGAGAGTTAAAAATTTACATGTGAAGTTTAATTTGGTTTATTTTATAAAAATTTCCTTCTAAAGCCACTCACCTCCACCCGGCATCTCTCCTTTGCTTAACATTTTCGTCAACTGCAGATTTCGGTAATTCTAAACGGAGAGGTTGTCTTTGGTCGTAAATTTCAAACTGTACCTCTTGCCAAGTGATATTTCTGTGCAAAATGTCGAGTCGAGGTGACACGCGAAACACGTCTGGATGAAGATCGACGAGACCAAGCTAAAAATAGCATTAACCATGTGCAAGAATTCGGTAAAGTAAAAAGAAACCTTTTGTTCCTTGATCGAGTTGAACGAGGTAACCCACGCTTGAGGAATCTCTACGAAAGGACTCTTGGGTAAACGCCACAGTGGCCGATCCTCGATTGACGGTGATGAAGAAGACTCCTAAAACTTTGATCATTGGGTAATTTAGCACTAAAACGCAAGAAACTGTATTTACTATGGACGGACACTTTCCAGTATCGGGACACACACACACACGATTCACAATTCAAAATAGTTCATCGCCAGTTCATCGATTAACTGTACCTGTATCTCGAATGTCCCATCCTCTGAAGTGGTTTGTGCCTCGGGAACGCTCGCATCCACATCTCGTCTCCCTTTTCTCGTTGTTTCCTTTGTGGAGACCCCTCTCGTGCCGATTACTCGATTCACCCAAACTCCCCGTCCAAGCCTCGACACAAACATCGTCTAAACAGAACATGTGGTATGTGACACTTAACCTAAGAACTTTCCCAGTGTTCAGTAAAAATGGTCGTTGAGAAATTGAGTAATAAAAATTATTCAGGAGCTACAGAATCGGTTACAAAGTATCAAATGGAGATCCATAACGACAAAACCAAAACTTCTCCGTTATCAAACGTTTATTCTCCACAAATCAACAAGAAAATATCAAAAACAAGATGAAACAATCAATTTTCCTAAAAACTAGCAAAATCTACAAAAAATATAGTCAACGTTTTAAATTAAAACTCCAACTGTTGTTGCTTCTTGCGGTAAGCCTTTCCCCTCGTGATAGCTTCTTTGAATAACCTACAAGTTGAAAATTTAGCTACTAGATGATTCGAAAAAGATAAAGCTTTTTAGTGTCTACATATGCGTGAGCAAGTTTTCAAGCTAAACTTTAAGCTGACTCCAACCTCAACAAATATTCGGCGCTTTGTGGTGTATCATCGTTGGCCGGGATCAAATACGTCAAATAGGCGGGATCTGTGTTCGAGTCAACAACGCCAACCTAAAAGAGAAAACTCTTAATCAAATTAAAACTTGCCTGAAATGTTATTAAATGCAAAAAAATACCGTAGGAATCGTCAGTTTGGCCGCCTCAATAATTGCTGGGTGGGGCTCGTTCAGCGAGGTGAGCGTTGAGAGAAAAATTATCTGAAAAAGCAAGATTATTCCGTTAAAAGTTTATTTTAGCTTGCCGTATCAGGCAAACGAATCGTGGCGCCAACGAGTTGTGCCGAGTTCGTCAATGTGCCCTCTTGCCAGCGACGACAATGCGAATACTCGCCCAACTAAAAAACCAAAATGTGCTTGAATTTTACAATTCGTAAATTTACAAGGCAGCAATGGCATCTTTAGGCTACAAATGGTCTAGTATTTTAGCTTTCAAAGCATTCCTGTTTACATCACCTTATCTTAACCCACTTCTTTGGCCGTTTTCTCAACGTTCAACATCGACTCCCGGTTCGTCGTCACAAAGAGGATGATCCCACCACGAGCCGCAACATGAGCCACAAAGTTAAGCGCCCGAACGATGAATCTGAAAAGAAAAGCAATAAAGTTTACTAAATTGCCTGCTTAGGAAATACACCAAATTTACGAACTTCTTTGTGACGTCGAGATCGAAGATGCAAATGCCGAGTCGCTCCCCATAAAGCGCCCACTTCATGTTGTCGTTTAGCGTTCCTATCTAAACGTGGCTAATCATAACTGATCAAATTTACACTCTACCTTGTGCCCCAGATGTAATCGTGCATCGAACATCTCCTTCACGTTCACCAGTGATTCCAAATTGAAATAGTCATCCGCTTGTAGTTCTTCGGAGACGTAAGGCCTAAAACAAACAAATTTCTTCTAGAATCTCGAATTTACTCACTTCAATGACGTAGATTGTGTAGAGGCTTTCTCGAGAGCGCTTATTGATGGCACTTTGATGTCGCGGTGAATGGAAGGAGCCGGAATTGACGAGGTCGATTGTTGGTGTTGTTGAAGAGTGTTCGAAGCACCTAAAAATAGAAGTTTTCTAGGAGATAAAGGACGAGATGCTGAGCATGTTTGGCCATTAGATAAAAGTAGAATTCATTACTTGTGGTGGCCTTTTGTCGAGAGAGAAAAAGTGATCGATGTGAGGGAAAAGCCGGCGAAGTGAACACTCGTCGCATCTCTAAAAAGCAATTGCAATTAATGTATTGGCTGATGTCAGACGATAGAATTGAATTGATTTTTTCAGAAATATTTCAGGATTCAATAACCTCATCAAACTTCATACAACAATAAAATAAACATTTATTTACGATCAAACAGAAAAATAAACAAAAATCGCACAGGCATCAGTGCATATCGTATAACCAAATTGATAGCGCAAAAATAAACATTTTCCCAGAGAACAATAAAAACGAAAACTCGCAAAATTTTACAAAACCCAGACCAACCCAAGGGGAAAAACCAAGAGCAGAAGAATGACTCGTACGAACAAAAAAAATTGACGAGCAAGAAAAGTGCTAATTTGGCGAGATAAAGCAACACCGGAGAAAAAACGAAAACATTTTGAGCCGCTTTTATTATGAAAATAGAAGTTTATAAATAAAAAAATATTTCCCTGGAAAAGCCACACATAAAGCTGAAAGCACTAGAAACAATGATTTTGAAATGAAAACAAATTCAACCTGTATCGAAAATGAGCAAAATTGAAGCAACGTGAACAAAGAGCACAATATGGTTTTTACTACAAGAAGATCATTGGAGACGCATCATTGGGTAGGCTGGTGATTCGGTGAACTCGAAGTGAATCCTGGAAATGAAAATAAAAACCCATGGTGGTGAGTGTTTAAGTCACTCAGTCAAAAGCGAAATAACAATTTTCTATTCTAAACCAAAACTACTGACCTCGAGTTTGGCATTCGTCCCGACGAGAAGAGGCGCAGCACGACAATGTTGTTCTTGCACACTTTTAGCAACGAGTTACCCTTCGCAACTAAATCAGAAGCGGCTCAAAGGTGCCTAGGTTTCTAATAGACTGACTTAAGCACTCACCATAACGATCGCTGAGTTGACCCTGTTCCAATTGAATTCGGGCCATGTCGAAAGCTTCAACGGCATCAGAAAGCAATTGCGAATGGCCACCAGAAACGAGCGAGTCGAGGCTAGAAATATCGGCTTATTATCATTTCTTAAATTGTCATTATTTACCGACTGTCCCTCCTATAACGCGCGTAGTTCAAGTCGCAAAGAGGTTGAAGTTGCTTAAATGGTACCATTCGATGAGCAAAGCGCAGTTCCTCCGAGTTCGCCTCCCACATTGGCACCTAAACAAAAAAATTTGCTCAATTGCGATTTTCTGGAGCGAAAGCGCATAACAAACGTACAATAATCTTTCCCATTAATTGTAGTGCAAGTGCGGCCCTGAACATTCCATCACAAATCGCCATTTCAATCATCAGGAATGCGTTCTCGGCTTTGTATTCTCGTAGTCTAAATTTGATTGCTCATTTAAAAAAACCATGTCAACGTTGCTAGACATATTAGAAGTGATCTCATTAAGCTACGACAAACAAGTGCTAAATGTGTTATCCAGATTGCTTATTTTTTTATTAGATAGGTATGCCTAGGATTCTTTTCGTTTTTTTTTGCAACCGACTTCGTTTTTTTTCTCGAATCTTTATTTGACACTTTCGTCACCGACGTCTTCCCTTTTTTCGATCCTAAAGTCACAAGTTGAACTCAACCAACGAAATTTGCAAATCAACCTGTAGAACTAAGTCCATTTGCCAGATAGCTGTAGGCTCGATCGTTTCCGCTGCACAACCATTTCATCACGATATCTCCGTAGAACCTAAACATTTCTGCATTTTTGCGTAAATTTTCCAAAAAACTCACCAATACATGTAAGTGTACTCATACGGAGCAATCAATTCTTGTTGAAACGAGCTCTCCAAGTAGAGACGCATCAAGCGCAAGGTTTCACTGATGAAAAAGGTTCCAAGATGGAGTCCTCCCTGCATATTATAGTTGAGAGGTGCCTGAAAAGAGATTAGATTTTAATCTAGACATAACTTTGAGCCTAGCAACCACCGGGGCTCACCACCAAATTCTAGATTCTTAGTGTAACAAGGTTCAAGAAATTACCGAGCTTCCGGAACAAAATCTCAGACATTGTTTGTCCAAATCGTCGGCATCCATTTCAAGAATGCAAAAATCGCTAATCGAATGGACGAGCTTCTCGCGTTGACGCGGCAAATTACTTCCTAAATATACAACTTATCGAAGTTATAGGTTACAAATTAGGTTTGAAGTTTCAGTTTTCGTTTGAAAAGCTAACAAAATAGGCGCTCACCAAAAACTTGGGAAATCAGCAGAAACGCTTTCGTCATATTCGAAACCATTAACGACCACATATTTTTTATTCCCGGGTCGCCCAGCAAACCAGTGCTAAAAGGCAAATTTTATAAGAAAGGCAAAGTTTTTGCCTACTCTGTATCAAGCAATGGTGGCGCGAGTGCATTCTTCAGCGAGTCGACGCAAAGGTCTGACAAAGCGCGCTTACCCAACACATGGTCGTCGAGCGGAAAAAGCATCAGCTGAATTTAAAACATACTTTTATCAAATAGACTCTAAAAATCTTTTGTAGGTTCGAATCAATTGAAATCCATTTACTTGCAGAACCGATCGAGTAAAAGCCGTCGAGAACTTCGCCTCGCTGTACTCGCGCACGTAGGCAATCATTGATCCAGGCTCGGAGACAGCATCTGAATCATAAATTCGACTTTGTAAATTAACGACAACACTCTTTAAGCTAACATAAACAAGCACGATCTGCGGACTGGATTTAACGTTTTAGGAAACAAGTTATGCTTGCTAAATGGTCGATGTAACGAGAAGCTCATGTTTCGGCATAAATTCGCAAACGGAACTTGTTTTCTATAACATGACTTCCGGTCCACAGACTATGCTTGAACATAACATTTTAAATTCCTTTGAAAGTTTACCTGGCACTTCCATTGGCAAACGAAGCAGCATTTGAACCATCTCGACAAGGTAGGGGATAGCTCGTTTACGCGGAATCATCTCAGCTCTAAAGTTTTAAAAAAATGCGTTTGGTTATTACATAGTTTAGTAAAAAACAAACTTTCGTGGAAAAGTGGCTGGCAACTTTCTCCTGTTCAAATCGGGCTCGAACGCTGGCAACCAAGCAAAGTCCTCTAAAAACAAATCATCGATTAGTGCTTAATTGGTGCCAAATTCAGAGATTCAGAGATGAAAAACAACCATCATCCCTTTCGCTCCTCGATCCAAGATGCCAAGTATCAGCCATTACTACAGCATTTTTAAGGCATGTTTGTAAATCCTCAGTGGTATGACGTAAGTTCGGACTAAAAAAAATTGTTTAGCAATGGTGCTCTTTGTGAATAGGCGTGAATCTTCAAGTTGCTGGTCTAAGATTATTAAAAACTACTAAATTAAAACTACCGAAAAGTCGCGACGGGCGTTGGATTCGCCTTATCGATGTTGTCGAGGATGATGGTGTGGATGGGAGTAAGGTTGATAATAGCCTAAAGAAAACACATTTGAATGCAAAATTCGAGTTAAACGAGTACACGCTTCTCCCAAGTAAAGTAATGCACCTGCGTTAATGTTCTAACAAAGGCCAACCGTGCAGCGATCGACCCCATCACTAATCTTTCTGCGGCATCATCATCAGCGCACTAAAAAACGCTTTTGAAAAAAAACACCAGCTTTTTGATGACCTTTAACAAACTAGCCTTAGTAGAGCCTTATTTCAGCATATTAAGAGTTAAGTTAAATTAAGTCAAAAGCTACCTACATTCGTCATTTTAGCTTCTGATTCCAGAGATGCTTCGATCGCCTCAAGCTCGATCCTGATTACTTTGTAATCCTTTTGAAATGGAATGCATGGATATGGATTTGTAACGTTGAAATCTTCCTAAATGGAACAAATAAACCGATATTCGAAATAAACCCATACTTCCTCCGAAACGCTGGCCGTTGTGATGATATTATTGATGTAGTAGATGAGCTGATTCATCGCGTGACCAAAAGTGCCCAAAATGTCCACTTTATTGACAAGGTTTGCATTGACGAGAAGGACGTTCGTGTATAACTAAACAAGATATCATTCATTGGGTGATGCCACCGGAAGCTGACTGTTTGAGCCAAAGATCCCCCTTCCAGCCAGGTCACCAGCGCCGACAGAGTTGCATCCAGTGTGGCCAATGTTTCGGGCAAGTAATTCAGCGAAAGGGCACCCTAAAATAAACTTATATTTGTATCACCTTTGACCTTTTTGAACCTAATGAAATAAACCACAAACACGCACTTCTCGTCGACACTTCGCGAATCCTAGGTCGGGCCGCGTCCTCACCAATCCGACGTCCATCTTCGGGTCCATCAACTCGATTGCCGACATCGCTTCGAACATCGAAAAATTCGGTGCTATCGCCAACTCGCCAAGCTCGAGCCCTAAAAGAAGTGATTGCTTAGAATATTATCAAACTACAAACCTTGACAACTCTCGAAAAACTCGTCGGTGATGTCCACCCATTTCTCACGGGATCTCTCTGGACGGGAAGTACCGCTACTGCTGGCACCTATTTCTTCGCGAATTGCTAGCGTGCCGAGTCGCTAAAGTACAAAATTTGCTCAAGCTCAACTTATAACAACCCTTGTTAACAACTCAACTCCGAATTCGCTACCTTTTTCAAAAATGCGAAAAGCTTCTCCAAAAAGCGCATCACTTTGCAAAATATCGAGGCTGGCTAATAAAGTTTGTTAAGCTTTTGTTGAAGTCCGCTGAATCTCATTTTTCGCTTGTTTTCTAGCTTAAGTGTTGGGCTTAGACTGGTCAAAGTCTAATAAATTCATTAACTCCAGTAATGTTGTCGATACTATGCTCGAGCTTAAAAGCCAATAAAACCTTCTCTTCTCTCACCTTCTCTACTTCTTTCACAACTTCATCATCGCTGGCCATTCCCTCGATCCGATCGTTCCAAACAACACAAAGAAAGTCACCTGAAAATGAAAAGTTTTAGCAAAGGTCAACGAATTTCAATATGAAAAGCAGAGAAAAACGGTTTAACAAGGATTCTTGGGTATTCCATACTTTCAAAGCACTTTCTAGAATAGCTTATGCCATTAAATTAAATAAAAACCTTTTGAAAAGCGGTTAAATTTTGGGTCAAATGAGTGGGACAAATGCGACCTTTTTTTGGCACACCCGGACATTTGCGCACCTTTTTTCCGCACTCAGCTCATTAGCGCACCTTTTTTCGCGTTTTAAAAAAGCTCTAAAAAGCTAATATTAACCAATTTCTATTCCAAAAGTTGTTTTTCTAGGTAATTTTAGGGCGTAGAATCGAAATTTTGACATATCAGAGCTTGTGGAAGCGAACGGACGGAGTTATACAAAGAGAAAAATCGACAATTTTCTGTAATTTGATCTAGCCGTTTTGTCTTTCAAATTGGTCTTTCAAATTGGTTCCACAAGCTCTGATATGCCAAAATTTCGATTCTACGCCCTAAAATTACCTAGAAAAACAACTTTTGAAATCGAAATTGGTTAATATTAGCTTTTTAGAGCTTTTTTAAAACGCGAAAAAAGGTGCGCTAATGGGCAAAGTGGGGAAAAAAAGGTGCGCAAATGTCCGGGTGCGCAAAAAAAAAAGGTCGCATTTGTCCCACTCCCGTTCGCGTAAATTACAAACTTGCAAAGTTTGGTTTAATACTTTTATTCCTTTACAAAAGGTATTCAACCAATTAACTAAATGGCATGGCAATTTCCTGTCAAATATGTGATTTTGCATTTAAATCGAGATATTAAGCAAGTTTCACACGGAAAACCCTCTTTTCACGCAAAAGTTTCAACTTTTTCCAAAAATTTATTTATTCTTGTGTGCAGAAGTGTCGGAAACCCGTGAAAAAGACAAAATCGCAAATAAATGACAAAATTTTTAAAGAAAAAAAGGGCAAAAATTTGGGATGTGATATTTCGGAACTGTAAGATTTCTAGAAAACTGTAGTTTTCGAGTTTTCTTTTCCATTTCCCTACTCAAATCACTTTTTCCCGAGATTCACCACATCGGCCAGCGCTTTGTCCATCAATTTAAGATCCTCTTGCAACGAAATGGCATCCAACGACGTCACCACGATCGGTTTTCGGAGATTCATCCTGAAAAATCATTGTTCTTGACTGATTAGCTCAATTCTGAAAGCTTTATCGTTGATGCTGGAGCGCATGCTACTCAAAAAAATATCTATTAAGTTCACTTTTCATTTCACTTTCTTCAACCATTATTTTTTTTTGCTAAAAGATACCTTTTAGATCTCTTTTAGACTGTAATCCCTTTTTAAAGATACCGTGATTTTTTTCATTACACTAATCTATTTAAATCTATTTAATTTACTCAAAAAAAATGCAAACACCTACTCTGTCCACATTTTGAGCTTTTTCTGACGTGCCACACGTTCCTCCAATTCTGTTTGTTCGGTCTGAAATTGAGGGTTTTATTTTTTGCATATCCCACGATTTTTCTTACGATTTTATTTTCTTTGATGACTTCCAGATATGCAAAAATTTTCAATTTCGAAAATTTCGAATTTCCTCACCAGTGTCCGATGAATATAGTGTTTCGAGGCGTTTTTCTGCGCGTGTCCCATCTGCATCGACTCAAGCCGCTCTCGCACCTAGAAATTTGCATTTAAAAACCAAATATTTATTTTTTTTCCAAATTCAACCACTATTTTGCTTGTATCGTACTGTTGTTCGTCTTGTTTTCCCCAATAGTTCAAGTTATTCAGTCAACCACTCGAAAAGCTCGAAAATCCGATATCTAACCTAGGCAACAACTCTTGTGACAGCCAAAAACACAAAAAAAACAAAGTATTCCTAGAAAATTCGGTGATTGGGCCGCTAAAATCAGTCGAACTCTATTCTGCGGTCGTTCTTGAGAAGCTGCAAGCACTCACGGGCCAAAAGTCGAGAAAGTGAAATGCTGGAACGCACACTAGATTCCTAGCTAGGTTTCATTTCGATTCTTTTCCACAGATCTGTTATCATTGAACTCACCGAATCTCGGAGACTCTCTACGATTCGAGCTCTTGACTCAGCCTCTGTCGGCTCTGCTCGAAGGTTTTTTCTCGCCAATCGCTTCCTCTCCAGCTGGTGAATGCCCAAGCAATATCTTGCCATCATCAGCTAAATATATTCAAGTTAAATATTTTCATTTGATCCGTTTTCTAAAAGGCTTTAACAACAGCTCGAATCAACGTGATTAAATGTTTTTTTTAAAACATAATAGGCGATTTAAATTAATGATTGATTGTAAAATAATGATTTAAATTAATGATTGATTGAAAAATGATGATTTAAACAAATGATTAATTGAAAAATAATGATTGATTGTAAAATAATGATTTAAACAAATGGTAATAGGTGTTTTTTAGAAAACATTATGTTCTGCTGGCATGATCTGTTGTTAAAGCTGTTGTTTTAGCTTTTTCGCTTTCAAAAGTTTCCCCATACCTCTTTTTTCTGTTGATGTTCTCTATCAAGATCGGCTTTTCTTTCCAAAAACTCTTTCCCATCATGATTGAGTGCCAATGCACGACGAATCTCTAACTGAAAATTAAAGTTTAGCTCAATCTGGTCACGCGTTAGCATACATTTTCAATAACAAGGAATTGTTGGAAATGTACGCTCTGAACTGTACAATTTGAACTGTACGCTTTGAACTGTACTCTAACTTTGAAAAGCTACCTCTTTATATCTCGCTGCTTGCAGCATCGGCTTCAGCTTCATGAAGTGTTGCTCAGCTTTGACGAGTTTCCTTAAGTGAAAGTCTCGTCGCTTTTCCAGTTCAGCCAAATCGATTTGCTCGATATCTGAAATCTTAGATTTAGAATTGCCAAATTTCTTCAAGTACTCCAAGAGTGAAAAGTTTCTATAACTTCTCGGAAAACAATAAAATTTCAAGCAAAATCCAAGCACTCACCCAACTCATCCTGTTTGTTTTCCTCATTTGATGGACCAGCCACATCTCCCGGCGTTTTCGTATCATTCACCATTTGTAAATCACAAAAATAGATTTTTTTGAAGCCACACAAGTTGTCTGGGATTTATTTTAAACCCACTTAACCGGAAACCCCTGAAAAATGGGGTTATTGATGCACAGAAAAGGGGTGTCATTTGGTGTTGATCGTTCATTTTCCGAACAATTAGCAAGTTCTAACAATTGTAAGAGCTTGAAGTAAAACCGGTTTAGCTTTGGTTTAGATTTGGTTTAGCTTTGGTTTAGATTTGGTTTAGCTTTGGTTTAGCTTTGGTTTAGCTTTGGTTTAGATTTGGTTTAGCTTTGGTTTGACTTTGGTTTGACTTTGGTTTAGATTTGGTTTAGCTTTGGTTTAGCTTTGGTTTAGTTTGGTTTAGATTTGGTTTAGCTTTGGTTTAGCTTTGGCTTAGCTCGGGCTGAGCTTTGGCTTAGATTTGGTTTAGCTTTGGTTTAGCTTTGGTTTAGCTTAGAAAATGTCTAAGAATTGTGTCTAGGGAAAATCCTGATCATTATATTAAAGCCTGACAGGAATACCTCTGATTTAGATTCAACAATTCGAGATTTTCGCATCGAGTACTCGATTTCTTGTTCCAAAAGATGAATGTTACATTTCTCTCGACAGGTGGCCGATTTGTTCTTTTCTTTGAATATATTCAAGAGGCAGGAACCCCCTTGGATATTCTTGTTCAATCTCTTCTTGTTCTCTTGTTCTCTTCTTGTTCTCCCCCCATCGCTGGTCACTTGCGCAAGATCTCTTCAATGAATCCCCCATCTTGATCTCCATTTTCCCATTGTACTCCTGTACTTTCCTTATTTCCTTTACTAATCCCTACTGTGACCAATTGATGGCCAAATTGACCAAATTTTTGCTTTACTATTTTATTCTGTTGAACGGGATTTCTGTTTAGCTCTTCACGAAGCTATTCATTTTAAAATTGATCCAAGCCTTACTATTCTCATGTTAAAACGTTTTATTCAAAGCTGTTAAAATCCTCTCCTTGATTATCGGCGTTTTTTTTCCTTTGATCTTCCCTTTTCCCCATTCAACACAACTCATAAAGGAGCACTTTTTTTTGTCGATTATTATCCTTTAAACACACCAACGCTCACAGTTAACCCTAAAAATAGATATTTGCAAAAATCTTTACTAAAAATTTAGTGGAAATTTGTAAAAACACACAAATTCAAGAACTTTCTAAGTTCAATCCAATTCTTCTTTGAATTTTATTCTTTCAAAATCCATCGTAAACTCATTCGCCAATAAATTACCCTTCAATTCCATTGTCAAGGCCGATTTCAGAGTCTTCCTTTTGAGATCACAATCTCTAAAGCATTTTGATGCGGTAAAGCCAAGCCACAAATGCCACAAATGCCTCAAATGGGTCTCTCGCGTAAAGGGAAATAACCTTGAGGCTTTGATTGTTCAAAAGATTGCCTCACTCTTTTGTCAAAGAGGCTCCAAAACGCAGTTCGACTCTTTCAAACTTTCTTTGAACTTTCTCTGAGCTTTCTTTGAACTTTCTTTGAGCTTTCTTTTGACATCTATGCATAACCAAATCACACCCCAAACGCCTATCATTTGGGAAAATCTCTCTCCTCCATTCACACCAATCTTTCTCGCATATCGGCTGTCCAATCAAAGACTGATAACCTCTAAAGATGACCTAATGGATTAGTGTTGAGTGAGGGTAATACACTCAAGATTCTTATCATTTGCTCATCTAATCCATTTTCTAAAAAGTTTTCTAAAGATTTCAAAGATTTCAAAGATTGAGACAATCTCAAAAATGATCTATTTCACTTCTCATTTGTCACCTTTCTCTTTTCTTTCTTTTCTTGTCACTCTTCTCATTGCCAATGGTAATCCCCTTTTATTCCAAAAGTGATGTATCTTGGGTGTCAATTTATACATTAATTTGTTCTTGTTTACCAATATCTTTGAAAAAATTGCCTTCAAAAAAAACTCGTTTAGATTTGTTTCTTGTTGTTGAGGCTAAACAAGTGAATGGAGGTAAATGCTAAATGTTAATACCGTATTTCTTCGAATAGAAGACCGGGTAAAGAGTATCATCGCGTACTCCTGCGTAGCAGCCCTTTTTAAAATTCCTTTTCTGCATAAAAGCTTTCAATCAAGTGCTATAGAGCTGGAAAATGGCTCAAAAATGGCTCAAAAATCGGTTAGCTCATGTGGTATTTTTGAGTCATTTTCCAGCCCTATAGCACTTGATTGAAAGCTTTTATGCAGAAAAGAGATTTTAAAAAGGGTTGCTACGCAGGAGTACGCGATGCTACGCAGTACGCGATGCTACGCAGTACGCAGTACGCGATGATACTCTTTACCCGGTCTTCTATTCGAAGAAATACGGTATTGTTAATCATCAAATTTAGTTAAACATATTCATTTGTTAAATGTTTATTTCATATTCATTACTTACTTTATTTAAACTTTCCAGTTCCCAACTTCAACTCTTTCCATTCTCCCTCGCGAGCATTTGGTCCCAATCCTTCGCAATCTCGACTTCGCTTCCGTCCTTAATTTTCGACAAACTTGCACAAGCTTTCACAATTTTGTGGGAAAAATCGAGAAAAATTTGCAAAAGAGAAAAATCACAAGTCTCAAGATCACTTTTGTAAGTTTGTTTTTAAGAAGGATTTGAGTATTATTCTATTAGGTTGATGCATAAGTGTTTTTGTTCCTTTTCGTCTGCCGTTTCAAGCCAACAAATGCACGAATTAAACTACGGTTGATTTCATTAGAAAAAGCAATTATTTTTCTGCAAAATAACATTAAAACGGGTTTAAAAATATTTAATGCCTGGATTTTCTTGAGGGTATGAAGTCGGGTAGTCAAAAAGGGCTAACTCGATGATGCGGTTTAGGCACCTTAGCTAAAGAAATGCCTGGATTTTCTTGAGAGTATGAAGTCGGGTAGTCAAAAAGGGCTAACTCGATGATGCGGTTTAGATACCTTAGCTAAAGAAATGCCTGGATTTTCTTGAGAGTATGAAGTCGGGTAGTCAAAAAGGGCTAACTCGATGATGCGGTTTAGACACCTTAGCTAAAGAAATGCCTGGATTTTCCTGAGAGTATGAAGTCGGGTAGTCAAAAAGGGCTAACTCGATGATGCGGTTTAGACACCTTAGCTAAAGAAATGCCTGGATTTTCCTGAGAGTATGAAGTCGGGTAGTCAAAAAGGGCTAACTCGATGATGCGGTTTAGACACCTTAGCTAAAGAAAACCAATCTTCGTGTCAATAGATAGAGAAAAAAAACCGTTTGATATTTCGCCAAAATTTCAGAGAAATTCATTCAGCCAATTTTTCCGTAGAGTTTTTTATAGATTTTTGACGAAAAAGGCGTTTTTCACTCTCGAATTTGCTTGAAAGTGAACCGAAATTCATTTAAAAAGATGCAAATTGAACAAAAAAAACACTTTTTTTTATAGAGCAAACTATAGATTAATTCGTGAATTTGTTACTTTTTAACAGAAGTACGAAAAAAACGAAAAGACTTATGCATCAAACTATTAGAATTTAGAATATGATCAAGCAACAAATCGAGATCATTTTTCGACATCCAGATGAATGGCACAAAATTTTGAAGAGATTTTTCGCGAATCGAAAACGAAATTTACGCAAAGAGACAATAGAGGTCAATCGATTTTTTTAAAAAATCTTTACAATTACCCTAAATACTGTAATAGTACCCCAAGCTCCCCTCGTACAGTCGCGTAGTCGCAAAAGTTTTGTTTAGTATTTCATTTCAAAGCATTTTTTTTTCAAAGCACCCGTACTTTCAAAAAATGCGTCTTTGGTATCAAAAAATAGCTGAAATTCAGGGCTATTTGGAAAAGAAAGGAAATACTAAACAAAACGACTTTGCGACTACGCGACTGTACGAGGGGAGCGTGGCGTACTATTACAGTATTTACGGTAGGTATTTATCGGAATTGGGTACTGCAATTGTTGTGGCAATTATCGTGCACCCTGTAGAGTTTATCCATGAGAAGAGCTACCATAAATACTGTAATAGTACGGCACTCTCATAATGACGGTGCGGAGCGGTGCGGAGCGTTGCGTAGTCTAGCTTTGAACGAGGTTTTTCTCGACACTGGTTTAAGCTACAATATTCGCTTAGGTATCAAAAAATAGCCCTGAATTTCAGCTATTTTTTGATACCTAAGCGAACATTGTAGCATAAACCAATGTCGAGAAAAGCCTCGTTCAAAGCTAGACTACGCAACACTCCGCATCGTCATTATGGGAGTGCCGTACTATTACAGTATTTACGGTAGATAAATAAAGAGACAAAATAACTGCAAAATAAAGCACAACAAAGATTTGTAAAGTCGAAGTTTTAGCTTCAGAATTCCCAACCGTCGACGAGTGGCTTCAAAGAGGAGAACGTTAACGATTATTCATCGATTACCCCAAGAATTGGAGAATTTTTGCGGAAAATTCTGCACAAATGTGATCTTGGGACATTGATGCTTGAAGAGGTAAGGGAAATTCGATCGGAAAGCTTTCTCGAGTTCACATGGGCACTACAAACGCTTCTAACTTGTTTCAAATCTACTGGATTGACATGATTTCTAGCTCAAAAAAATAGAGAATCTCAAGGGCTTTCAAATGGAGCAAAGCACACTCAAAAAAAGCTCAATTCTATAGAAAGTTACAGTGGTTTGTAGCCTTGACTTGAAACAGATCGTACTCGTGCGTAGTCGAAGCACTACAAACCACTGTAACTTTCTTTAGGATTGTTATTTTTCGGTGTACTGTTCATTTGTTCGCTGTTCATTTGAAAGCCCTTGTGATTCTCTATTTTTTGAGCTAGAAATCATGTCAATCCAGTAGATTTGAAACAAGTTAGAAGCGTTTGTAGTGCCCATGTCAACTCGAAAGCATGATGCAGCTCTTTAAAAGCAAAAAAACCATTATATGATTTATCCGTTTTAGATTCAGTTAAACGATTCATTACTGGAAAACATCGAAAATGTCTTGAAAGAGGAAAAAGTGACGATAACACATTTGAAGCTACAATTTTGTTGTCTCAAACGAGTCTCCGCGCATCGATGGAAACGATTTTTTAGGTAATTGGTTCCTTATCTCTCTAAATTTGGTTCCCTATCTCTCTAAATTTGGTTCCTTATCTCTAAATTTGGTTCCTTATCTCTAAATTTGGTTCCTTATCTCTAAATTTGGTTCCTTATCTCTCTAAATTTGGTTCCTTATCTCTCTAAATTTGGTTCCTTATCTCTAAATTTGGTTCCTTATCTCTAAATTTGGTTCCTTATCTCTAAATTTGGTTCCTTATCTCTAAATTTGGTTCCTTATCTCTTAAATTGGGTTCCTTATCTCTAAATTTGGTTCCTTATCTCTAAATTTGGTTCCTTATCTCTAAATTTGGTTCCTTATCTCTAAATTTGGTTCCTTATCTCTAAATTTGGTTCCTTATCTCTAAATTTGGTTCCTTATCTCTAAATTTGGTTCCTTATCTCTAAATTTGGTTCCTTATCTCTAAATTTGGTTCCTTATCTCTCTAAATTTGGTTCCTTATCTCTAAATTTGGTTCCTTATCTCTAAATTTGGTTCCTTATCTCTAAATTTGGTTCCTTATCTCTAAATTTGGTTCCTTATCTCTAAATTTGGTTCCTTATCTCTAAATTTGGTTCCTTATCTCTAAATTTGGTTCCTTATCTCTCTAAATTTGGTTCCTTATCTCTAAATTTGGTTCCTTATCTCTAAATTTGGTTCCTTATCTCTAAATTTGGTTCCTTATCTCTAAATTTGGTTCCTTATCTCTAAATTTGGTTCCTTATCTCTAAATTTGGTTCCTTATCTCTAAATTTGGTTCCTTATCTCTAAATTTGGTTCCTTATCTCTAAATTTGGTTCCTTATCTCTAAATTTGGTTCCTTATCTCTAAATTTGGTTCCTTATCTCTCTAAATTGGGATCCTTATCTCTAAATTGGGTTCCTTATCTCTAAATTTGGTTCCTTATCTCTCTAAATTTGGTTCCTTATCTCTAAATTTGGTTCCTTATCTCTAAATTTGGTTCCTTATCTCTAAATTTGGTTCCTTATCTCTAAATTTGGTTCCTTATCTCTAAATTTGGTTCCTTATCTCTAAATTTGGTTCCTTATCTCTAAATTTGGTTCCTTATCTCTCTAAATTTGGTTCCTTATCTCTAAATTTGGTTCCTTATCTCTTTAAATTGGGATCCTTATCTCCAAACGATTTTTTTCAAACGATTTTTTAGGTAAGATTGAGTGTAAAGATTAAAATACAAAAATTGTTTTTCAGCTCAATAAACCCGATTGAAGTTTCATTATCTCATTTGCGCAATGTTAAGCCACAACATTTTGATTTCGTTTTCTGGGAGAAATGTGGGAAGTGTGTTTTCTTTGATCTCAGCAATGTTACTATGATTGGATGCAATGATGAGATGTAAGTTGAGAAAAAGAAAAAAAAGATAGTGGACTCGTGACTGTACGATTTTTGTGCACTAGACACTTTTTAGCCATTCTCGAATCTCTCATTTTCTGGAGACAACTCGAGCCAAATGGTTGTGCTTGGATTTTCCACAAAGTGATCTCACGAACTCGAGCTTTTTAAATATTTTATTGGTTTGTACAAATATCGTGCTTGATTTGAATTAGCTTTTAAATGAAAAGTTAAAGATTTCTTTTAGAATCGAAGTGATCTCAAGAATATTGTGAAAAATTGGCGTTTAACTCTTGTCGAAACTGTGGATTTCACAAAAATTGAGACTGAATTGAGGAAATTGAGGAAATTTGAAGAAATTTGGACTTTTAAACGATTCCCAGACAATCGAAATCTATTGGAAATGAAAAAGAAATAAAATTTACGCAAAAATTGACTCAAAAATTGACGCCAAAAATTTTCAACAACGACACACAACAAATCCTGTAAGATGTACTTTGTCGCTTTGTAAGCGCACTCTTTCTGGTGTACCGAATAAACCAAAAGTACATGCATGATGTACTTTGTCGCTTTGGAAGCGCACTCTTTCTAGTGTACCGATTCCTTGATTTTCTTTCCAATCCAATACACCAGAAGAGATGTGTTTCCGAATTTTCCGAAAGTACAAAGTACATCACAAAGCTTTCGATGGAAAAATCACTTTTTTTTTTTTTCCCCATTTCTGCAAGTGACATCTCCCTCTTCTTCTCTCAAAATTTCTTCCGAACAAACACAAATTGAATCTCATTTTCTATGTAAAGCAGCAATGCAAACGAATTCAAAGATTGGTTTAATTGCTGCGATTTTTCTCACAACATTTTTCTATTTCTTAATTTCACTCAACTTTTTCGACGCGTCAAAGGAAAGACTGGTGAGTGTGGTTCAAAAAAAAAAAACTAAAAAAAAACGGGGGGTGGGACAAATGCGACCTTTTTTTTTGCGCACCTGGACATTCGCGCACCTTTTTTTTGCTGGAAAAGGCCTTAGGAAAGGTCGTAGAGCTTCAAAAGTGTTTTCATAGAAGGGAATCGTATGCGTTGATTCCGAATTTTGACAAATCAGACCTCGCTGACACGTCAAATTTGGGCTAAAAGGCAAAAACTACGCAACTTAACGCTTTTCCGCAGTTTTTGCCTTTTAGCCCAAATTTGACGTGTCAGCGAGGTCTGATTTGTCGAAATTCGGAATCTACGCATACGATTCCCTTCTATGAAAACATTTTTGAAATAAGGCCTTTTTCAGCAAAAAAAGGTGCGCAAATGTCCAGGTGCGCAAAAAAAAGGTCGCATTTGTCCCACCCCCAAAAAAAAACATTGGTTTAACTTTGAAAATCGACTTTGTGCTCTAAAAATTTGCAAACATACCCTTCCTGGTGCACTGCAATGAATCTTTTTTCTTATAGAAACCATTGCCCTACACAAATGATGATTTGATCTTCGTTCGACAGGGTTTTGGCGAGAAAACCCGGCAAGGTTTCCTGAAAATTTTGCGCCTCTTCGATCAGGGATTGCTGCGAAGTGATGAGGCGAGGTTTGTATCAAAAAAAGAAATCCGAATCTTCGCTGTACTTATGCAAAAAAAAAAATCTAATGAAAAGGAAATCTACGAAATTTTACTTTACAAAATCTCTAATTTAGCCCACAACGCTCGCCGCGTGCCAAGAAGTGATGATTTTTTGTTCTTTACTTTCACTTGTACATCAATAAATCAATAAATTCTTGGTTAATGCCAAAAGCACAAAGTCTACTAAAGAAATTACGCTAAGTACTGTAATAGTACCCCACCCCCTCGTACAGTCTCGTAGTCGCAAAAGTTTTGTTTAGTATTTCATTTTTTTCAAAGCGCCCGTACTTTCAAAACATGCGTCTTTGTTATCAAAAAATAGCCCTGAATTTCAGCTATTTTTTGATACCTAAACGCGCATTGTAGCATAAACCAGTGTCGAGAAAAACTCGTTCAAAGCTAGACTGAGCAACACTCCGCACCGTCATTATGGGGCTGGGGTACTATTAAAGTATTTACGGTAACAAACAACAAAACAAACACTTAGCAAATTTAATGCTAAATAGAAAACACAAATAAGCTGATCCCTGGTGCTTGTCATTCTTTTATATTTTCTATCATAATCTATTCCTATTCCATCCGAAATTTAAACAATAAATCCGATTTATTTAGCATTTAGCAAAATTAATGTTAAATCGAAAACACAAATAAGCTGATCCCTAGCGCTTGTCATTCAGGGATTGCTGCGGAGTGATGAGGCGAGGTTTGTAGCAAAAAAAAAAAAATCCGAATCTCCGCTGTACTTATGGAAAAAGAATTTTCTTTTATATTTTCTATCATAATCTATTCCTATTCCATCCGAAATTTAAACAATAAATCCGATTTATTAGTTTTCAAAACAATTTTTTGAGTCTTTCGCATTATTTTTTTCCCTTAAAACCATCAACTCCATCACTTTACTTTAAACATCCCAACTATGCGACCATTTTGCCGCTTTACGCAACCATTTTTCCGTTAGAATTCGCAGAACTTTAGATTTATTTTTGTTAAGCATTGTAACTCTGTTCTTTTTCATTTTAAATTTAATATATGTCTTTTTTAGCAAAATGGGTGTCAAAAAGAAGGACCCGGAGCGGATGCAACAAGTAAAGAAAGCGAAAAAAGCAGGGAGAAAGTTGAAGGTTCGCTTTTCTTGGTTTTAAGATGATTCTAATTAAATCTTACGCTTAAATCAATCTTAAAGTTCAACTTTTATGCAAATTTTCTCTTTTCCAGGGTCTCGAGAAGAAGGGAAAGCTGAAGAAACATGTCACCGATCGGCTGCACGACATTCGAGCGCAGAAATCGGCGAAGCAGCGACAAGCAGCTTTAGATGTAAGTTGAACAGACCTAATTTTATTGGGAAAATTTTTGATTTAGAGTTTTGAGTGGAGATTTAAACTCTAAACCTGTTTTTTTCTAGAAATTAGAGATTTTGGAGTTGTTTTTTTTGTTTTGTTTAAGTTTTCTTTTTTAGATTGAAGATGACTGGGTGGCAGATCGGGAACGCCATTTTGCCGCACAACAACGCGAAGAGATCTTACCGTTGGACATGCTCGAGGATACGGACATCAATTGGGAGCAGACGAGTTTCGCCTCAGTGAAACGGCGATACGATGCACAAAAAGGTTGGCTTTGCAGTTTGAAGTAAGCGAAAATGTATTCATTTGTAGCGAAAATGACTAAGGATTCTGAAGTCTTTGCAAATTTTCTGTTTAGCTCGAGAACTCGAAGCCAATGAAGAGCACGATGAGCGAGAATTTGAGACAAAAAGACGGCGATTCAAAGGAGATCTTGGCGAGAACGAGGAAGAACTTTTACCGATTAAGGTTAGCAAATAAATAGGAATCTCTCCAATACGATTTTCTTTAGTTAACAGATGGAACGATCATTCGCCCAACGAGGGTCAAAGAGGTGAAAGAAGAAGAGGAAAATGAAATGGATGAGCATTTTGATGATGGTGAGGACGGGGATCAACTTGAGAAAAAGGGAAAAGACAAAAAGAAGGATCGAGAACCGGAAGAGGTTTGTTTAAAATGAATTAACTTGGCTACGGAATTGATTTGTGAAGCTGGAACACAAATAAACTGTTACGAGTATTAAAATGTGATGAATCTTTCCAATTTTGGGATTTCTCCGATCTGTCACCGTTCGAATTAGTCGCCAAGCGCAAAGAGCTGCTCGACGTGGAAGAACAACGATTGGCCAGCTACGGAAGGCAGCTCTTGGCTAATCCACAGGAAAATGTAAGTATTTATAAAGTTTTTAGAATAACCAGTGAGCAAGCTATTGCCTGCTACAGTAAAGTTTATTTCCAACTAATGCCTCGATCTCTTCAGGTATTCAAATTGCGCGACATGTTGAAGCTGTGCCTGGGCGAGGGTGTGCATTCGTTGGTTCGTGAGAAGATTCAACAGCTAGCCACGGCGAGCATGGTACAAGTGAGTTGGCACTTTTGGATGATTTGTTATCTTGCCATTAGATTACCCAATTCAGAAGTTTTTAATACACCTTTTCTTCAGGTTTGGCTCGACATCGTGCCCGGCTATCATATTCGACCGTTGACCGACTCGGAAACGGGTAAATTTCAAGCAATCAACTACTTTCATATCAAAATCTTTAGGTGGAAACAAGCTGAAGAAGGAGACGAAAAAGTTGGTCACTTTCGAGGAAGCCGTTCTGCGATATTATGTGAAATTTTTGCAATTCGTCGAGAAACAAGCGAACAGTTTCGTGGTTTTAATCGCTTTACTTGTGAACAAGTTGATCTTTTAATGATTGAGGCCTTTGGACATTGAAAATTCAGGTTTCATTCAAATTTTCCTATTTCTAGGGTTGAATCAACGTTTGCCGGCGTGGAAGGAGGCGACTTTCTCCCATAAAATGGCCATTTTGGGGATGAGATCGCTGTGCAGGTGGGGGATTTGTCGGATTTCTTAAAATTTGCAATTGTTTGACTGTTGATTGCTGTTTACTGCTGTTTTACTGTTACTGTTCGTTGATCACGAAATTTTCAATTTCACCGTTGCATTACAAGTGAAAAAAACTTCAGTAACTAACTTTATAACTGTTTTAGATTGCTACTTGGCGCTCCACATTTCAACTACGCCACCAACATCGTCACCACGTTGATCAAGTTGACACTCAGCTCGCATAGACAGGTAAATTTTGGTGAAATGATTGACAGTGTTAAGATTGACATTTTAAACATATATACTTTGGTGTATTGACAGGTTATCGGTGAAATCAAGTGATTTTCTTAATTTAGACTTCATTTAGACTGTCACCGAGATTTGCACGACGTTCTCCCAACTCTTTAAAGAGGATTTGTCGCTGAAGTTGACCTTGTACACTTGTAGGGTAAGAATTTAAAATATTTTTGACTTACCCGCAATTTTTCAGGCAATTGCAAGCTTGGTGAAGAAGAAGAAATCCGAGGTGCGGCCTGAAGTTTTGACGACGTTGATCTCGTTGAACATTAAAGTTAGTTTTTGGAACTTTTCTGATTTCATCTAGGTGCCAAGCGGACAAGATTCCAATCTCAATAAACTTTTTTCGTTCAGGAAATTGTCAACGAAGACAAGAAAAGTGACAAGGGACGTCTCATCGCAAAGAAATACCAAATCAAGAAGGAGAGGAAGAGCAAAAGCGTTAAAAAGGTGGTGATTGAAGGGCTTTAATTGCAAATCGTTTATTTTATGTAAATAAATCAATTTTAGTACGACAAGCAAATCGCGAAACTCGAGAACGACTTGAAAGAGGTTGAGGCGGCCGAGACGATCAGCGAAAAGATGAAAACGGTGGGGTTTTGTGCGATTTGTTGAGCAATTTGTGTAGACAGATTCCTGTTACGCATTAAAGTTCTTGGTTTAGGCAACGCAGGTGATGAAGCACGTGTTCCAAATCTACTTCTCGATCATCCGTCGAATGCCCAATTTGTACTTGCTTGCACCGGTAAGGATTTTTTTGCTCATTGAATCGGTAGATCACAACGATTTGCTTTTGTTTTCAGGTCCTCGAGGGTCTCTCCAAATTCGCGCACTTGCTCAATGTCGAGTTCTTCGAGGATATCATCAAGGCGATGGAGGAGTTGATTGATCAAAAGGTGAGCATGGACCTAGAGTTGATTCGAAATTGAATATTTTTTCAATTGATTGTAGAAAATAACCCTTAAGGATTTAAAATTTGGCATCGATGGCTCATCTCTTTTTTAGCATCTACGCCTTCTCGATCAAATCCATTGTGTGAACACGGTGTTTGTGATTCTTTCTGGCGAAGGACAAGCGCTGAATGTGGATCCGTCAAGGTTTACAATCTTATTGGCAATATTTTAACGGTTGCCTACAGGTTTTATCGATCTCTCTACCGAATACTTGCCTCGTTTCCATTTGAGAATGATACAGGTGTCCGTATTTTGCCAATTTTGTTAAAAATTTTATTTAGATCTCTCCCACAAGAACACGGCGATGACGGTGAAATGCTTGAGTTTGATGATTAATGGGAGAAAGAAACAGGTGTGTTTTGTCATGAATTTGAAGCGATAAGCATTGAAACTAATGGCTTTTGCTTGACCAGTTACACATTTTCGTGCCTAAAATGACAACACCTTTGAAGCCTAGGCAATATAAGGAAAAACTAACGTAACCCTAGGAGTACGGTAGCTTCTAAAGGTATTTAGGTTAAACAGGATTATGATTCGTTTCCAGGTTCCAATCTCTCGTGCGGCTTCTTTCTTTCGTCGTTGCCTCTGCTTGGCCGTTCTCTTGGATGATCAAAGTGCGTTGATGCTTGTCGCGTTGTGTCGATCATTTCTCATTGTGAGTTTTGTTTTAGAAAAGAAAAATTTACCACATCACCTCATAGAGTTAGTATTTATGTAATCGAGCTCATTTATTTAATTTCAGGCTCACCCCAAGTTGTCGACAATGGTCGAGGAGGATGAGTCGGAGGTGAGAGCTATTTTGGATGCTTTAAGCTATGGATTAAACATTATTATCATTTTTTTTGACCCTGTACGGTTTTAGAGAGCTTTAGATACGTTTTTTAGGGTGGAGGACTTTATGGCCTTTTCGCGCCGGCAATCGACGATCCGGACTGTAGTGGAGCGCTGAGTAGCCAGGCACGACCGTTGTTGAAGTGTTTAACCTTGGTAAGTGCTTTTAAACAAAATTTTTTAGGATAAATCAAATGTTCAACTTTCTTATTGTGTTTGCATTTCAGAGAAAATGTGCGCCACTGTCCGCTTTTGCTTGGAATATCCTTGAGGGGGCTCCATCCATCGGCGCGCGACAATTGAATCCGCAATGGACATCCGGGTAAGCAGTATAATGTGTTTTTTTGATTCAATCACCTTAATAATGCCTAAACGATGGTTTTTTTTAAAGCCATTTAATCTCAATATTTCCTTTTTTAATTTCAGAAAGCCCTGGGAATTGGACGAGGTGATCAAAACGCCGATTACCGGGAAGGGACATTTGCACGAGATTTCATCGTTTGCTCAGGTAATTTTTGATATGGATTGATTTTGGGTTACGATAATATATTCAGTATATAGTTTTTTTAAACCTATTTTCATTTCAGAAAACTTCCAAGGAGAAGCTGACCTCGAAAAATGTGTTCGCGATCACCGAAAGATGGGTGGCGTCGAAATTTTCGTGATTTTTTTAGAAAAATTTGTTACATTTCTTTGTTATTTGTTGAGTTTTATGACTGTTGTTGAATGTTTTTTTTTGTTGAACAATTTAGAGTAAAATTTGACCTTTATTCGAAGAAAATAGCCGTAATCAGAGATTTTTCTTTTTTTTTGAGAGAAGTAGTTCAGAAATACCGTAATCGATGGAGAGCAACTTTTAGCAAACAATACACGAATTGGGGAAATCAAATGGCACACGTGTTCACGGCAATGTGACAAGGGAGAATAAGCGGTGATAAGCTACCGTAACCCTTTAAAATGGCAATATCCTTGAGGATTACTGTCGTAACTCTGACAAATGGGCTCGCTAGCTTATCCAAACAAGTTTTACATGGGAAATTCAATTGAAAACTACCGTAACTCGTGGAAAATAAAGTACTCAGGGTTACGGTAGCTTTTCAGACACAAGAAATGAAGTTTTAAAAAACATCGAAATTGTTATTTACATTCGAAAATGCACCTCTTTTAATACACAACGAAATTCAACATTTAAAGCCTATTCACCAAAGAAAATTTTTAAGAAAACACAAATTTTAATCATTTTTCACTTTTTCTCTTGACTAGAGACTTATTCAGCTAATGAAAAAAGCATAAAAAAATAAATTGAGGGATTTTAATGTTCGTTTTTTGATACACGGACTAGGCACTCAGCGAATTTTTTATGAAAATTCAAAAAAGTTTTTTTTAGACTAGTCCGTTTTTTTTTTGCAATAAATCAAGATAAAGAAAGGAAATCACAAAGAAAGTTCACAAAGACAAAACAAAAATGAGATCACTGAAGTTCTGGGAAAGATTTGATCGATTGAAATCTCGGCTACGGATTATAAGATCACTGAAGTTCTGGGAAGGATTTGATCGATTCAAAGCTGGGCTATGGATGATAAGATCACTGAAGTTTTGGCGAGGATTTGATCGATTGAAAGCTGGGCTACGAACCACTGAAGTTCTGGGAAAGATTTGATCGATTGAAAGCTCGGCTACGGATTATGGTAGCTTACCCAGATAGATTACGAATATAAAACCTGTTTTTTTTTGCTAGAAATTTAGAAATCTCAATTTTTAACTTGAGCCTAACGGAGTGCTGATCAAGGTACTTAAAAGAGATTGAAATGGAGTTGAGAAATTGGATAATGGAGGAGATGAGGAGACGAGTGAGGTTGAAGATGATGGGGATTGGGAACGTGAGTTGAGTCGAGCGCATTGATGAGAATGCGAACGCAACGATTTCTTTGTCGTAAATACCTAAAAAGGTAATGTTTTAGCTAGTTTTTGAGCATTCGAAGCTAAAGAGATTCTCGATTTCTGTCGATAACTTGTTCCCTACCTGATTGCAGTGTTGACATTGTTGCTGTCCATCAGCGTTCTCCTTTGGCTTATGCCAGCGACGATGTGAGGCAAGATTTGCTGGACAAGAGAAAACCTGGAAATCTTTCTGGTCTTTTTGATCTTTCTGATCTTTCTGATCTTTCTGATGAAGAATATTGCAGAAACAATTCTTGCTTATGGCTTTTGCTTATGGCTTTTTCTTTTAAAATGAACTACACTACTGGACAATGAAATATGATATTTGAAAAACGATCGTCACTTTCGCGCGTCTGTAACTCCCTTGTCTTTACCGTATTTCTAAATATTAATATTACCATTGTGTAGCCCTTGAAAAGAGCTTTCAGAAAATGTATAACACTAATAGTTTAAACTCAAAGACAACAGAGTTACAGACGCGCGAAAGTGACGATCGTTTTTCAAATATCATATTTCATTGTCCAGTACTGTATGTAATGAACTATGTAATGAACTATGAAATGAACTATGAAATGAACTATGAAATGAACTATGAAATGAACTATGAAATGAACTATGAAATGAACTATGTAATGAACTATGTAATGAACTATTTAATGAACTATTTAACGAACTACTTAATGAACTATGTAATAAACTATGTAATGAACTATTTAATGAACTATTTAACGAACTATGTAACGAACTATGTAATGCAATATGTATCACGGTTCAATGATCAATCCTCATCTGTCACTACCATCTCTTGTAGTTGAGATTGGGGACTCATGTGTCACGCAAAAGTCACGCAAACACTGTCGGCTTAAACCTCAGAAGTTTCTGCGCTCTAACTCTATATCAAATAGATATTTCCCATAGTACAGATGTTCCTTTTCTCCTAATCGGATCTCTTGACTTCTCAGCTGGAGAGATATCTGTCGGGATGATTATAAAGACCCCCTGGAGTGAATCTTGAGAAGTCTATGACCATCTTATCCATAAAAAAAGCTGACAAGATTACAGTAATCGAGAAAATTGATTGAAGGAAAGCAATCTATTACAGGGATTAAAGATTTTCCAATAGGCCAGCCAGCCAGCCAGCCAGCCAGCCAGCCAGCCAAGCCAGCCAGCCAGCCAGCCAAGCCAAGCAAAGCAAGCTCTGATCCTGTAGGGAAGTAAACTTTTAGAAAACAATCGGATAGATCAAGACAGTTCTTAGCTTGAATAAGAACAAAGAAAGATCTGTGCTCTTGGCAAAAATTCTTTGCCAGCTATTTACCCTTATTGTTGTTGTATACATTATTTAGTGGGTAATGGGTTATTTGGAGGTGAAGCCGGGTGTCTTTTAAGGTCATCCAGGTGGCCTGAATTGGATCGGCTTTCTTTCATCCCCATTCCAATGACAACAAGTGGTGTTCGAGAAAAGGAAAAGAGTAGGCAAAGTGTGTAAACAATTCTTTATATTGGGATGAGTATTGGTGAGGCTTGGTGAGGCTTGATGAGGCTTGGTTTAGCTTGGTTGAGCTTGGTTGAGCTTGGCTTAGCTAGGCTTAGCTTGGCTTAGCTAGGCTTAGCTTGGTTTAGCTTGGTTTAGCTTGACTTAGCTTGGCTTAGCTTGGCTTAGCTTGGCTGAGCGTGGCTGAGCGTGGTTGAGCTTGGTTTAGCTTGGTTTAGCTTGGTTTAGCTTGGTTTATCTTGGTTTAGCTTGGTTTATCTTGGTTTAGCTTGGTTTAGCTTAGCTTAGCTTGGTTTAGCTCGGGTTTAGCTTGGCTAAGCTTGGCTTAGCTTGGCTTAGCTTGGCTTAGCTTGGCTTAGCTTTGTGAGATCTCTGTTACCTTTTCACACTCGGGACACTTGTACTCTTGATGAGCGATGCGTGGGCATTTGTGTTGCGCTAATCGAAAAACATCATCGTACCTGAAAATGTTGAAAAGTGAAAGGTTTTGAAAAACGTTTATGATCAGGAGAAGGTGTTAAAGTTTAGAAATAGTTGTTTATGCAAATCTAATATGCAAATTTCTATGAATAAACAATTTCTATGGCTTTTTATTGTATCATTTTCATTGATTAAAGTTTTGTTGTTGTTGTTGTTGTTGTTGTTGTTGTTGTTGTTGTTGTTGTTGTTGTTGTTGTTGTTGTTGTTGTTGTTGTTGTTGTTGTTGTTGTTGTTGTTGTTGTTGTTGTTGTTGTTGTTGTTGTTGTTGTTGTTGTTGTTGTTGTTGTTGTTGTTGTTGTTGTTGTTGTTGTTACAAATTGTTGTTTATGCAAATCTAATATGCGAATTTCTTTGGATAAACATTTTCTATAGTCTTCTATTGTATCATTTTGATTTTTACTCAAAAAGAATCACTTACTTAACTCGACACAAAAAGCATACACAATCCCCGATGACATTTACGATTGTCGAGATGACTCGACGAGATTCCTAAAAGAATTTGTTTAATTTAAGCGTTTATTGATCAATCTGGAAGTCACAGTGAATGATTTAGCAGTTCTTTTTTCGATTATCGTTTTTTTAATCGATTATTTTTTTTTTTTATCTACCTCAGTCACATCAACGAAAGCAGCGGTCTCGTCAAGTTGATCAGCTTCTTTTTGGAGTTGCTCTGGTGGGGCAAGCGTTGATGCTTCCTAGAAAAAGAGAGTTTAATTTTTTTTCTTTGATTCTATCATCATTTCACGGTTCACAGCTTGACAAATCCCTAAAATCGGCTCTTCAAAAAAAAAAAGCCACAAATTATCCATTTTTCAATCTTCAATGACAGTTTTTCTTTCGAGATTTCTCTCCTAATGCCAGCTGTCAAACGAACACAAAAGAAAACGATCCATAAAAGGAAAAGAGGCATAAAGCCTCGGGTCACCATCTGGATCTTTTTTAAAAAAAGAGATTAAAAAGGGAAAACTCTCAATCTCAATCCGTTTACTTGAAGATATTATTCTGGTTTACAACCTGATTGTTTTTCTGATTGTTTTCCTGAAAAGGAAGAACCAGAATGGATGCGTTTACAAGGTTAAGCACAAAGATGCGTTTACAAGGTTAAACACAAAATTCTCTTCAAAATTACTCACCTTTATAAACATTCCGCTAACCGGTGATATCATTGTCTCTTCTCCAATCTCTTTTTCCTTTTCCTTCTCTTTTTCCTTCTCCCTCTCCTTCTCCTTCTCCTTTTCCTTTTCTTCTCCTTTCCTTCTCTTCATTTCTTTTCTTTTCTCATCGTTTTTCAAGTCAATCCCTCGTTTTCTTGTTGAATTTTGTGGAAGTACGATTGGTTCATCATTTGAATCGAATAGAAACGATTTGTTCACCTCACGAAGGGGAATTGGCTAAAATCTTTTCATTTTTATTGATTCTAGAAGGGATTCTGGAAGGCATTACTATCAAAAAGAGAACCCCAACAAACCTTTGGTAAACTCGGATCAGGCTTGTCGACTTCACTCTCGAAACGATCCGCTTCACCGCCAAGAATGAGCTGCGATCCATTTAGACTCAATAAACACTAAAAAATAAAGTAAAACTTGAGTTTTATCTTTATCTTTATACTTGAATCGCAAAAACACGTCCGGTGTCGGCCATTGTACTCCAAATGTTTGGGGATAAAGCGAGGAAGCGATCAGCCGCGAATCGATCAAGCTCTGAAAGTATTGCAATGAAAGCAGAAGCTTAGATAAGCTATAGATAAGCTATAGATAAGCTAGATTATTAATTTCATCGTCTATAGGGTTTTGATTGAGGCTTGAGAGATCGATGAGTGTTAGAAATGAAAAGCTATATTGATGAATTAGAAGTTCAGTACAAAGCTTATCAAAATGCATTGTGATAAGCTTACTGAACTTGGTTATTCTTTGTTCTAGAGTTCGAGTTAAGCTTGATGCTTTAAATCTGCTTAAACCTGATGCTTTAACTCTGATGCTTTAAACTCGATGCTTTAAATCTAATGCTTAAATCCAATGCTTTAAATCTGAGGCTTTAAACCTAATGCATTAAATCTAATGCATTAAATCTAATGCTTTAAATCTAATGCTTTAAATCTAATGCTTTAAACCTAATGCTTTAAATCTGAGGCTTTAAATCTAATGCATTAAATCTAATGCATTAAATCTAATGCTTAAATCCAATGCTTTAAATCTAATGCATTAAATCTAATGCTTTAAATCTAATGCTTTAAATCTGAGGCTTTAAATCTAATGCTTTAAATCTAATGCTTTAAACTTGATGCTTAAACCTAATGCTTTAAATCTGAGGCTTTAAATCTAATGCATTAAATCTAAGCATTAAACTCTTAACAATGCTTTAAATCTAATGCATTAAATCTAATGCTTTAAATCTAATGCTTTAAATCTGAGGCTTTAAATCTAATGCTTTAAATCTAATGCTTTAAACTTGATGCTTAAACCTAATGCTTTAAATCTAATGCTTTAAATCTGAGACTTTAAATCTGAGGCTTAAATCTAATGCTTTAACTCTGATGCTTTAAACCTGATGTTTCTGCTCGTGACTTTCTTCGGACGTGCACGAGGGAACAGGTGACGGAGTGGCGCCAATAGAGGAAAGTGATGAAGTGGGTACAGTAGATGAGTGATTGTATAACGTGGAACTTGATACAGTATTCCCAAGTGATTGTTGAAGTGAGTGTTTTGAGAGGAGCGTGCTCATCGCCCACAAATCACCCATTGACATCACCCGATGAGTTTTCTTTCTTAAAGCATCGTTTATATTTAGAAATTTGAATTCAAATCGAAATTCAAATCGAAATTCAAATCGAAAAGCTAGTTTTCTCAATTTTAGGTATTTCCGGCACTTGAAAATGCAAAACTTTTCTTTTGAAAGAAAAGAAAAGAAAATTCATAACAAAGAGCTGAAAAAAAGGACTTGTCAAGGAAAACTTTGATTGAAATCAGAAAAAGGGATGTTTTTTGGTTATAAAAAGGGAGTTAAAAGTTCAGTTAAAAATACGATAGAATACAAATAGTACAGTGAAAAGTAAAGAGTTAAGTAGTATTATTAAACAATAAAGCAATTCTATAGAAAGCAAGTACCGTAACCCTATCCTGAGACAGCTCAACTCCAAGTACTCCAAGTAAAAGTACAATTTTATTCTACAAGTACTCCAAGTACAAGTACAACTTTATTCTACAAGTACTCCAAGTACAAGTACAACTTTATTCTACAAGTACTATAACTCAACACATTCGTACAAGTACTGCACAAGTTCAACCAAAGTCGGAAACAAGTACAACATTAGAAACAAGTACAACACTGGAACCCCGTACTATTCTTTGTTAATCAAGAAAACAGAGATCAAGTCAAGTACAGTAAGAAAAACCAGTACCAAAGCTGTACCAAGGATCAAGTGAGGAAAGAAATGAGGAACACTCTGCGAACCCCGAGGATTCATTGGGCGTGGAGTATTCTGTACTCAAGGGACAGCTGTCTGTACCCCCATTCATCCCCAAAAAGGGATAAAGCATAACCCCGATCTTCAGCCTTGACTCCGCCTACCACTTTTACCCAAACCCAAACCTAAACCCAAAACCCCAGTAACCTAAAGCCTCATTTCATTGCCCCCAAAAGCCAGGTGGCTTTTTGAGAATTCAGGAAACGGGAAAAGAAGAACCAGTCACAGAATAGCCTTCTGTAGCTGGTAAAACTTTAGCTAGAGCTAGTTACAGGCTCTACTTTAAAGGAAGAAATAACGCTAGAACATAGTCACAGTTTTTTTTGGTCACCCTTTGTTCAACTATTGATGCCAGCTAGTTGATCGTGTACTAAAGGAATTTGCTGAGACTAGAAGTCCCGAGGAAATCCCTCAATTTCAGCACTTTGTAGAGGAAAATAAGTAGAGCTCAGTGCACTAGAAAGTTTTTGCGTTTTAGAGCAAGAAAAAAAAACCCCACAAAGAACCCAATCAAGATCCCATTCTCTTTTCATTTATCGATATGCCAGGTGCCATCTATCTCCACCGTCCCCCGAACACCCTCCTTTTCCACCGTAATTAGCCAATCCGGGCAGCCAGCAGCCATTCTTTTCTCCTCCTCTTACTGTCTCTATACAAATATGACCCCCCATCAAATTGACCGGATATTCACCCCCTTCCCCGTGTCCCAAATGAATGCTAGAATAAAGGAATAGCTCTCGTGAGCTCCAGCATGCAAAATGACACCGAATTCATAGAGCTCTTTTACAGAAAATCAAAAGATATTCAGTCAATCTTTTTCTTTTCCTTGAGATGAATTGAAAAATTTTGGAAAACAAAGGGTTTTTTTTTGTTTTGCTGTGAACAACTAAGTTGTACTCCAGGAAACGGGAATCAAATGAAAAATTGGGAAATTTCTATACAAAATCTAAAAATAATCAGCCATTCTTTTTTCCTCCTCTTACTGTCTCTATACAAATATGACTCCATCAAATTGACCGGATATTCACCCCCTTCCCCCTCCCTGTCCCAAATGAATGCTAGAATAAAGGAGTAGTCGTCGTGAGCTCCAGCATGCTAAATGACACGAAATTTATTTGACTCTTTTACAGAAAATTTAAAGATATTCAGTCAATCTTTTTTTTTCTCTGAGATTTTGAAAAAAAGGATTTTTTTTTATTCTTGACTAAGAACAGCTAAGTTGTACTCCAGGAAACGGGAATCAAATGAAAAATTCGGGAATTTCTATACAAAATCTAAAAGATATTCAGTCAATCTTTTTTTTTCTTTGAGATTAATTGAAAAATTTTGAAAAAAAAGCATTTTTTAAAATTTTTTGCTGTGAACAGCTAAGTTGTACTCCAGGAAACGGGAATCAAATGGAAAATTCGGGAATTTCTATACAAAATCGAAAGATAATCAGCCAATCTTTTAAGCGAAAAGATCAAATTGTGTTTTTAAATCGAAAAACTCAAAAATATGCAAATTCAAAGCAATTTGCATACGGCAAATTGCAAATTGATGAGTGATTTTCGTGACAAAAAAGTTGATTTCCGGGGAAATTCGCACTTTTCTATTGTCTCTGATTGTCATCGCCGCCCGACAAGCTGCCCAAACACACCCCATAACCCGCGTGACACGAATTCTCGCACGAAAGCGTGGGTTTCAAAAGGCGAAAATAGCTCGTGTGCGCTCCACAATGAAAGATCAAAAATTTCCCATCCAATGACGTGCTCGTATTTTCTCGAAAATTTTTTTCTTTTGAGTTCAACGCCGAAAAAAGCAAATTTTCAGATGATTTCGAAATTTTGACAATTTTTTGAGGCAATCTGGAAGGCACAGAGTTAAACAAGATTGAAAATTTAATGAAAAGTTGAAAACTGAAATTTCTGAAATTTTGAGCTCTTCAATGGGATCGAGTTTGAGAGAATTTTTTCGTTTTATTTAAACTTTTTTGAACTTCGACAACTTTGAGGCAATCTGGAAGGCATAAAGGAGAACGAGATTGAAAATTCAAGAAAGTTGAAAACGTTTTGGGTATTCAATGGGATCGAGTTTGAAACAGTTTTTGGTTTTATTTAAACTTTTATTGAACTTTCGACAACTTTTAGCACTGGAGGCACAGAGTTAAACAAGATTGAAAATTTAATGAAAAGTTGAAAACTGAAATTTCTGAAATTTTGAGCTCTTCAATGGGATCGAGTTTGAGAGAATTTTTTCGTTTTATTTAAACTTTTATTGAACTTTCGACAACTTTTGAGGCAATCTGGAAGGCATAAAGGAGAACGAGATTGAAAATTCAATGAAAAGTTGAAAACTGAAATTTTGAGGTAATCAATGGGATCGAGTTTGAAACAGTTTTTTGGTTTTATTTAAACTTTTATTGAACTTTCGACAACTTTTTAGACAATCTGGAAGGCACAGAGTTAAACAAGATTGAAAATTCAATGAAAAGTTGAAAACTGAAATTTCTGAAATTTTGAGCTCTTCAATGGGATCGAGTTTGACACAATTTTTTGGTTAAATCTAAACTTTTATTGAACTTTCGACAACTTTTTAGACAATCTGGAAGGCATAAAGGAGAACGAGATCGAAAATTCTTGTTTAAAAGCTAAAATGAAGAATTGAGATTTCGCTTCTCTCTGCGAAATTGTCTTGATTCAATAAGGCGATAAGTTTTTTGGTGCATTGGAATTTGGGGATCCGACAAAATTGACAAATCAAAACATTTCCCTACGAAAGTCATTTAGAATTCAAGAGATTTTAGATAAAAACCTCTGCGTTCTCTTCGCCGTGAAAACGCTCCCCACCTGGCAAACTAAATTATCGAAAATTTGCATTTTACTTCAATTTTTTGAAAGCTTTACATAGTGTGACATCCAGAACTCGTAAAACTTTGTTTTTTTTTCAAATCTATACCACTTTTTCTGGGAGAAATCTGATTGTTATCGAATTTTCGAGATCTCGACCATTTCTCGTCTTCTCAACCATTACTTTCAAGTCTGAAACATTTAAATCTCATCATGGTTGTCACCAAAGCGATTCCGATAGATAAATGAGTGAAATGTGTCGATTGGATGAAGGTCGATTGGATGAAATTCACTGTCTTTTTCTTTTTGAGGCATGCCGCTAATTTGCATTTTGCCCGAGAAAGCGAGAAAGCGATTGCCAGTGATTTGCATACAGATTCGGTCTTGGGGACTCTTGTCATCTTTTCAAATTGACCTCACGCTCCTCAATTCCTTAGAGTGGGTCAAAGAGATGCCGAGGGTCCTGGGGGATTTCTCTGGCACTGTGAAAGGATCAACAAGCAAGTCTGTGGTTTAGCTCGATAAGTTAAACAAACATTTTCCTTGTAAAACAATGCACCGCTTATAGATAAATTTAGCATAACCCGCTTTAAGTGGCTTATGGAAGTTGGGTAAAGCCAGTAAAGTAAAACAAGGATCGGAACTGGTTTCTGGACTGGTTTCTGGACTGGCTTCTGGATTAGCTTCTGGACCGGCTTTTGGACTGGCTCCTGGACTGGTTTTTGGACTGGCTTCTGGACTGGCTTCTGGATTAGCTTCTGGACTGGTTTCTGGACTGGCTTCTAGACCGGCTTCTAGACCGGCTTCTAGACCGGCTTCTGGACTGGCTTCTAGACTGGTTTCTGGATCAGCTTCTGGACCGGCTCCTAGACCGGCTTCTAGATCGGCTCCTAGACCAGCTTCTGGATCAGCTTCTGGACTGGTTTTAGGACTGGCTTCTGGATTAGCTTCTGGATTAGCTTCTGGACTGACTTCTGGATCAAAAACGACTTTCTGAGCTTGTCCATTACCCAGTCAATAAAGGTATTTCTTTTGTTTCTGTCTAGTGCACATATTTTTCCCCAATTCCTGGATCCCAGGGTAACCAGAACGGCACGAGTACCCTCTCTACCACTGTATTTTGCATAAATCCATTCCAAAAAACCTTCCCCTTGCCTGCCCTCCATCATTTCGTTTTCTCTATCCAGAAAAACTGTGCCACCTGGCTTTTTCCCTTTTTCACCAAGGCGGTGCGCGAAAACAGACAAAGACAAAAAAAAAGCGATTTCAATCGAAATTTCCACCTCAAAAGATGCGGTGACATCCAGATTGACGATTTATTGTAAAAAGTAGCGAAAAATATTTCAGACCAGCGTCCAAAACCCTACCAGATCAGTCTACTCATCATTTGACTCCTTCCCGCACCATCTCCTCTTCTCCCACTTTCCCATTATTCTATCTGGAGCACAGTGCAT